GAAAAGCTGCTACACTCCAAAATCAGAGCAAAATTTCCGGTAGAATCTGGATAGGTACATACATAGCATAAAAAATAAAATAAACAACAATGTAAAAGAAATATACAATTCTCACTTCGCTCAGAATCTAAAATTCTGTACAATCGCAAATACAATTTTTTAACCAACCGCAATAGGTACGAACAAGAACTGCTGTGTGCAATACGCTCAATAGGTATGAACCACATGTGATACACGTGGATCCACGTGATCAAATAATAATTAAAACGATAAAAAAAAAAAAAAAAGTTGTTTTTTTTCTATTTCGTTTAATTAGAATATTTATTTATCGCATATAACTCTTGATCTAAGCTTACTCTCTTCTTTGTTATATAGTTCGGGAAAGCTCCACAGTTCTGTTTGACAAAAACGACTGTATTTTTTTTGTTAATGACTAGTATTTGGGTAAGTACCCGGGATTAACCAACAGGCTGAACAGGCTACGGCCTACGGCGCCAACCGGCCGATAGTAAATCGAAAATGGGGGTATAAATAATTTGTTTCGTGTCGGTAAACTCGTCGCTCCGTTGTTAAGCTGCGTAGCGTGCGCATCGGCGGCGTAGCGTGCGCATCGGCGGCGTAGCGTGCGCGAAGAGCATACAAAACAAGTAAACTAATTCGTTTTGTTGTTACGCAGTATTTCGTGGTAAACTCTCGTACGGAGTATAGGCGAAAATACGATTGAAAAGAAAAAAAATTTCATAAATGCAGAAACGACGGCAGTTTCAATAGGTATTTTAAAACCACTGTAATTTTATTATAATATGTTACACACGTCTTCACGGGTCTATGTTTTTGATACGCGTTCCTTCCCTCTCTAAGCGCGGTCCGTACCTACACGGTTACATATTCTCTATGGTTTTGCTATATATCGTCGGTTGTTTGGACTGGAACGGCTCGCCAACGTACCGGCTATCGCCGCTTGCTTTTAATTCGGTGTCGTATGCACGAGACATTAATTGTGCGCATTTTATTTACGCATTCGGACACCACTCTTCTGCGTGACCCCCGTCGGGAGTGCCGAATCGACCCCGGCCTGCCGTTCGCCAACCCCTCAATCGGGCCCTGTAGGTAGGTACCCACTACGCACGGTCAATTTATGCATTACGTGTATAGAACTCTGTAGACGCGAATTAACCGATCCGCAAGCGTGCACGCGGGGGCAGCGTGTACGGCTGCCACGGCCGAGACAGACATCGAATAATGGACGTCGGTAAAATCGTATCTCCACAAACGACGGCCGTTATGGTTAAAAACGAATGATAAATGTATAATACGCATTCATTTTTATTTTTTTCCGGTACACTTACAGTGAAATATTTTACGGTTATAGAATTAAATATTATATTAACATTCCATGAGCCTTACCCGAACTATTCGGACTACTGGCCACGTCGGAATCATCATCGTCAATCACCCGGCTATTCGGAATGAAACCGTGTTTTTGATTAAATGAATCTAAGCAGATAGAAAAAAAAAAAAAAACTTAATCAAACTTAATATTTTTGATATTTACATAATATTATTAGTACGTGGACACGCCACATAACACTATACCTGCCTAAACCATACATACATATTTGGAATTCTGTTTTCAAAACACAAAACTAACTAACAACAGGTAACATTAGGTGGTCAATTCCAACATTCCACGTGGGTATTTATTAAAATAGGTAGATACGTACCTACTGGTGTAAATCCAATTTATAATATTTAGATAACAAATTACTTACCTAAATAGATATTAAATAATAATCAAACATTTACTTATACATTTTTGTAAATGGAAAAACTACAGATTTTGTAATGTACCTGTACCTGCCTATGTAAATTGAAACCCGAAAATTAAACGTTAAAAAAAAAAAAAACGCATTTTATATTCAAAATAGATGTTTTGTCTCGTTTCACGCAAACAGAATTAGTGTTAAGAATACAGTGTTAAAAAGTGACCTCGATTTTATGAACTAACAGCGGCGGCGTCATTTCGGTTTTTGAGAGAGGACAAAAGTTTTGACCGGCCCATACAATTTGTTACAATATACGCACTAAGTTCGATTTATGTGAGCATGTTAGCTGCACAACGGTGATGAATTTTCTAATTTTGTCGGTCCACATTTTTACAACCCGAATTGACTTCAGAATTGAATGAACGATAGGAGGCATGCCTAAACATATTACCTATTAGCTACTATATGAAAAATTAGTTTGAGGGGAATTTTTCGCCAAATTAATATTCTATTTTCGCCAATACCTAGGTATGTATGTATGGAATGTAAATGTTTCGTAAAACATAATGACATGAATCTGACGAATCATGTTTGCGGGCTCGCTGGCCCGACACTAGCTCATCATTATGCCCGACCCGTTGGTGACGAGGGTTGGCAAACGTCTCCCCCGCCACCTCCCGAATGACGCCGCACTGAATCACGGTATTACTATAAAAACATGACTTACAATCGTACGAAACCAATAAAAATACTTTATCCCCTCAAAGTCTACCCAAAAAAAAAATCAATACATAGGTATTTCGAATAGATTAGGTTTGATATAATGAGCTATAACTCAGAAACATCTAACACATTTCGATAACTAATTATATTCCTACGCCATGTCTAGAAAATCATACAATATTATGATTTATAAATTGGGTAGGTACATGCAGGTCGGTACAACGGTACACAGGATACCTACATAAATTATGGTATTTCTACAATTTGTGTTGGTAGGTATCTACTCAGTGGCGTGACCAATTCAAATATATTCAGGGGCAAGTATTTTTTTCCGATACCCAACTACCTAACGACAAACCCATGACCTATCGCGATTGGCTATTAAACATGAAGATTTCACACTGGGTTTTTATAGCTTTCTTAAAAATTGATACAGTTATAATAAAGTGTTGAACCATACTCACTAATTTTATCAATATCAAAATATCTTTTTTTTTTTTTTGCGTTATTTCCCTGCATTCATCATAATTATTATAAAATAAAATGTTTGTCTACCCATCATCTAGCACCGAACGTGGAATGCGTCTATTAATCAAAATATTATGATCCTGATAGGATGTCTGATGTCGTCATATAATACATTCAGTCATGGAAAATATATATATACATATTTTATTGTTCTACCTAACTATATTTTTTTATAATGTTACCTCTGTAAAAAATGTTTTTATTACTAAATAATATTAAAGTTGGTTACAAATGTGAAAAATCAAAACGGAATGCATAAGGCAGATCACTCATACGCACATTTTGGTACCTATTATATGAGAATCATATAAATATACGCATAACACATATTTAATTCTGTGAGACAGTGCCCATTAGTTATTACTCAATCACCCATCACCGATAAAAAGAAGTCAGAGACAGTCACCTCTCGATTAACCCCTTCGCCACGTCACTGGAATTCAATTTGAAAAAAAAAAGAACACCAATTTTGTCAAAAAGTAAAATGACCTTCCCCAATATGTATCAATCATACAAAACAATTACTACCAGACGCCATCTCTGTGGTGGTTTGAAGATTAACAAAGGTCTGGTTGTTTACGAAAAATAAAAAAAATATTTAATTTAAAATTGTTTGTATTTACCTGAATCAATGTATAGATTATTACGATTTCTAAAATTATTAAAAAATGATCTGTCTGCATAAGAATTTTTGACACCGTATAAAAATATCACCCAGACAATAATCAAACACATATTGTATACAAGAATGTAATAAGAACAATCTCACGAATATGTACAAGTTATACTAGTCGCACAAAACATAAATTTTGTATTATCACATTAATATTAATATTATTCTTCAACAACTATTGTAAGTAAACAATAAAAAACATTACCTACTGTATATTTTGATATTAAGTATACAAATTTCGGGGGAACAAGTGTTTTGAGCGTATTCTAGCTCGACATTTACCTATAATAAATATTGTTACCTTAATAATTGCCGTTTTAAACTAACAGCAAAAATTTGGATCTGCTGAACTCAAATTTGCTGTTTTGCAATTATATGACAAAGACAATACTTGTGTGTGTAGTGATTCTCTTAAGCACATACAAAGTAAATCCATTTCTAGCAATTTAAAAAAAGGTATCAACAATTAATTATTTTGTTTTATTTGGTACCTATTTGTTATTCTAAGTATCATAACAATTCTAGACAAGGTACCAATTTTACTATCAGTGGAGTTAAATAAAATAAAATTACTCATATAACCAACAATTTATAATAATTAATAGTGGTGATAACGCGAATATCTGAACTGCTCCAGTTTGAGATATCTAAGGTGGAACAACGTGAATGCACTTGTCATGTACTATCAATTTTTGATTAATTATTTATCTATACAATAATATATAGACACTGTACATAAAATAAGGATTGTGGTTAACTTTTTTAGAAATGAAAATCAATTAAGTACATTATTCATCTCAAAAGAATATCATATATGACTGAATATTTTGATTTTCAAAATGCCAATTATAAAAAATATGTAAAGCATACAGTAATCTGGTGCGTGGATAAAACAAACTAATTTTTTTATAAAAAAAAAAAAAAAAAAAAAAAATAATAATAATAATAATAATAATAATAATAATATTAATAAAATAATAATAATTGCCAACAAAATGTTTTGAAAAATTTTAATCCTATTATACAATTCTAACTATCAAAAAAAGAAAAAATAATAATTAAAGTACATTTTACAAGATAGTTAAAGGTCTATCTTAAATCAATTATATTCTTAATTATTATAGTAGATAGTTCTCAATTAAGTCGTTTGTATTTGATCCATGTGAACGTAGATTTAAGTTCATAATGGTGGCCTTAAGATGAAGCTTTGATACAAAATTACTAGCTGTAACAAAAAAAAAACAGTGGATTACACAATATCAAAGACATTCAAACATAACAAATGTGTTCACCTACATTTTGTATTTTGCTTATCTACTACGAGATCTTGACTTAGAAATCGAACGACCAGATCTTGAACGGACCGCGGATCTTGAACGAGAGCGTGACACTGATCTTGAACCAGAACGAGAACGACGGCTGCGGCTGTATGAACGAGAACGAGAACGAGACCGAGAAGGAGTGTACGACCTTTTATACAATACAAATAATATTATTAGCAACAACCAACCATTACATAATGTATTATATTTAGTTGTGTGTAAATATAGATGAAACCCCAAGTTTTTAGTAACATATTTCCTAAAAATTATTTATTAAAAAGAAAATATTTTTAGAAAAGAAAAAATGAAATAATTAAAACTGAATTTTAATATCCTATAAAAAATTTAGAATACTTTCATTCTTAAGATTTTTCTTTTTAATAATTATTTTGACTTTCTACTAACAATTGTTCACAGCTATTTTAATTAGATTAAGATTTAGTATTAAAATTAATAATTATATTTGGTATGAAAATTAAATGTTAATAAAATGTTTTGAAACGTGTGGTTAAAAGTGTAAACACTGAGTGTATTTGATATAAAAATAAAAAGTATTAAGAAAATGAATCATTTTTAGTTGAAAGCGAAAATATATACTAGTATACTTAACTTTAATTAAAAAAGTAGCGAGTCTTATTTATTGTGTTCAAATTATAATCAAAAATTAGTAATTTACACCATCTGGTTACAATAGTGTATACAATAATAAAATATCAAAATTAACAAAAATGCTTCTTTTTTTTTTTGTCTACAATGTGATTGCATAGTATTAATAAATCAATTGTGATTAGATATAAAATATAAAAACAAATATATAAGAAATATAAGATCGATAAAATTACAACATTGTGTAGTATCACAAAACCTAAAGCATAAATCAATGTTATCATAACTCCTATAATCCTATAATTAATGCACACAACTAGAGACCCTTTAGGTTTGTGCATTATTTGTGTCTATGGAACAGTCTAAAAATTAACGAGATTAGTAACACAAATTTGAATTGCAAAACAATTTAAAATATTAAACTGTGTTAATGTGTTAATTTATAATTTTGCATGTTTGTATTCAATTTTAAATGTCAAATGACTATTGGCATAGAACAATAACTATTAACATTTTAATTTAATATTTTATATTGTTTTCAAATATTTTAAGTACTTATTTGAACTGAATGAATATTATATTGTTGATTAGTTTTTTTTTTTTTTTTTTTACAAGTAAAACTTTAACAAAATAAACCTACTTTCTTTGTTAACCATAGTTAAATGATTAACAAATTAATTTCAAAGAATAAATAAAATAGTCCCTTTGTCCCCAATTTCTTTAAAATGATCTGCAAATTAAAATTAAATTATTTATTTATTTCGAATGTTTCCGAGAACTATAAAATATGACATAAATAATAATTTTTCATATGATTGAATAATTAAAGATGTATTCACCTCATCATATTAAAATACATTTTTTTAAAATATCATACCAGATTTAATATAGATAGCTGAAAAACAAAAACGAATATTTGTGTGAGTATTAATTTAGAAAAAGTATCATTACATGTGTAACGACAACTACAAAATTACTTTTGTTTTAATAATTACTAATTAATTTTATAAAATTTGAACTTATGAAAAAATATTTTTTACTTTAATAAATTTTTAATTTCAATCATAGTATTATTTTTATTATTAACATTTAATAACATAACAAATAATATTAAAAATAATATCATGTGTTCTTAGAACATATGAAAAGTAGAAAAGCGTTGATTATTAAAGAAGAAATTATTAAAATAAAGTAGGCATTAATATTTATTTGAGAAATTTAAAGAAGGCAGTATTTAGTAAAATAAAATAAATACAACGTTTACCCCAACCAATCAATATAATCCAACCTGCTCTTGTGATTTTAAAGACTCACATAAAAATGAAGTTCAACAGTCTCATAAAATGACACTGATGTAATGCTACGTAGACAGTCAATGGCGTTATGTAGATATTATCTATAACTCTTTCTGTGTACGTTCACCGATAGCTAATTAGAGCTAATCAGAATAAAAATCATTAGGTTGGTGGTTGGGTTCGATGGGGTTCTAGTGTAGCTGAGTACATCGATAAACGCAGACAGACAGATAGTTGCGCCATAGTCCGACGACTAACACACATTGCTCGTAGTAGAAGATCAATATATTTTATTTTGGTTGAGAGCTCTACGACGATCGACACTACGAGACGAGACGCTCTCAGCCGAACATCCTACAAAAATGGCCAATTATAGTCATTTTTTACATTTCCATTATTCAATGGTTGTGTCAATGATCTACATTATATAATAAAATTACAGTCGTAATTTAAAAAAAAAATAAATAAATAAGACTTCACCTCAGAAATAAAACATATTATTTAAATAAGTGAAGCCAAAGAAGAAATAAAGTCAAATTAATAATTTATTTACCTGCGCCGTCCTCCTTTAAAACGTCGACAATCACGGGCATAATGTCCTCGATCACCACATTCATAACATTTATCTTCTGGGTGGAATGGACGACCACGGCGAGGAGGGCCTCCACGATAAGTACCTTTGCGCGATCCAGCATTTGACAGTTCAACTCTGACTCTTCTTCCACAAATACTCCTAAAATACAATATAAACATCATTTGAGTATCATGAGCTAATATAATATTGCATTTTAATATGCAAAACATAATAATTGTATAGCTATGTTGAATATCCTTGTTACCTGCCATCCAAGCCTCTAACTGCGTCTTCAGCATCTCTAGGATCTTCAAATTCGACAAAAGCGAAACCAGGAGGATTACGTGCAACCCAAACATTACGAATGGACCCATAATAGGAAAATGCGTCTTCCAGATCTTGTTTAGATGCAGTTGATCCTAAATCGCCAACATATATTTTGCAATCAGGATTGCCAGAATCTCGGTATCTGGACGAGGACGACATACTTTAAACAATATATTATCTGTAACATAATATAAATAATACAAATTTTTAAATTCCGAATTATATTTTAATAAATACTATATCAATATAATATTAACCATACGTAGGTTATAGGTATCTAATTCAAAAACTAAACAGTAATGGATACAAATATATATATATAGAGTGAAGCTTGTTCAATTTATTGTAAGGTTAAATTTTGCATGTATTAAAAATTTGATTTTTGTAATTTTGAAGTGTATAAGCTAATAATGTTAAAGTTAACATTTTCAAATAATTAGGTTTTTCACAGCATTTAAGAAGTATCCTGTGGCGATACCAACTTTTCAAACGAGAACCAATAACCCACTCGCGAGATATTCCACTATTCTGTTTTATAAGGGGGACAGAAGTGAAACACTATGAAAACGCTGTTATGTATTATGTATTTTATGATTACATAAATGATGATTTTTTAGACTGTTATCTTTAGTATTTTAAAGTAGAATAACTCAGAAACTTTTGTTCAAATTTTCATCGACATTCTCGGAAAAATGATCAAATTTAAAATTAACATTAAAATATCGAGGTTCTCATTTGAAATATTATTGTTGGTATCTTGGATACTACTAAAATGTGAACAATCTAAACATTCGAAAATACTGACTGGCTAAACTCAAAAATTACAAAAATCAGAATTTGATTAGGTAGGGTGTGTTCAAATTATAAAGATAAAAAAAAGGGCGAGCATGATTAATAAATCACACTGTATACTGTTGGTACCTAAATAATTAAATATTTGTATGAAATTGATTAAACGATTGTCTGACAAAAAATTTAGTTAACAATTCAAAATTACAAAATAAATGTAAACCGTACAATGAAAATTGTTCACAACAACACTCGACAAAAACTAAATTAACGACACAATTCAAGGCAAGTCTGGTTTTAAGAAAACATATACTTAATAGTAGTACCTAAGTACCTACTTAAATTAGTTTCAGATTAGTCTTTAATTGCGTCGATTATGTAAAAAAAATTCCAGCATACAGATAAGAAGTCTTTATCATTGTATTTTATAGTCGCTTATTGTATTTTCTGTTAGAATGATTAACAATGAAATGTTTGTACAATTATAAATTGTACATTACAATGTAGGTTACACAAATGTCCAATTAAAACTAATAAGACATTATGTCTATATAAATACGCCGAAATATATTAGCATTACGATTTAGCAATTGAAAATTGCGCTGGCAATCTGGACGTCCGCATTACGGAGGTTACGGTTTTAATGTTTTAGAGGAAATACGCGGAAAAACAAAAAGATAACACTGAAACCCTCGGTAATTGTGTAGGTATCCTCGGGACAGGAATGAATACAAACGAAACTGAATTGACGTGCCAAAACAAAGGGCACCTAAACGGTGCGGAGTAACTTAGGGGCGTTTATCGCTGTCGGTAAATCGCCAACTACGTACGCTAGTACGCGAACCGATAGAACGGTACGGCCGTCGGCCAAAGAAACGAAACGACCAGAACCCCGTAATGAACTAATAACGATAATTATCCCGGACCGGCGGATCGGGACGTTTAGATTTCTGTGCGGCGTTCGCGACGATTGATGGCGATGATCAACAGACGTAGGAAAAAAACACGGGAAAATTAAACGATCTCGAACTCGTGATAAAAAGATCCGTCCGAATCACCGGTCGGCTTGCTGTGAAATACGCCATTTGTTCGGGCCGTTTTCGGCCCGGACACACACTCACTGACCTGTTGCTGTAGAATACTGAATCACGCTGAAATGTAGACAGTTGACGGCGGACTCCGGTGGTTCACGTACACTTTACGGAATCGGACGCGAATGCACACGGCGCAGAGCCGAAAAACGAAGAAACGGGCGAATTTTCGCAGCACACGGAATATTATTGACGGAACCGTGAAACACCGATGTGCGCGCCCGTCCGACAGTATCTGTAGCGCTAGCGCTCGTATCTGACGTATCGCGCTCGGACTCGGATAGTCGGGTGGTCGCCGGGCGAGTACCGGGTGGTATAGATGACGGGCGGGGTGGTGAGAAAGCGGGTTCGGCCGACGCCATTTTAATATCGTGTTTGGTGAACGGACAGTGTGACCGTCGGAAGGTTGAGCGCCGCCGTATTGTTGGCAACACGGTTCCGTCCGCAGACTTTGGTGACCACGGTATCCTCTGGTGATTATATCAAGACCGCGGTTGAAAACAGCTTGGATTTTTTTTTTTTATTTTGTCGGTAAATTTTAATCAAAATAATATCGTACTGAATAAACTTGTCGGAAGAACTGTTTTACAGTTTTTGTTTCATCTTTGTTTCGATTTGTGTTAATATTATCACAGATTATATGAAACCAGATAGTGCACTTCTAGATTTACTGATAACACTAACTTGTCTCAAAGCAGAAAAGCCACATTGGAGAATAAATTAATGTACAACATTTTTTACCATTTTTTTTAATTTCAAATACTTCTCAAATATATTTCGACAAGTGTATTTTAAATATTTTAAAAACACTTTTTTTTTTTGGCATTTTATTCCAGAATATTAAATATTTCTTTTCTCTTTTCGTGTATTATTTACACGTCAAGAATGACTCTTTTACACAATTTAAAAATATTTTCCACAGAGTAATTATTACTCTATGGTTATACCACAAAGACAAGGAGAAAATAAAAACAAAGTTTTGTTCGTGGCATTTGGTTAGCTCGTTTATTATAATGTTCTTCCAAATTTAATAGTAAAAAAATTAATTAATACATAGGATTATAGGTAATATAACTTAAAGTAGTACAAAATAATAAAAAATATTCGTCTTTTTAAAAATATTTATTTTAATTAATAAGATGATTTTCTATCATGAATCAGCAATTATCTCATATTTTAAAACCATTTTTAATTTATGATCACCACCCCATAAACATTAAATAAGTGCATACTTTTGATTTTCAAATAGGGATTCCCCTTCCCCTTTTGAAAAAAGATTTTAACAGAGAATACGCACTCTTATAATAAAAAAATTGTACATACTTTCAACTGTAGGATTATTTATTTTTTAATAATCATTTTAGATTCTGAGCGGAACAGGGAATGTATTGGTTTTACAATGATTTTTTTTTTTCTGTTGACAACTATTCTACCAGCGATTTCGCTCTGATTTACAATGATAACACTTTTTCTTCGGATTTCAGGTAATCTGACTGGTATTGTACTTGTAGGGAAGTCGTTTTTTTGATATATATTTTGTTGACGACGAAAAAATACTATCAACTGAACTCCGCTCGAAATCGTTTTTTCGTTAGTCATATTGCTTACAGATACGTTAAATTACCTATAACAGTGGCTGCACCCGTCCCCATTACCCTAGGACAGCTTTTTAGCCTTTTGGGTATTTATTACTAAATTTTACATTTAATATTGTTTTAGTGAATACAGCCTAAATGATAACGTAATTCATATTATTGAATGACAAAATAATAACAACATATACCTACTGTTTAGTAATAAAATAAAAATAAAACCGAAATCGTATTTATCTGTCTCATTGACAGGAACCACTTTTGAGACTCTATTGAAAATCTACTTGCATCATAATTTTCATGAAATTTCGGGGAGGGGGGGATTGAACCCCTTACCCCCTCTCCTCATTGTACACGAGCCTGGTCTAGTGCATGACAGCAAAAAAAAAAAGAAAAAAAAAGACAGTAGTCCGGGTACTAAATACTCGGGCTTAAAAGACGCGTAAATTGTCGAACATTAAAATATAACCCGTAGGACGCAATATATTTTTAAGAAACGAAACGCGTTTAAAAACGACATTTAATGTGATATAATCCACTAGCGGTCAGCGCGCCGGCGCGGGGAAATTACGACTATAACGGAGTAACGTGAAATTTCCGGACACACTTCGAGGGAATCTGTCGATTTGCAATGATTATCGGAGGCCGTTCTCGCGAACGTGGGGGGAAAAAAAGGAGAGAAAAAAAAAAGGCGTTTATCCGATTGCGAAACCGGAGTTTAAGGCCGACGGACGGGCTGGTCTCGTAAAATCCGTTTGAAAACGAACGCGCGCGTCGACGTCAAACACGCGAGCGCCGGCCGCGGGGTGACCAGCGCGGATGAGGCGCAGCGTAGGCCGGCGCAGCGCATGAAAAAACTGTGTGATCTATGTGAGCGCCGTATTAACCCGCGCAGTTCCGTGTCGCTATTCGTCCAGCCGCGGGTGAAATGATCGCTGAAAATTCAATAATATATTCCCGAGCGTTTGCAAAAAAAAAAACCACGATAAACAAACTTTAAGGCTCCCGTCGCCAGCAGCGTTGACTAACTATGGTCAAATGTTACCATACGCTTCTGTAGCGGATGAAGCATTTTCACCGTGCGAAAATATTGCGCGACCCTGTCCAAAGAAAAGTATTACGGACAATTTTCAAAATAAAGTTTTCGATCGTTGACTTTCAAGAGCACGGCATATCAGCACCGAGATCCCGGGTGTTTGGAAGACCATCTGAAAGTGTCGATTAATCAATTACTGCCGTTAGTGAACAGCAATGGCAGAAGTGGATCAAATGCATTTCGCGTAGGGCGAAAGTTTCATTTCAGACTATTTTAATGCAGTGGGAAGCACACCGACAGTGTTTCTAGGGGTAAATACTAAAGAATTTGATGTGCGGACAAATTATATTATAATATATGTAAAACTCTACGAAAACCATTGTATTTATTCGCTGTACTTAATTTATATATTTTTTTTTTTCCCGATTATTCAGTTATTCGGTCGTTTAATTATCACGTTTTAATTAAACTCGCGAATAAATAAATGGAAAACAAACGAATTTACCAGCCAACAATAGGAATTCAGTACACAGACACATCGTTGATATTATCGTATTGTTATAACTCGCGTGCGCCCAGCCTTATCGTGTTTGTCGACATTAGATAAAATCAAATCGAACTACGCAATCTTGCCCGATCGCACCAACACACAGTTACGCGCGCGGTCACGATTCTATTATAACACAAATTATTTATACGCGCGCGTGTATTACATGGGTAAATTCGGTTCGTTTCGGTAATACTGTTGTGATCATAAACATTCTATAGGAACGTAATCTAAATCGGTTTTAAATACAATACTGTAGGGCAGGTACTTCCCGGTTTTTAATTTAATTTCACTATAGCCGTGTTTTCCCGTGTCCTCGTGTTTTAATTCTCGTCTTCGTAGTAACAGTCGACGCGACTGTAGAAAAAAAAAGTCCATTTATTTTTTTTTTTTTTTTTTTTATTCCGTAGCGTCGCAATAAGACACCGTAATAATGTCGGACCGGTCCGATTGTAGCCTATTCCGTTTTATTCGAGTTTATTTCGGCTGGGGTGTAGCGGATTTTTTTCCCACGTACACCACGAATCCGACGCGGCCGAGGCGAGTGCCGTTTTATCAATGAGAAACGCTGGTATAACGTTCGGTACGGACCGGAGAGCGGCTGTCAAAAAGATAAACATTTTCCCGCATAAATTTATCGAACGTCCTGGAGATTGGTTTAATTGTTTGACAATGGACGGGCGCGCTTATTTTGAATGATGTAATTCGCATATTTCACATTTACGTTGAAATCAATAACTGTGCGGCACGACGACAAGGCGCGCGGTAAACAAACACGTTAGGTTATTCGCGTCGCGGGGCCCGCGCGCATTACGATTTCAAACGACAAACGGCAAACCCTCGACAGAAACGGAAACACCGGCGAGTCTCACCGTCGGTTCTCGTCCGCACACGTCCGTGTCGACCGACGGTTCTCACCGTGACGACGAAACCCGTCGTGTTTCATCGCGGCGTACGGGAAGCTCAAGACGGAGACACGGTTTCGCATCCGGCCGTGGCGCGCCACCATTTGAGCAAACGCCACGGGCGTACCCGGGCCGTTAATCGCGTCACGTCCGCGGCGACAACCGCTCAAGCGGCCCTCGCACGACCGAACACTGTCGACAGCAGCGCGGACGCTGACAGCGTTTGGGCATGTCGACACAGACAGTCGGTGTTTAAACACCGTCCCACACTCGGTATTGATTTGCGTCTGATTGCGTCGGTGTCTCCGTTTAATAAATATCCGTGTTTTGTTCAAACAAAATAATTATAGTTTGATGTGGATGAACAGCAAACGAGAGTGTGTAGCAATTGCGTCGGCCTTGTCCGTCCCAAACGGTACGCGAGTCTCGAGAAAACGGAAACGACGTGTACGATAAAACGATGGATTTCCGAACGGAGGCGGCGCGCGCGTCTAAATGTTATAAAATAAGTGCAACTTTCGGACCCAAAGGACTTTAATAATTATTTCCGAACGAACATTGGTCATTATAATCAACTTTCGAGTATGGCAGCACCGTTAATCACGAAAATGTGGACCAACACGAGAGAGAGCGTTTCACCGAATCAACGACCGCGGCACATCGCGTAGATCCGGCCAACTGTTTGTACCGAGCACTAAATTCGCGCAGTATTTGCCCGTCTCGGGATTCACTAGTGCACGTGTTTTGACTTTCGTCACCCACGGCTGCGAAAAACATACCGCCGGCGCACCGTCGCCAGTATAATTATCGGTGAATAAATACCGAACGCTCGATGTCCAATTTTTATTTTCTATCAGTCATCGGTATCGTTTTTTTCATACCGACAATACGTCGGTGCACATACATTGCGCGATCAGTAATACTGTCCGTATCAAAATTACCGTCAGTAACATTGACCGTGCGATGGCCGCCACGGTCACGATATCGCACCGCGGCCGTACCGGGCGACCGAGCCGAATGCAATGCGTCGCGACAATCGCGTTCGCCGGTCCGCGCGGTCGATTGTTGTCGCGCACGGGCCGCCGAAAGCTCCCTGCCCTGCCATCCCACCCCCCCCCCCCCGCCGACCGTCGACGGCGCTCCGACCGCCATTAAAAACCGCTCTCGTCAAACGGAATGTAATTGCAACCGCAGTGTGAACGTTGTCAGAAAAATGTCAACAACGCCGTTGGATACGCGCAATCGCGCACGGACCTTGATACCATCGTGCACTACGCACGTCGGACTCGAGTTCAATCGGGCGGCGGCGTCGCGTCGCCGAACGTGACGATCACCACGTCGTCGATTGCATTGTCCGGCGCGCGTTATCGCGGGATTACGAATAGCGAGACCCGCCGTACGCGTAATAATACGAAAACAATTCGGCTCGGCGAGCGTCCGGCATTCGTTAGCCAAGAGCGTTTTCTGTTTTCCCGTCGATACCCGTCGCCCTTATTTCGTGTCGGCCGAACCCGGCTGCCCGCTTTTGATTGTCGAACGGAGGGGGTGGGGGGGGGCAGGGGGGCGACTTCCGTCGAGAATTCCGCGAACAGACGCGAGCATTGTTCCGAAGAAAAAAAAAAAAACAACAAACGTCAGCGTAAAAACGTGTTTGTTTCGGCTGCCGTCATCGGCGTTTGTTTTCCCAGACGACCGCAGACCGATCGGCCCACGCTACGTCGCAAACCGACGCGCGCCGACACCGCAGCACGGCACTGCGAGTTTAACGGCAAAGACGACGCGGAAGACGTTTCCCGGCGGCGGCGGCGGCATCAGTACGCGCGGGCCCCCCGTGATTTGTCGCATGTGACACGCGGGTACCGTCCGAGGAGCGTGGCGGTGTTCGGGCGAAGACGATAAGCGTTTGTCAACACACACGAACCGCGCGCAACACACACACAACGACGCGCATGTTTAGATAAAAACATTAAACAAACAACGAGTCTCGTTCGATTCGGTTTTACTGCTGACGACGGCGTTCATTTGCACTCGACACGCCGAATCGCAGTGCACGTCGCGGTCGTTCGCTACTACGCTACAAGCATACGTCGGGGGTTTTTTCTCCTCAGTCTTTCCGTACCCGCGAACATTCGCCGGTGTCGTCGTCGGCAAACGTAATTGGATCGGCGCCGTCGCCTAGCAGTAGCGGCCGCAGCAGCAGCAGCAACAACAGCCGCCCGCGGTAAGTGACTCGTCGCGTAATAAACGGCGTCCGAAACGGGACCGCGCGACGTTCGTCCGGTGCGAAATCCGCGCCGAGACGCCAAACCGGCGCGGCTCCGATTAGCTATCGGAAAACCCTCGGACCAATCGCGCGTCGGCCGTGTGTTTCGTCTCGCGTGTCGATCGAAACACGCCCGGCGCGTAAATTGGTTCGACGGCTGAAATCGCCAATTCACAATTGCCGCGTTCGGCGGCGGCGGCGGCGTACTTTCGTTTCACGCTCGCGGTGCCCCGTCCGCGGTACCATTACCGCGAACGCGTTCAAAAGACCGGCACGTTCGCGTCGCGGCGCGCCTGCCGCTCGCGTTGTGTAATTTAATTCTGGGTTTTCCCGGTAGGAACTCCCGTCGGATTCGATTATCCGTCGATAACCGGCGTGCCCGCCTGATCTGCCGACTTGTTGAATGGTTTACCCCGGCCGACCATTTAATCCGGTATTGGCGGCGACGACGTCTTGCGCGAAAAGAGAGAGAGAGAGTGAGTGAGAAATATGAAAAACCCGTCCGTCGGAATCGTTCGCACCGGTCTCCGCCGCAATTGATTGTTTTCCTTTTCAATCGCCACTACCGCCCGTACGCGTTTCGTGCGCGCGACCGAAATACGCCGTTGGGCGGGCACGGTGTTGCGGAACGTTCGCGTCGTCATTATTGTCGTAGCGACCGTTTTAATCGTTCCCCGTTGTCATTCGTTACCGCGTGTTTACGACGTTAAATAATTTAATTACCCGACGAATTGTTTTACGATTTATCCGTTTTTTGTTCAAACGCGCATTTTATCTGTTCCAGGAAACGCGTCCGGACAAAATGCCCAAGAACAACAGCTCAAAGTAAGTAATAAACTGCTCTCTTGTCGTCCCGTAACGAACACTCCTCGTTTTCATTGTCAACGCCATCGATTCGCCGCGACGATTATTGGCCAGCGCGCACTATCTGTACGTTGTTTGTTACGGTTTTCTCCGTTCTTCTTATTGCCGTTTTTGAACAGTTTCCGGTAGCGTTAAGGCTTTTAACAGACATAACCTATGAACTAAGTGTAACGGTGCAGGTACAACAAATAAACCCGACAGATCCGATCGGTCTACCGGAATAAAACGTAACGTATTAACCACGAATACTCTTGTAAGTTGCGTATTTTTTTTTATATTAATAGTAATCGCGTTTAATTTCAATTTTCCAATTTTTTTTTTCCGCTGTCGCGCTATTGATTCGTTCATACGGGTAGGCGGAGTCCGCCGCTTGTTTGTATTTAAATTTCAACTGTGCTTTTTTTTTTCTTGTTTTTGTCGTGGCCAGATAATGTCTTTTGGGGGGGGGGGGCGATTTTAGTTTGGTACACCGGCGATTTTTCTTTCCCGGTGTGTAATTTTATTTTTGCATTACCATGAGAAATGTACGACAAAGGCGGGAGAACTTCGAAAATTCGGTTTTTACAAAATGTGTATTCCGGTCGGGCATGACAAAAACATCCGTCATGCTCGCTTTTAAAATTTGTGCGCGTACACTATTATGTTAATTTTTTCGACGTCGGTTCTTGAAAAAAACTTGGAAACCAATGGCAATCTTTATTAAAGAAACTTCACCGTTAATAATAACGATTGATTGGTGGTGATTCGAAGACCGTCTCGTGTTGGTAAAATTCGGGTTATGCGTGCGGCCATTCGCTATTATGCTAAACTAAAAATTGTTGCCTATTTTATGTATAATTAAATTTAACTGTATATCAAGTTATGTTATGGTTATAATATTTTTTTTTTTTTAGAAAAAATGGAAGAACAAAATATAACTTGTCTATTGAGGATTTTGACAAATTGCATACTAGTTCTAAAAGGTTTTTATACCCTTTTTTTTTTTTCTATGCATTACATGGGCTTTTATGCACAGGAATAATTTTTGAACGTTTGCAACCATTTTCATATGCTATGCGTTCCCAAGTGGGGAAGAAAGAATTTTTTTCAACAATTTTTTTTTTCTTTTAAATAACGAAATGTATTTTACCTTAAAATTGTATAGATCCTGTTTATATAGAATAATAACTGTCCCACGTCTATATTTTTTATATATGTATATATTATAGGTTATTTACTTTCCTTATTATGATGCCATTAAAATTATAAAAACTGAGTAAACACAATAAGAATTTAAATAACCATTAGTTATTTCCACTTGTCAGACGAGTAAATTTTACTATTTTATTATTTCATTAATATTTGATTCGTGGATAATGGAAAAAGCCAGGAAGTTATTAATTTATCAATGATGGGTGAAAACAGTTTTAATTTCTATTTCATCTTTAATATCTGGTATTTTAATGGAGGTGTCTGGGTGTCATATTAATTAAAATGTAAATGTATAAATTCAGATATCATATCTTTAGCATTTACACAATACTATTTACTAAAGTAATTGAATTGACATTTAATTGTGTTTAAGGAATTAAAAAAAAATAATTTTGTTTTTTATGCAATGAATACATAATTATAATTAGGTACCAATTGTATTTTGTTATTGAAATAAGCTTATATTTTCTTTTGAGCTATTAAGATTCTCTGCTTCTGGAGATAATGTTTTTTTTATTGAATTTTTAATTTGTAATGAATTACAAAATATTTGTAGTGATGAATTAAAGAATACAAATAACAGAAATGATAAGGAGGACCTGAAAAAAAATCAATATAAAGATGAGACCGAATGCAATAAACCATTAAAAGAAGGGTATGTTCTTTGTAAATGGAGGGATATATTTGAACATATTTTCTGTGATTTGTTGCATGATAACGGTTGTATGCTTTTTCATATTTTTGCTGTAAACATTGATTATTGGTCTCACATTTAATGTTTAATTTGCTTTTTCAAAAGCGCAAAATAATATTTATTGTTTTTATAAAATTGTTAAATCAATGTCTAGAAGAAAACGCAACAATTCTAACAATGAACCTGATGCTGAACACAGTGATAGCATCTTTATTTCTAATGAAAAGAAAATTGCAATGGATCACCAAAATAAACATTCCACACACAAAATTTGTGGTGAAGCAGAAAGCTACTTTAAAAATAATAAGTAATCAAATAATTGTATACAATTAAATATTAATTAATACCCAAAAATACATTTTTCTTATTTAACATTTTATAATTAGAATTGATATTAGATATTTTTATACTGTTGTTTATTTTTATTGATTAGTCAAAACAATTACTAGTTTATACCGAAATGTGTTTCATGACAACGATTCTATATACAAAATATTTTTTTGTTTTTTTGCAAATTTTGATGTTTTGGGATTTTGTAAATTTTTAGAGCATATACATAAAGATATACATTTTTAAGATATATTTAACGTAATTCTTTTTCTCTTTTAAAATTCATCCTTCATAACCGCTCTTTTCTTCCTTCATTCCGCAGTTTTATACTTATTCTCTCAACTCCAACGTTTCGTCTTATGTGCGCTGCCAATCCTTCATTTAATCTTATTATTATTTTTTTTTTTTTCATACTTTAACTATAATTTGGGCTATTGATAGAAATTGGTTTATTGATTAAAAAAATATATTGCTATTCATTATAATTAATTTAGGAATTATGAAACAAATCACAGAAAGAATAAAAATAAAAGAGATGAAAATAATGATAACCGACCAGAACTCCCTGACAAGTATGTAAATATATTAAAATCAAATTGAACAAGTTAGTCATATTGTATTCATATTAGAATGGATGAAAAAATTGAAAATGAAAGTAATATGATCAGCAGATCAAAGAAGAAGAAAAATAAAAGTTCTATTCGACATCATAAGGATAGTTTAAACTGTAGTAATGAAACTGAAAATAATAATGACACACCAAACATTTCATCATCTACTGATAAGTAAGCTAAAGTTTTTACTATTAACTAAAGAATTTTTATTGTTAATTTTACAGTCAGTAGTTGATAAAACTATATTTTTAATCTTGTACAATTTAATGAAAAATATTCTTAACATTCTTGTATATAAATTTAATATTATTTTGTTTAAGTCAATTAATACAAAAATCTGAATTTAAATCAAATGTTATAGGTGTACTTATTTTTATATTTATTAATTATTAGATACTTATATTATTAGAAGCAATTATTAGTTTTTATAATAAATGGTAGAATTGTCTTATCAGCTATATTTTATTCAGAGTTTTAGTGATTTTTTTAATAATATATAATATAAAATGTATAGCTTTTATTGAATTTTGTTCAAATTTATTTGATACCAGTTAGAATTATCTTGCTAGTAGGTATTTGAAAGCTATACATTTGATAATTATTTTTATAAAAAATGTACAATGATGCAAATAAAAAACTATTGATTATACAGACTAATGTTCCTTGCATATTTACCTTTAAATTATTGATAAACATATAGCAATAGATATATAGCAATTTTATGTGAAAAACATTAAAAGTATTTTTTCAATTAGACGTAGTAGATCCAGACATGGCCATGACAGACCACATCATAAAGAAAGGTCTTGCAGCAGGAGTCGTAATAGAGATTCCTCAAATAACTACTGTATTTCAAATAAAACTGAAAAAAGAAACAAATCAACAAATGTTAGTAAAAATACATACCACGGAGATTCAAAATTGTACGTTAGCAATTATTAACGTTAAAATTAAATTACCATTGCTTAAGTTTTTATTTAAAACATGGAATCAATGATATTGATTATTTGAATATTAGGTTTTGGGATATTTAATTTTAAAGTACAAAATATATTTGTAGTATTGAATTATAGAATAGGAATAACAGAAATGATAAGGTGGATATGAAAATCAATTGATAACAATGAATGCAAATAATCATTAAAAGGAGGAGATGTTGTTCTTCATAATTTTATTATTCAAATATATTTCAATACTTTTTTGTTGATATTTTAGTATTTGTTAATGTATTTTAATAGTTTTATTCTATATTGTCAATGTATAACTTTTATTAAATTGTTAAATTAACAGCTAATTAATTAATATGTTAAAGTGATGCCAATAATGAATCTGGTTCTAAACACAATTATTTCAATTCTGACAAAAAGAAGACATCATTAGATCAACAAAAAAATAAAAAGCGTGTTGAAGAAATGGAATCTAACCCATCTGGCACCACTCAAGAGTAATTTATAATTCTATATCTTTATTATTATTATTATTCCAAAAACCATTAATTTATTAGTCTAGGAAAAATGTAAATTTAAAAAAAAAATTTTTAATTTTCTGTAGATTCAGTGTAAGTAGTCTTATTTTGAGATTTAATTTACTGATAGAATGACAAAAATATTTGAAATTCAATAAGTCAATTTTTTATTAAGTACTAGTTAAATTTGTTGAAAATTATATTATGCATTCATTTATAAATATTTTCGGACTAAAACTTTTATATGGCTTTTATGATTATTGTACATATCCCATACAGTTTATATCAATTACTGTTTTTCTTTGTACATCTTATTTACTATATTTCTTTACGAGTATTAAACATTTTATTAATAATTTAATATTTTTTAAATATTTTATTATTTATACTATTATTCTTACACATAACATTATTTAATTAATTGAAATCCATAACATTAAACCTTAACCAGTTTGTAATGGAAATCTATATTATTATCTTTTTGAACCATTATTTTTATTTTCCGATAACAATTTATTTTGATCATAACTTATTTTAGTATTTATGGTGATGTTCAGAAAGAAAATAATAAGAAGAAAAAATCAAAAGAAGAGAAAAATACAATATCTGATCATGACAGTTTAAACGATGACAATAAAACTAAAAATGATTATAAAAAACCAAACTCTGCATTACCTACTACTGTAAAAAAGTAAGCAATATTAGTTATGATTATCTTCTTCTTTGCCTTCATTTCCACTATTCGGAGTTGAACATCTTCATTCTAAACTTCCTCTTGACTCAATCTCCCGCTTCACATACACCAACTGTCCTTTCTCATAACATTCTTAATTGCATCCAACCATTTAAATTGGTTTTCCTCTTCTCTCTTTCCTCCTACATTTATTTTTATTACAATACCTAACTGATTCAGATTTCTCTCTTATGCATATCCAAACCATCTATCTATTTTCTCTTATACTGTTTTCTATCGAAGCTATTCCAAATCTACCTTTTATGTATTCATCTCTTGGGTTAGATTTTTATCTCTGCTACATACATTCATTCTGTTAATATAAACTATAATTTTCTTCCTTGATTATTTTAGTAATTCTAATAGTATACCAACATGATTTATGTAATTTAATTTTTTACCAATATATTATTCTAATAACTTTGTTTCTAATTATAATTAATTTTTAGGAGTTACGGAAGAGATCAGACCTGGAGTAAAAATAACGTAAATGAATTTTCTGACAAGTATGTAAAAATTAAAAATGTTCAAATATATTTATTGTTTCAATATTTTTTGAATTTACATAGTATTATTTCATTTAGATACTGCGATAAATCCAAACGAGACAATAAAAATACCAATAGTAAATTAAAGTATCATCAATTGAACATTAATGATCGAGATTTGAAAAATAATAAGTATACTGGAGATGCAGAATGGTATGTTACCAATTATGTAAAAAGACAGACATACTTTGCACAATGGGTAGGCTACTGTTGTATGAGAGAAATTGGGAAAGTAGGATATAGAGGAAAATTTAATTTATATCAGTACGCAACGATAAACCATTGCTAACAAAATACGATTTGGAAAGAAGTTTTTTTTTTTATAAATATATGTATGCTAATACATTCCATGCTACGCTTTGAATCTAAAAATATTTTCTATATACCAATTACTTAATTTTTTAATCCTTATAAATAGAGGAAAAAAACATGTTTTCAAAATTTATCATAACTATAACTAGGGCAGAAACAGTAAAATAGAAAACTGTTTTTAAAAACCGAAATTAATTTGAATAGTAATCTAAACCGTACCTTTTTTTTTTTTTTTATATAGTGGTTAACTGATTTTTTTTGAAAGAAAATTATATATTCATGTTTATTTGTCTCTTGTTATGATTAAAAGTAAATAGCAATAAACATATAGATTTTACAAAATAATATGTAAAAAATAATAAGGTATTTTTTTTTCCAATTTTAAATATTTCAACATGTTTTTTAATTGTAATTGTTAATATTTAATATCAAAAAAAATTTAATTTGTTTCATATTTTAAATGTTAATTTATGGAAAATTGTTTTATTAAGTTATGATAATACTGTGTTTTTAAAAATGCAATTGAAATTTTTCAGTACTTTCAATGAAATTGATGAAGACCTTTTCAATTTACCTGATGAGTTTTCTCTTGCCCATTGTGTTGCTGAGGATTTAAAAATGGGGGCAGGCATAGCTGTTGAGTTTAAGTAAGAAAATCGTAAATTTGTTAAATTTCTAACTAAATAATATATTTAACTTTCTAGACGCATTTATGGTGGTGTTGGTAAACTATTTGATCAGAATTTAAAAGTAGGAGATGTTGGTATAATCAATCGGCATAACCGAACTGTGTTTTACTTAATAACAAAAAAAAAAAGTAGTGGTAAACCAACAATGATGTCATTGAGAAGAGCTCTTCTTACACTTCTCGACAAAATGAAAGAACTTAATTTAACTAAGTTGGGAATACCACAAATTGGTTGTGGATTAGACAATCTCGATTGGTCCAACGTTTCATTACTTATTAAGGAAATATTTTCTGGGTCTAACATACAAATAACTGTATGTGTACCTTCTTCAAAAGTAAGTATTATACATTTAGTATTACCAAATATTTTTTTCCTATTCTATTACAATATTAATTTTTCAGATAGAAAGTAAAAAATCGTGGCCATTAAAAGTATATGTAACACCAATCAATTTGTGGGACATGATAGCTGAAACTGTTTTTATTATATTTATTGACTTAGGGGATATACATCAAAATAATTGGACAAACAATGTTGTGGAAGAAATTAACAAAAAATATCCATTTAAAGAAAAGTAAATTTTTAAATTAAATTTTGCCTTTATTTTTATATGTTGCTTTTATTAATTATGTATAAAGTGTCAAATAAACTTACCGTATAAAATAGAAAATTTAATATGGACTTGTAAAAATATACAAATTATTGAAATCTACAACATCATAGATTATATTCTGATCTGTGGTAACATGCTAAACTCCCAGATAAATAGTTTGATATTAATTACACACTGTCAGATAATAAACTTTTATTTTTATTTTTTTTTTTTTTAGAAAAACAATTTGGTGGGGATTGAGATTTTTAGTTTAAAACCATAGAAATATCTTTGGTGGAAAATATGATTTTATTGTGTAACAACTAATATTTTTAATATTAAATTTTATTTGTTTGTAGTTTACTGAAAGATATCAAAAATAGAAAATTAAATCCTGGTAACATAACTGAGTACCATGTCAATAATGAAGTTATATTTTGTGTTTTTACCAATCAAAATGAATATTTTACTTCTATAGAAGAAGCATTTTTAAAAATAAACAATAAAAAGAAGTTAAAATATATATATTCAGCTATTCAAAGTGGTCCAATGGAAGATTATGTAGAACGGATTGTGTTGATTTATCGCTCAACAGTAAAAAATTCTGAATTATGGTTATGTGGTCATCCAGGACAAGGAAATCAGCTGACCTATGAAAAATATTGTAATGGCTTACATAAGTTGGATATAACCGACTAAATCAAATAATTTTAGAGTAATAATTCATTATATATTAAAGAAAAAATTATTAAACTCAAAAATAAATGTCCATGAACTAAAGAAATATATTTAATACCTAAGTATCTAAAGTATATTAAATTTGTTTGAATAATATATATTTAATTCAGAAAAAAACTATCTATTCAAATCCTGTTAATGTTACATTTTATAAGTTTTTAGTTGTTTTTAGACTCAAAGTCTGTCTATTTCTTTTGTCTTCCTTATAGTAAATTTATACTGGTTTCATTTTAAATCATGTTTCAAATTCCAGTTGTACAAATTATTTGATAATATTAGTTTAATTAATTAAAAATGGAACAAGAAACTTAAGTAATTGTTAAACATTTAACTCTTATTTCTACTTAAAACTCTGAATAATAAATAACTGTTTTATTTTAATTGAATTTCAGTAATAAAAAATAGAAACCGTACATTTAGATGTGCCTTTTTTAAAAGTTTAGTTTTAAAATTTTATTTCAATTATGTAATTTGTACTTACATTTAATTATCTGATACCGAATCAAACAATTGGGTTATTGTGAATTATGTTAAGTTTTCTTATTATTTTGTAAGTATATTTTAAATTTTAAAGTATCAGCTATTATACTATTATATCAAAATGTATAGTTGATCATACTATTAATTAATTATCTTATAAGTTCTGTATATCATTAAGTAATCTGTATAATTTATGTCAATAAAATTGTTGGGTTATAATTTGTTACTTTGTTTATTTGCCATTTTATTTTCAACTTGCTATCTCGCAGGGCTTGGTGCATATACATTATTGAACGATACAAATTACGTGTTACATATCTCTGTGTTTTTCCATAGCTCCTTGTTTCTATCCCTACCCCTACCCCTATCGCAGTGAAACTAACTTAGTAATTTATATAAACTAATAATTTTTTTATGTTCGGAGCATAGCAATGGATCTATTGGCTTTATTATAGTGTACATTTTTTTTTCTATATGTAAACAACTTTTCTACTAGAAATCTTGCTCTGTTGTATAGAATGTAGTACCTTTTCCGAAAAGAAATTTTGTTTAGTTGGTTTATTAATGAGGTAATTGTAATTTTTTGATTTTCCAAGGGGTTTTGAAAATGGGTAAAACCCGAAAAGATAATTTATAGATAAAACAGCCAATGTTAACGGCGCCGAAGCGTTACCAATTCCATTGTTTTTAAATTTTACAAACGGTTTTCTGTCATGTTACCACCTACCCTTGAAAAATTACAAGAGATCGATTTCGTTGAACTTAATGTCTAACCACAGAGAAAGTAATTTTCAGTTCGTTGTATTTTCTAGAAAACTGGTGTGAAAACTATTTAGTTTCAATAGAACGGCATATTACGTTATAAGGAATTAAATTGCTTTTACTAAGAAACTATTGATCGGATATGAATGTATGTTGCATTGAAATCTTTAGAATATTATCTTTTACATAATGGAGATTTTGAAAATTTTGAAAGGTAAAAAATAAAAAGTTGTTTTTTCAATAATTAAGAGATAAAAATAAAAATTCAATTTTTTTTTTCTACATATGTTTATCCATAAGAATAGGACCAGATTTAGGAATAGACTGCCTACGCTATAGCCTAGGAGCTCTATGACTTCAATGGGTGCCGTGGCCAACAAAACTCGCTTGTGTGCAGGGCCATTAGGTGAGAAGAGATATCATAGTGCGTGGTGTTTTGCAGATTATGTACAGCTTTGGTAGGAGAAATTGCGGAACAAGTGAACAGTAAGCTTTGAGAGTAGCACTTGAAGGGAAGGGACCGTGAAGAATAAGTAGAATTAAAACAGAGTGCGAGTTTGGAGGAACAGGACAATACAACTAATGACGGTAAACAGTTGTAGGCAAGTTTTAAGTACCTAGAATCGTTTGTATTAAAGACATGCAAAATTGGTAAATATATTGGAAGGAGGAGGGTCTATGTTCCAAAACATAGGAACGTGTTTTTTTTTTTTTTTTTTTTTTATTAGTCTTTGGGCGTTTTTTCGGTAAATCCGTCCCTAACGTAGTTGGGAAACGTCCCGTAATAAGCGCGCGTAGCCGCAAACGATCGATAAAGAACGAGGAACGACACGCACGTCTAAAAGATTTTTGCATAAATCGTCCGTTCTACCGCCGCGAAACGGCTCTATCGAAATATCGTTTGGATGGAGATAAACGCATTCGGTCAACCGCCTATTATCTATGATCTATGTGTGTGTATCTATTATTCCGAATGAGATATTTCGAAGAAACTCTCGCGACGTTTTTTTCGAAAAATTCTTTTGTGTGTATTACATGTATATATTTTTTTTTTATAAATTCTGAACGAAGCTATTTCGTTCAGTTTAGTAACTATATACATATACATTAAAAAAAAAAAAAAAAAAAAAAAACACTAATACGCGAAAATGCAAGCGCTAGAAATATTAATTGTCTAAAATAAGAAAAATAATTTTTTAACAATTCCACGACGACCAAATCACTAAGCACAATGGACCACATTCGTCATTCGGTTGAACGAAAGTTTTATTTAATTTGTTTGATTTTTTACTCGGGCAGAGATTTAGCACGGTTCAAGTCACGTATTACGTAAGACAACGTCGAGAAATTTTTGGGGCGTTGACGTTGGTGTAGTGTTATTCCCACTATGATTTCGTGGTTTAAGCAAAACAATGTTTTAAGTAAAAATAAACCGGCTGCGGAAATGGCCGATTCGTACGGCCAGTTTCTAATCNGTTGGTGTAGTGTTATTGATGTTCTAATCAATTCACGTCCAGCTTTTTCTGGGAAATCGGTCAACATTTATGAGTGACGATATTAGATAGTATTTTTTAAGCCAATGGGGGTGGTGGGTGAGACATAACCCCTAACCTCCCCATCCGGGCACGCCGCTGGTTACGGTTGACATTTTGTAGCAAGTTTTCGGTTCGAAAAGTTATTTACACACAGAGAAAAAAAAAACAACCGCACAACCCACTGTACACTAAAACCAATGGATTCGTCGCCTCGCTACGTTCCGCGTCTAAAAAACCGCTAAACATGAAAATGTCACGCGACATCAAACTACAGATTTGGCTTTGTCGTAACGCGTGATAAATTTATTTCTACCAGACTTTTTTTTTTTTCTCACTATCGTTGCGCGCAATACAAACAACAGTTACCATTGCGATTTCTATTTGTTTTTGTCGGTAAACAACGATCGCTTTTCCACACCCACCGGTGTTGTTGTACCAATCGCCAACGTTCGAAAAAGTCGGCGCGAAACCGATTTTCCTTGTAGTCGACTCGATAACGGGGGAGAGGGGGGGAGGTGTGTGAACGCGATGACAATGATTCCGACGGAGGTGTTTTAATTAATTAGAAGTAAAAAACTCCGGTTAATCACAATACGAAAAAAAAAAAAAACGAGCGGAAACGAATGTCGTATTCTATTTATGATCTCGTTGGTATCGGTAGAAAACGCATATTTACGGATCGTCAGCAAGGTGCGACGCGCGAAGACGGCGAAGTAACCGCGGCCCGGGTTCCGGAACTATCCGCGCGCGCGAGCCGACGGTACGGCCGGACGGAAAAATTACAAGCGCGAATTTTCGGTGAAAACGCGACGAAAAACTCTCACGCCTCGCAAATCTGTCCGATTTCAATATATATATCATTTTTTTTTTTTTTTTATGAGATAGAAGGAGACTTTTTACATGGCGCATTGGAGTGCTTCGATTTTCGATTATTACATTGGGGTAACAACGAAATAATTAGAAAATTTAAAACATCGTGCGTGGCCGAGGGCCCCTGCCCCGGGCTTCTGGTATTTTTTAAAACGAAAATTGAATTGGGGGGTTAGGTTACTTCGGTGAAACACGCGACGGAAAAAAAAAAAAAAATTGTTATTAGTTAAATTTGTTTGCCACGGACAAATGACTTTTTCAACAGATTAACTATAGAGGGCAAAAACGATTATCCGCGATAGGCGTGGCGTATAGACGGGGAGACGCGCCGAATTGATTTCTGTTTCAGAAAGGAACGAGCCCGGGAAACGCAGCTAGTATATTATTATACCGCGGTAAAGAGTTGAACGAACCGCTGTCGAAAGACATATTGTGAGATGGTCGATATTTTGATCCAAAGGTAATCGGACTTTTCAAATTTTCTAGTTGGCGCCCATACCCACGCGATCTCCGAATACCGTTCGCAAAATCAACCAGACCATCATCGGTTTATAGCCCAACCGCAATTAATTACACGGTCTTGCGTCCCCGTAAAAACCACCGTTCTCCCGTACAAAAGATCCCAGGTTCAGATCGCTGTTGAGATATCCAGGTTGTCGTGTGTTGCGATGAAATGCACACGGCAGGCATTTTTCAACAAATAAATAAATAAATAGTTGAGGTGATTTTTTTTAAAAATGAAGTGATCATTAGAATTAATTAGTAATTTTTAGGTTTTTGTCATAACTGTAACCAACAATAAACCACTGTTAACGTATTATTCGGAGCGAAGTTCGGTTACACGTGTTTTACAAGACAGCAATATTTACGATTTTTGTCAAAATTTGATTTTAAAATTAATTAGATAAAAAAAAAAAGAGCTGATACTAGGGATGGGAGCGGCCACTGTTGTAGGTGAGAAGTCGGGAACGTAGGATACACAAGGTTATTTCATTTATATCTGTAAGCAACGATAAACAATTGATTGACGAAAGACGATTCCGAGCGCAGTTCGGTAATAAATAATTTTAAGTGCGGTCATTTTTTTTTTTTTACGTTTTTCGTTTAAATTAAATTTTAACACGTCTAGATAAGTCCAATATAAGTATTATTACCGAGTTGCAAGTTTCTACGTGTATTTATAACAGGATTACAGCAAAAAAAGTACGACTTATAACGAAGTTACTTTTAAATTTTCAGATATTTCTGTTTAGTCGATTTTATCCACAGAGTAATCAAATAAAAATTATGTAAAAACTAGCAAAATTTAAACGTCTATAAATAGCTCAAAAAGGCTTAAATGTAATGAACATTTCATTAGGTCTAGAGAATACAAAGTTTTCTGTCAAAATTTAAAATCCAACAATGTTTTTAATTGAATTACAACAAAAAAAAAAACAATAGAACTATTATTTCTGTATACTTTCCAATTCTTTTTGACGGTTTTTTCCCGATATTTATAGTATTCATTATTTATAAAATATCTATATGACTTTTATATTGTTTTAATTTGTGTTTACTAATTTTAGTAAACAATAATTATGTCATCATGTTAGTAGAAATATACCTCTAAAAACAATCTTTATAAACATGAAAGCTAATCAGTTTGTATCTTTTAGTCAAGGGAGTATTATACTCAATAATGTTATTACCGTTGCTTGTTAAGCTCGCTATCACAATCTTTAATTATAAAAGAAACACTGGTATATCATTTAATATGTATTATTATTAATAATGAGAATATACTCGTACAATGATTCTAATTACCGAATAATTCGTTATAATGTACACTGGTTACTCAATAATAAATTTACAATAAAAAGAAAAAAAAATTGCACTATTCTTATTTTACCCAATTAATATTCGATACGATTATCGATACAAGATGGGCTGAAAGTATTTATTGCCAAAAAAAAAAAAAAAAAAAATCACACTCTAGGAGAAATTGGTGGGAAAAATTGAAGCGAAAATAAAACACTGTACCTTACACAATACTTGGGGTTCAATGCTACCGAGGTATCAAAACCTAAGTATTTCCATTGACTAGATGACGTATTAATATTACGTTTTGTGATAAGACTACATATTTTTTAATCCTTTAAATATGGATTGCCCACATTCAACATTTTGTCCCGGAGAACCTGATGCTCCAGCTTCTGGTTGCCAAACATGTGCTGCATGTTTTGCTCTTTAAAGTTGTGGAACTGTTGCTGATTAGGTGGTACATAATTCATATCTTGAGGCATCTGTGCATAGAACAAATTGGCAGGAAACAATGGAGGGGTTGGATCCATGTTGAAATTGTACGAATTAGGCAGTGTGTTGGGCATGAACACATTGGGCTGCACTGGTTTGGACTGTTTCATTGGTTCTCGAACAGAATTAAATGAGTCGTTCAGTCGTGTCTGTTTGTCCTGGACCAAATTATACATGGGGAAATTCATCTTATCCTGTCCTAGAGATAGATTGGCTAGCCTTTCAATGTTAGTCTGATGTTGATAAGGGAACAGACCATTAGGTGGTGGAACCAACTGGTTTGGATAGATGAGATTATTGAACTGAGGGTTAAGATCTAAGTTTAACGCTGGGAACGCATTGTTACCACTTAGATTGAAATTGTTTGAATTAGCAGGCATAAACGATGTCTGCTGTTGTTGTTGCTGCTGCTGCTGATGTTGCTGCTGCTGGTGTTGCTGCTGCTGATGTTGCTGCTGCTGGTGTTGCTGCTGCTGGTGTTGCTGCTGCTGGTGTTGCTGCGGCTGGTGTTGCTGGTGGTGATGGTGGTGTTGTTGATGCTGCTGATGTTGATGTTGATGTTGATGTTGTTGTTGTGAATGCAGCAATTGGTTAGGCAACATAAAGTCTGATTGCTGATGTAGCACAGGCTGATATGGTTGATAGACCTTTTGGTTGGTCTTTTGGTTCCAGTTCAAATTATGTTGTATTTGATTTATTGTTGGCGGTTGTTGAAGTAAATCGGGTTCAACATTACTACTAGTTGCACCAACAGGCAAGTCCGAAAGTAATTGCTTATTATTAAGACCCAACCTATCACATATTTGGGTCATATTGGCCAAAAAGTGTAAGTTGGAAAGGAACTCTGGTGAGTTATTAGTCTCTAATACAGAACTAGAGGTTTTTGGAAGGACAGATTCCAAGTTAGAATACAGACTATCTGTGTTAGTCTGAGAAATTTGGGGTTCTGTGTGTGGAGGGGGTACACTGTATGGAGAGCTTTGACTAAGGGCTTCCAATAGGTACCTATTAAAATCTGGAGCTGGCAGTGGTTTTTTCTTTACAAACTTGGGACTCTCGATAGGTTTAGGAGGTTCTTTATTAATTTGAGGAGGCATCGGAGGTCCCCAGGAATCAGTAAAGCCAAACACGTTAGGCTTAATTTCTGTCCGTTCAGACTTAATGATTTTCTCATCAATACTATCTTTTTTGGTTTCAACTGGATCATTCCAAACAACTGAATTACTTTTGGGGCGATCACTGCTCCAAATGTCTACGGATTCGGTTTTGGCAGGCTCTGACCAATTGGGAGATTCCCATTTGTTTTTGGTCACATTAACACCAACGTCACCATTCCACATATTGGACGGTTTTTTAGTATCTTCTTTCTTTTCTTCTGGTTTATTCCAACCAGAAGTGAGAACACTCCAATCGTGAGCTTGAGGTAGAGGTCTTTGATCATCCTTATCATTAGATCTCACATTTCTTTCTGGTTGATAGTTGTCTTTGATGAAAGTTTCCTTCCAGTCACCCCTCTGCCTGAGTTTTTTCTCTGGTTTAAGAGGACTGTCTGTTGGTGATGGTTTGTTTTCCTTAGGTTTGTCTTTTTGGATGTGTTTAGACTTACTTTTGATGTCTTTACGTTCTTTAGACCTGTTATTTTTGGAATCATCTTCCCACAGTGTACCCACTTTGGGACTCTTATTAGTCTTATTGTGTTCAGGTAAAAAACCATAATCATCTGATTCTTTAACAAATGAACTATTATTCCAACAATTTATGGACCTAGACTCTTTAGATCCTCTGGAACTTTTTTTGTTTTGGGAATTATGTTTTTTCTGGAACATCAAATCATCACTATTGACAGTATTTTCTTGGTCATTTTTCCTAAACAAAAAATACATATTTTAGTAATATAATAAAAAAAGACAGACATACTTTGTATAATGGGTGGGCCACTGTTGTAGATGAAAATTTGGGAAGGTAGGATATAGAGGGGAATTTAATGTGTTTTTGTATGCAACGATTATTCATAGCTAACAAAACAATTCTGAGCGGAAATCAAAACAAATTACACTTCTAAACTACCACTCCAGGAAAATTTATTTTCAGAAAAGGTATTAAACTTGAAAATCGGAAATACAGAATTTGCACAGAATTAAAAAAAATTAATAAATAAATAAAGATCATTGTAAAACCAATATATGCTTTACTTCGCTCGGAATCTAAAAATTGTATTTAATAATGTTTTATTTTACCATGTGGAATCTTTGATTCGTGAATGTTCTTCAGCAGTTTTAATACTTTCAGCAATTGCCATTTTTAACATTTTCTCTTCCTCGTTATCATCCTTAGCTTTAGCAAATAATTCTGATCCTTTTTTACGTGCCCAAGCATTGGTTGTAACAGCTATACAATTTTTAATCAATGTAATTTATATAATTAAAATAAATTATGTAAAAATATAATTTAAACCTGATATCTATTGAATACTAACGGAAGGTTGTGGCTGCTTTAATTGGCTCTGAAATAACAGTATTATTACTAGCACCATAAGTGCACACAAATTCTTCAATATTGATCATTTTACTCTCCTTCTTTGGCTTACGCTTGGTTTTAGGTTTCTGTGCAACGCTAAAAATAATTTTTTTTTTTATTATACACATAATATAGTAAATACCTAGGTATAGAACAAATAAAAAAATAAGGGCGAATGTTTAAATAACAATTGTATAATAATTTATTATACTACACAACTATGCAATGATTTCTTTCTTCCACTTCTTATACTGGATTGAGTATAATATTTTGTTTTACACGTGCAGTATTTAAATAATATATAATTTTCTCAATAGTATCACAATATAATTTCTTGTTAACATAAACAAAAACAGGGAAAACAATTATAAAATAATTAAATACTTTAAATTATAAATGACAAAGATCTAGTACTTAATATTTTAGTGGAACTAAGAAGTAATATTTTCTATTAGTTGGATATAGACTCAAAATGATTATATTATTATATTTGTACATACTGTTTAATGAATTATGAAATTATACTAAATAAAATAATAGAATGGTATACAGTTATGAAAACTAACTAAAAAACTATTTAATATTTAAAAATTGTTCATTTATTTCAGTTACAGAAAATTGTTTTTTTTTTTTTTTTTTTTTTTTTATCCGAATTAATATACTTTCAACCTTGAATAATTTCAACGTTATCGTGAAATTGTTACATAGCCAACAAGAAAAATAGGTAATTTTTTTCTGTCATTTTACCAACTTTAAAATATGTAGTCTACATATAATAAATGATCCAAATAAGAATCATAAGCCCAATCAAAAATGTAATAAAATTATTTGATAATATTGAAAAGAATTAATAAATTTTTAATGGAAAGTGACCTTAACTTTTTTGATCAAATTGTATAAGTAATACATAACATACATTGGTTTATTCTTATGAGATAACTGAAAATACTATATTGAAGTTCTATGTTAATTATTTTAAGAAAACATCTCAGTATGGTTTGGCGCACCAGACGTATCTAGTCTTTTTAACTGACAATATTGCAAAAAAACTATTTTTTCACTAAATTTAAGACTAAAATAGGATACACTTTGTTTTCACATAGAATTTTTTTTATACTTTAATATTATTAAGTTTTATTAATTGTGGATGTTTATTTCTAAAAGTGAATTATGTCTAGTACAGGGGTCTAGTATTATAAAGATAATACCCAAATTTATTAAGCAATTCAGTGCCAACGATAAATATATGTAGTGTAAAGCTAGAAATATGTAGTAGTAGTAGGTACTCACCCAAAATATTCCACAGGATCGTTTGCTTTTTTGTTTACACTACCTGAAGGTCTTCTATTCTGAGGGCCTGAGGTTTTAATACTTTTCCTACTCATAAGAATAAATTGTATTATTATATATAATAATGAAAAAAATTAAATATTTTGTATGTTTTTCTAACCCTTCAGGAATATTGTTCTTCCATTCCATCATGGAAGAATTTTCGAGGTGAAAAGGACTTCAAGTATACACTGGTTTATAGATATTTCTATTATCAAAATATGTATAATTATATTTATTCACTTCTGGAAAACAAAAATAATAAAAGTAACAATGGGAGTTTTTAATTAAAAACACATGGTGATAATGCTTATGGGTAGACCACTGTTGTAGTTGGGAAGGTAGGATATAAAGAGTAATTTGGTTTTTATAGATAAGTACTGTATGCAATGATAAATCAATTACAAAGGGAAAAATGATTCTAAGCAGAGAGGTATATTTTTCCCCTTTGCTGCCAATAAACCCAGTGTAATTTTCCTTTTTCCTACTCTTTCCAATTATTAAAATACTACCTACAAGAAAAATAACAAATGGCACACTTGTTAATCAGAGCAAAATGTTCAGTAGAAAAGTTGTTTACACACAGGAAAAAAAAAATACATCATGGTAAAACCAATAAATTACTTCCTACACTGAGAATCTAAAATAATGGTACCAGGTACTTTTTATTTAACAACTTTATGAAACAATGGAAATAAACCAGGGTCGCATAAACCCTGTAACTTATTCAGTTACAGGTACCATTATAGATTTTTATAATGCGAAAACAGTGATAATAGAAAAACAATATCATGTATATTTTTTAATTTAAAATGTGTTGTTTTGTCTTACTTCAATTTTTTAGATAACAGAATAACTTTTATTAATCCGTTCAGTACCTATTTTATAATTACCGAACTAAAATTAGATTTATAATTAACAGGAACATTCATACTATTTGAGAATTCGAGCAACACTCAATATAATTTACTGAACTGTGAATATGCTAAATGTTTTGTAATTTGTTGATATATGTGTTTATGCAATTTATTCTATATTAAGATAAGGTTAACAATAAATAAAAAATGAAAATGTGAATTACAATACTATTTAAAATGGAATTAATGTAATATGAAAATAAAGCTGAAGTTATAGGTACCTAATTGCTAATATGTTGGGTTGAGTCAATGGCTATGACTATCTCACAAATTGTATTCTATTAATATTTGATTTAATCTACTGTTATTTAAAAAACTCAAAACTAAACCGTAAATACATTACAAGTTTACCTCGAGGTTTACCCATAAGTCCTTAGTTTGAATTTCCATATTTCTGAACATTGGAATGAAATAATCATCCAGTTAAATGTATCCAGTAGTGATGTAAATGAATACAACAATAATATAGCTTATAAGATTACTAAATTACACTGTTTATGAATAAAAAAAAAAACGAGTTGCCATATCAGATACTGGCCATGTGTTGACTCCACCCATTGTTAAAAGAAATAAATGGAGTAAAAAAAAAAAAAAAAAAATTAAGAATAAGTGCATAGAAAATAAAACTAAGAATGTATACAAGGAATACTCCCAGAAATCTGAATAGGTATAGTTTAATTATTTCATTTTTATACACAAGTAGGTATAATGAATAAGTTATTTAAATAAATAATCAATAACATTACAAGGGCAACACCAGTAATATTTACAATGAACTAAGTGAAGAGTAACTTATACACCTAGGTATATAATATTATTATATTGCATACGCGATATGCCTAGTACTGTTATATGTATTGTTTGTAGACGGGTATTATTAACAAATTTTATTTTAATACGTAGGTTTACATGAACAGAATGTGAAAAAAGTAAAAATTATAGGAGGAACAAAATTAAACACAAAAATACTTAAAGGAAACTGATTTTTAAAATCAAAACCGATAAAATTCTAGTTTAAGAAATCCGTTAAATGTATAATTAGTATCACAATTAATGTTTACATATTGAGATACCTACTACTTAAAATTAATATAATAATTCTATCCATTTAAATTTTATCCTACAGAGATCACATTTTGAATGCAGGTAATTTTAAACCATGTGTATGTATGGTTGTTAATGGATTTTATGAATAGAAAATAAATGAAATTAAGAAATAAAGTACCAAAAACAAATGGCTTGTATTATAAATGAGACGTACAAAAATTGGTTTTTTGAAAGTAAATGCACTAAAAGTATCAATGGTAAACCGATAATTTTTTAACCAGTACATAGGTGAACATGTTATTCACAGAATTTCATTCATTAATGCCTAAGGATTGTTTAAAAAAATTGATAACTTATCATTTGTATTTTACTATGAGAACACGGTTCTCAATACGCTAATTGGGCACATCAGTTCATATCTAAGTACACAATATAAACACAAAAACATAATTAGGTACCTGAGTAATGATTGAACTAATGATAAAAAAAAAAAAAAAAAAAAAAATTCCAAGTGATAAATAGACACTGTGAATTATTGTGCAACGTTGTACAACTGTCCACTAGATATTTCGGTCGAACACAAATTCACCAGGGACCGTAAACTACCGGAAGGGACACACTATTCGTTATATAATATGCGACGGGTTTGTACGCAGAATTCGATCAACAAACACTAACACGGGCACGTACAGATCTCAATGAATAAACCAATCGTATTAATAACGTAGTAAAAAAAAAAAAAACATATAAAAAAAAAAAAAACGCATAAGAAGTTTCCGTCTGAAATGCGTAAAAGAAAACGTACCTAGGTTATTCGGTAACGCCGACGGCGGTACGTCGAAATTACCGCGGGCGTCCGGGCAAAGGCGAGTACTCGTATGCAACCGAGGACGACAATAGCCGCGGGGGTGCGTACGCGAAAACCGGGAGACCCGGTGCGCGTATCGTTACGGTTACGGGCACTCGGCGTTTTTAGAAACAAACGGAAGCGGCGTAGGTACTCACTCGGGTCGCGTATCGGGTGGTCGGCGGCGATGTCCGGGCCGGTCCCTGCGTCGTGCTGTATCGCGCGTACGGGCGAGGGTTGGTCTGGCACGGCGACGGCTGCGGCGGACGGACACGGGCGAACGACAATATCGGCTCGCGGTTCGTCCGGTGTGCCGAACAATAGCAGACAAGACCGAGCACACACGCCCGACCGTCGACAACGTTGCGTTACGTACGGAAATGTGGCCGATCGGGTAACGCGGTTAATAAATATTATTATTATTATTATTATTATTATTGTTGTTGATTTTTCATTTTTTTTTTTTTTTTTTTTTTTTTTTTCGCTCGGTGCGTTTCCCTTCGCCGCCGCCACCTCGCCGCCGCGGACGGTCAGCGACGAGTCTCGGGAGGAATTCATTACAAATGGCTCTCAGTGCAGCCAACACCCGCCGCGCCGCGGAACACCAACCGTGAATTCCGCCCACCAGACGGCTGACCGCCGTCGTCGCTACTCGCGCTGGCGGTTGCGGTCGCGGTCCGCTGCGATCCGACGTTTACGTTTGCCCGTGGATCATAAGTATGACGCGTTCTCTTGGGCCGGCCGTCTTTGTTTACCGACGATATTTTTAATCATTTCAGCTGTCGTGTTGCCTGAACGCATTGCGACCGGCGCCTACCTATACGGCACTACCGCAGGTACGGCAGTGGTTAGTCGGCGCGTTATTATTAGAAGTGCAGCGTTCGACTTTGATACGAGAATTGATTTCACGGTCCGCGGTCAACTCCCGCTTTCAGTACTCGTAATTTTCTAGTAAATACTGATAATGCGTTACTGCATCCGAGACACACAGACGCGATGTTCTACATTAGACATTGTTCATAACCCACAATGAGTTGATTGAATCTTTAAAATCTGTAAACGCTGTGCCCGTTCGAACGCGATCAACGGTAGACGCAGCGGCGGATTCATGATGGGGGGAGGGAGGGCGATAGGGGCGATCGCTTCTCCCACCCCGTTCGCTCTCCGATACGCTTTTAGCCTAATCCATCATTGAGCTCGTTATAAACGCGTGTCTTACACATGCATTTTAAATATTCCCCCCTCCCGTCATCTTGCTACGAATCCGACCCTGGACAGTTGATACTTAGGACCCATTGACTCACGATTGTAGATATCTATTTATATAAGACCAGAGTGCCTTTAAGTATATAAAATAGGTCACGCACGCCCTAGCGGTAGTGGCTGGAAATCACTAGGCAGTAGCCAGTAGATACTTCCAATGTAGTTTGCTACCAGAGCCCTTTGACTCTGTACGTAAAAATATCGTTTTCTCTAGATTAGCACAAAAACAAACATCAAGAGCGCTAGCCATTTACAAAATGGCGATTCGATCGGTCGCTGAATTTTGCTATCGAATTTTTTATAATCAATGATAATACGTAGTCCATTAATAACAGAAAAGCAGCTATCAGAAAACGCGGAGGTCAACGGAACCAATTTTTCAGCCGAGTCCGGTGATCTAATTTTCTGTTACCAACCTACGGCTACCACTACGGCGCTACATTTCAAAAAAAAAAAAAAAGGGAGCTCTCTACAATATTATCGCTAGATATTTTTTTTTGTGTTTTTGTGTATTTGTAGGTCAATACAAAATTCGTTTTTTTTTTTCAATAATTAGAGTTTCTTTATGACTTGAAAATGGAACTTTTTGTTTTTGTCAACCTAATGAAACGAGTAAGTACTTAACCTAAAACCTAACTTTACCCTAAATATTAGTTTTTACAATATAATGAATGCATTGACGTTTCCGACAAGAGAAAAAACTATACTTACTCACATACATTATTTACTATAAACTAAAATGAAAATTATAATATATATTACCATGTTATATAATATTTTATTCTAGTCACAATTTTATTGTGGTAAAAAGTAGTGAAATTCACGCAGTTTTTTTTATGAAAAATATGTTATCGTGGTTTACGCTACTTACCAAAATTAAGCTGTTCGCTAAACAAATAAAAAATATATCGTTACAGTAACGTCGCTATAAATAGGGTGCTGTCCAGTGGCAGTCTGAATTCAATTATAGACGGCAGTCTGATTTTCATCACCTAGTACGAAATTGTCTATGTTTTCCCATTATTACGAAAAATTTGTTTTTTTTAATGTAATTCAGTTTAAAATATCCGTAGAGACTTATAATGTTGACAGAGAATTTATGTTTACTTTTTATATACGTGGTAAAACTTTCAGAACATTTGATCAATTTTTGAGTTATTTATAAACATTTTAATTTTGCTAGTTTTTAACGTAATTTTTATTTGGTGAGGTACTCTGTGAATAAAATTGTTAAACCAAACAGAAATGCTTGACAATTTGATAAGGGGTTTATTATAAGTGGTACTTAGTGGTTAAAAAAAAACCATTTAGTTTAATGTATCTACCTAGTATTTTTTTATAACAGTGAAAATCAAATTTTGACGAAAATTTTAATTTTGTTTTGCAATCAAATGATGTAACTTTGGACACATATTATTTTATTTCAAAAAAAAAGCAATTTTTATTTAGATTCAAATTCGAAAAAAATAATACTTGTTTAATTTACGTATTATTTGTTTTTTGGATACTGAATTGAGACATTTAAAAATAGTATTCTCTAAATTAGTAACATATATTTTCAATATTATTAGTGGACGTATTATTTCAAAAGTGTTAATTGAAAAAATGTTTACTGGCCAATCGATATCAATTTTTATTGTTGTTAAATATACGTTGTCAATAAACATGGTTGAACTATTATTAATCCTTTAAACAAAATATATTAATATATTAGAGCCAGTATATTTCAGTACGTATTTAACCGTGTTTAGTTAACCAGGCAACTTCAAAAACATTTCCTATAAAGACAATGATCGCAAGATCCCAGACTATAACTTGACGTCGGAGGTACGGAAGGAAACTGCAATAGTGCAATCGGTACAATGTGATTTGTGTCGAACAATGTCGGCGGAGTATAGAGTGACAATAAAAATAAAATATTTATACACATAAACACTTCTTTTGATGAAGAAATTGACCAGCCATGGTCCATTTATTCGTCTGCTGTTTTTGCGTACTTTTGTGCTGAAACTAATTGCGTCGGTTATCTATTATTTTTTAATAAATCACTGAAACACTCATAACAAGAATAATTTTTAAAACGTGTTTTGCCCAATGACCGTCGTTTGTTACATGATATGCCATGTACAATACAATATATCGGCCTAAATAGGCAGTCAAAACAGTAATCCCAGTACACCATAGCAAAGTAGAGATTTTATTGAATGACGTCATAAACACATCAAGTAAATTTTTAAAGTTATACTAATGAGGAAAAAAATGTGTTCCGTATAAATTACGTACGGACAACGGGACACGAAGTTGCAATACGAGACAATCCCGTATAATACGTCTGTTGTAGTCAAGTGGTGATACGTATCTGTTGTCAATCCAGGGGTCAAACCCGAGTTCCGAAAACATTTTTGTGAGAAACTACATCGTGTAGGTAACAGGGAAAAAACAAACGCAACAAATGCAACACAATACATGTTTACTATGTGATTCGTATTCATTGTATTCAATATTGTATTTATTTTACTATAATACGACATATTATTATGTATTGTAAAAAAGCAATACTATTAACCGAGCTCCGCTCAGAATCGTTTTTCGTTAGTAATGATTAAGTTTTGCGTACAGATATACATTTAATTCCCCTATATATCCTACCTTCCCAACTTCTCATCTACAACAGTGGTCCACCCACCGTACGAAGTATGTCCGTTCTGATTTTATTTTTTATATTTTGTGTCTGAACAACATTTCCACCAGAAAACTTTCTCCGAATTTTAGACTATAGTACTTTTCTGAAAGTTTATTTTCTCTGGTTGGTGCATCGCGGAAGCCTTTTTTTGATTTTCCATGAGGTTTTCGAAATAATTGGGAAAAACCCGAAAGAAAATTGTAGGTTATACGGAAATAATCTACGGCACGCCGCCGCGTTACCGCTTTCATTGTTTCTATTATTTTTACACGATGTTTTCTACCAGACATATTGCTCTAATACAAAAATTATAAGAGATCGATTTTGTTCCTTTTAATATTGTATTTCTGACAGAGTAATTTTTTTCAATATCCGATATTTAGTTTAATGTATTTTTTTTTTTAATTTTTAAAATTTAAATCAACTTTTGATGATAATCGTAAATCTTACGGTCTTTCAAGACAAGTAAAACCGAACTTCATTTTGAATCGTTTTCGTCATCAATGGTTTGTCATTGGTTACATGCATACATTAAATAACTTAATGTGTCTCACATTGCATATTAGCTCTTTTTATACTTTTAGATTCCAATAACTTAGGAAACTGTTTAACAGATTAGTATAGAACAATTCAATTAAAATGATTCGCTCCAATAATCATTTTGGAAATTTAAATACTTTTACTTATTATAAACACGAAATATGTTAAGGCGCCCAGTGCCAATGCCGTTTTGCCCACAAAAATATACTCTACGGAAATAGTGATACTGTTCAGTATAGAATCAACCAAGTTTAAATATTTTTTTTTATATAAATAGAGGGAAACATTCTTTAGACCATATTAAACTGCGTTTTTTAATATTTTATTCTCAATACTTAGAATGAGTTTAAATAAAAGAACTGACGTACTTCGCACATGGGTGCAGCCACTGTTGTAGGTGGAAAGTTGGGAAGATAGAATACAAACGGGAATTTAATATCTATAATATAAATCTGTGATCAATGATTAATCATTGCTAACGAAAAACAATTCTGATCAGAGTTCTGTTTTGTACATGTATAGAAAGACCGTAATATTTACGATTTGAAAATAATACGTTTCATAAATTTTCTTGTATTCTCCGCGTTTTTCTATTTACTATGAAAATTAAAGAATAATCTCCCTAAAGTATCACCTCAGTTAAATTTTCTTTCAGAAAATACATCACACTTAAAAACCGGAGCAAAATTTCTAGTAAAAATTATTTACAGAAAAAAAAGAGCTGATACTGGGGACGAGTAGATAGGAAGTTAGGAAAGTAGAATACATAAAATTATTTAATTTATAACTTTACGCAACGATAAACCATTGCTAACGAAAAACGATTTAGAACGAAGTTTGATAAAATATATTTTGAAATGCCGTAATTTTTACGATTTTCGATAAAAAATTTGATCTTAAAACGACTATGAAAAAGAATCGATGCATTAAACTCAAATTTGTTTTTTAGATCACTAAGAACAACTTATTATGTATCTTGTGTTATATTTTCAAGTATTTCTAGTATGTCATAAAATTTTAATATCAGATACCAAATAAAAATACATATAAAAATACGAAAATATAAAATACCTATAAAATAGCCGGAATGTTTTGAAAATTCTACCACGTCTACAAAAGACCAAAACCTGTGCAAATTACAGGTCCCTACATTCATTTTTAACAATAAAGAACCGAAATGCCGTACACTTTGCCGTATTCCCTAAGTTTCTTCCCTGTTTTTCGTAATTATTAGGAAAATTAAACAACCACTTTCTTACTCAAAAGCAATATTAAAAATACAACAAAAAAGTCGTTTTGTCGTTCTTCTATTGAAGCAATATTTTTGGTAGGAAAGATCGTGTAAATATAATAAAACAATGAACGGTAACGCTGCGACGGTGCGCCGTAAATATTTGCCGTTTTTTTTTATAATTTTTTTTCGGGTTTTCCCAATTATTTCGAAAACCCACCGGAAAATCAAAAAAAAACTTTTCAGAAAAGGTGCTATTCTTGACACTTTGGAGCAAGATTTTTGGTAGAAAAGTTTTTCACAGACAGAAAAATAAAACACATCATAAAGTAAAACCAATAAATCCTTCGCTACGCTCCGAATCTAAAAATAAATAAACATCATTGTAAAACCAATACATAAATTGTTCCGCTCAGAATCTATAATTTAATTGTTTTCCATTATTACACACGAGTATTTTACGTACCGTTAAAGCGTAACTTATTGTGTTGGAGGAATAAAGGGGTTTAAAATAGGAAATAATAATGTTGGGCAGTATATTTCTATTGAAAACGATCAAAACTAATTTGCTGGACCGTTTTCAAGCGTTTTCGATACTTAAAAGAGTACAAATTAAATAATTTCGTATATTTATACGCGTTAATTATGTATTTATTATAAGTATAGCAATTCATGGGTTTGGAGAAAGAGTGTTTTAAAGTCTTTTTTTTCTTGAACAATATAATTGAAAAAAGTTGGTCGGACCTTTTACTTGAGATTTCCGTGAAATAACTGTAATATTTTTTCATTTAATCGTAATGTAGTGTCAACTTCCAAGCCCCACATTTTATTTTTTGTACGTAGCGTCTAATTTTGTCCAATATTTTCGAACAATGTTCAACAAACCCATGTTGGATGAGTTTTGCAAACCTTACAGCCAAGTGTGGTGTCGATCATTTGTTCGGCCCTAAACATTTTAAAGTCGAATAACTTTTTAATTTTTTTCCAACAATATACAAGAAGTGAGAGTAGAGCTTGTTGGAATGTATTTTTAAAGTTTTGTGAACTATGTGCTGTTAGCTTCACGTACCTTAAAATATAGATATATACAGAGTGTCTCACAGAGATTATTGATAAAAGCAATAATATTTTAAAGTTTTTCTTTTTTGTAGAGATTTCTAGTGCCTTGCTCTACGGTTCATACGTTTACATTGGCGAGACACCCTGCCTAAATATATATATAATTTAAATAAAGTACATTCATTCGTAATCAACCGTTTCTTTTAATGTATACAATTTTATTTTTATAAATAAATTAGTTATACATACATTTATTATTATATAGGTATAGGTATAATGATAACATTTTTTTGGAAAAAAACACTTAGTAATTTATTATTATTATATTAATATAAGTTATATCAGATTTTAAAACAAATACGTTTTGTCCTTTTTATTTATTCTTAACTTACAAAAAAAAAAAAAATCATAAATTATAATATAGTATACGTTCTAAATGCTTAAATAATAATAAGAATAATAATATTAATAATATTATATAAATACCTATCTAATATATTATAATAATACATCATGCTAGGTATATATTATTATTATATATAGTTTTATTTATATAATAGAGTGATGACGAAAACAAAAATTTATAATAATATAGAAATTAGAAATCTTAATTTCTCTAATAGGTTGTGTGTCTTTTAACAATATAATATTATTATAGAAAATTAATCTTAGATTAAGAATATGAAAAAAACATTTTTTTTTTTTTTCAACTAACTAAAATAATCAGAATTTTAATATAATAAGCGAGACGTACAATAATAATATAGGGACTGGAAGTGAATAAATCATTTGAACCATTTGTATTATTTTGTTATTTTCCCAGATAGGCATAGATGTATGTTTTATACTATATTATTAACTATTATATCATGCTTTTTTTTTTTTTTTTAGAGCGGTATTCGATTGTTTTTAATAGGTAATCTATCTGCAGTTTGTTTAGTTTCGGATTTATTGTCATTATTGTTAAAATAATATTGTGTTTTGTTTGTGGAAAATTTGTTCGTATATTTTTTTGTTATATTTAAGTTCTTTTTTTTTAGTAAAAACGAAAATATGTATAAGTATGAGTATTTATAATATGATACTAAGTTTATATTTATGATTTATCTATAAATGTTAGCATTTTATTTGCAAATTTTTGAAATTAGTGTACTGTATTAATATTTTTTCATTAATTTAAATATTATTATCCAAGTAATATTATAAATACGATGTCTAACTAATAAAGCTGACCATAGTAAAACACGATAGTTTATTTTTAAAAAAAGCGCTAGACAAAGGCCAAAAGTTATGATATTTATTAATTACAATGTACACGTTTTGGGGTAAGTTTATATTATTCAAAAATGTATTATTGTGTAAGTATAATAATATTATTAATAGGTATTACGATGATGAATTTTCCAACACGACTAAATATTATTTATAGGTAAGCACGATGTATTTTGACTAGAACGAACGATATTATATTGGCTATGTATAATATATTTTTGTTGTAACGTTTAATGGATATGTTTTTTTTTGTTTTTTTTTTTGTCAAGGGGAAAGAAATTAAAATGGCACTTTTGTCTACAGAAATATTATAATAATATTAATTTTAATAACGGTTTCTTACCTACATATTCATTATAATATTATAATCTACGTATAATATACGACGATAAGGTTAATAATATTTTGTAAATATAATCAGATCTATATATTATATTCGATAATAATAATAATAATAATAATATTATGTTCCTATTTTTGTATATAATATCATGCACATTCATATTATATTTCGGTAAATATTTATGTATAATATAGATAAATGGGCAAAAACGCTGCTGAGTGTGGTTAAAAATCGTCTCCTTAAGTACGTATCTCGCTATGTGATGGACTAAAGTTTCCACTAAAAAAAAAACAACAAAAAAAAAACAAAACAAAACAGAAATTATAGTATTTAAATAATATGCTTTATAATAAATAATTATATTATATTATCTAACTAAAACATTAAACCACACGACTCACTTTTATTGATCTTTGACTTCAAAATATTTGTAAGTGGGATTCTCGTATCCGTTTATCTGCATGTTGGCTACGTGACGTTCCTCCTGGGATATCCCTTGGTCGACCTCGATGAAGCCCTAAGAAATAATAATGAAGAAAAACACGATTGGTCGAAAAAACTGATTAAGGTTCAAACTGGATCTAATAATATACGTGTATACAGTACCTGGTTTTGTGGCAATCTGGCATTTCTTCTGCGGATCACGGCTATACCGATACAGATGGCCGCCATCAAGGACAATCCGGCGAACGCCAATGTCAAGTGAACGTTTCTCGAGTCTCGGTGGAAATTTTTCCGGGTGAAGAACGTCTGTGAATGGATCGGTCGGAAAATCGTTAAAGTAACTCGATCATATATTATAATATTTTTGTTCTTAGAGAAGAAGGGCTTAACGTTTAAGTCAATTGCGTAAGATTTTCAATACAAACAAATTTAGTTTTGATAATTGCAGAATGGCTAAATTACTATATAATAAATATGACTAGTGTCTTATTTGCCATACAAAAAGTACATCATAGTGATTTAAGATAATTCAAACGATTTTCGTCAAAATTTGATAACATGATTCTTATTAAAAAAAAAAAAAATAATAAATACTACATTCAATTCAAATTTTCTTTTTGATCACAAGGTATGAATTACAATGAATCTACTCTTTATAATAAAAGCATTATTTTCGTAAATTTTCCCGTTATTTTTACGTATTTATCGAGATTGCTCAATTATTAAAAAGAACCACAAAGAAAATCAAAAAACAATTTTCTCCGTGATCAAATAGATTCAAAATTCAACAAAAAAATTATCTTGTCATTTTTTTATCGAATAAAAAATTATATTATTTTTATCAAGTAAAATGTATAGAAGAAGTTATAAAAATGTAAAGTCATGAAATCATTACGCCGTAAATATTTGTGCATTTATCTCTACGTTTTCCCCAATTATTATGAAAATTACTTAAAAATCATAAAATAAACATCATTGTAAATCCAATACGTTTATCGCTACGCTTTGAATCTGAAAATATCAAAAATTGACTTAAGACCTTCTTCCCTGATACGAACGATATAATATAATATTATTGTATCATATAGTGATGGTCAATAAATAGGTATAAAAGGTGCATTCTGTGGTACACTGAGGAATGTTGAGAGCACATGTGGTTAATAAAAGTATTCTTCCACCCGCTCGCTCTTTTTCTTTTCTTTGTGAGGCATGGCTTTCCTGTGACCCCAATACACCTGACATAATATACAACCACCCCTCTTTCAAGATCGCATCATACAGTTGCGTTACTTGGTAACCTGTCTGTGCCCCATTATTAGGTATAACAAAAATATTCCATCCGGATATTGTTGCCAACCCAATCCAATTTATTTTGGCCTGTCCAGGAATTTTCAATGGGAGGGGATATAGATAATAATAACTATGATTTATAAACAAATCGTTGAATCTTTCTCCGCTGTGCTAATTAATTAAACATGACAATGTTAATTCAAAATCCGGGTCCAAAAAGTAAAATTTTTTTTAAGAAATCAAGTTTTCCCCCTACTAGTTTCAAGTTAAAATTACTAAATAAACACTCATTATAGTTGTTGTATTTGTAAGCCAATGCGGGGGATAGGGACATAACTTCACACGCCATTGCCATTACACATTATAACACAGTGTTTACGTGGTGTTCACGCATTTACCGGTTCTCCGTGACTTATGTCGTTCACTTGGGCGTGTGAGATTTTCGGTTCGGAATCGTGGTCGTGGTGTTGTATGGCAACGGCGGGCGCGGTGACGGCTGCGTTTTGGTCCGGTTTGACGGCGCCGGGCTGTTGTCGGGCCGAGTGCTGTTGCGGCTGTTGTTGGATTTCGGTGTTATCGTTGGCGTCGAAATCGGCTGTCGTTTCCACTTGTAGTTTCGCTTCTTTCGACTCGATCATTTCGTGCGGTTGTTTGCGCTTCATTTCCATCGGGTATCTCGCACGGGACTTGTCTGTGCAACGTACACATCATAATACACGATTATATAGCGAAACTTTACCGACCGTCATCGTCATAATAATATCGATACTAGAATAAATAGATCTACGAACCTTCTTGCGTCACAGAAATCTCCTCCTTATATTTGTCCAGTATGCTGGCTTCGGCTTCCCGGGTCATGGCCAACAACGATCCCGGAGTGTCGTCCTTACTTCTTAGCGCTTGGATGTAATCCGACATGAGTTGAGAAATCTTACGCGACAAGGTTGGGTATCTATATAACGAGGGACAGACGGCGCACAATTTTCGGCGAAAATACAATTATGAATTGTTAATTTTTAATAATACACATTTTGTCCCACGGAAGAAGGGCCTAAGTCAATTTTGTAAAATAAATTCAATTTTTAAAATACACACACTTATGCCGTTTAAATCGAATAATAAATAGAACAAAATTATAATACAAATTCCAAAAATTGACTTAAGCCCTTTTTTTCTGGGATCAAAGATATATTATGTATGCATATAATAATATATTATGTTAGTGAGTGCGTACCTGTATAGCATTTGCAGGGATTGGTTAACCATGTGATCAATGTCCACCAAGTGTTCCAAAGTGACCGATTTTTCGCGTTCAGCCAATTCGATACTGGATGCGAGCAAGTGGCGGTAATGCGCTATTGTGTGATGACGGTCCTTGTGCAATGATCTGAGTAGTTTCTGAAGACATTTCTGTACTTTGTGCGTCTGAAACCGACCGTAACGATAGTTATTATCAGTATTTCTAAACAGAATTCGTTATTGGTTTGCGTATAGGTATACCTATGCAAAATTTGAATCACGAGAAAACAAAATATAAAAATTCATCATAATTCACCGACGTATTCGCCACGTGTATGATGAATTAAATACGAGGCAATATAAATTTTAACAGGTTTAATACAATTTTCAATTGAAGTTTATTAAAACATATTGAACCGAACTTCGCTCAGAATCGTTTTTTGTAAGCAACAATTTATCGTTGCATACATATATGAGTAAATTAATTTAATCAATAATGTATTATCCTAACTTATTAACTTTACGCTAACTCTAGTAGCACATCCATGATGGCTGGAAATTTATTGGCTTTTTATATTTAAAACCAGTATATTTTTCTTTTGTACAGATATCGAATATACATATATACTCGTATATATATATAAATATATTTTTATTTTGAAGGGTTTAAATTTTAGAGGAGTGTTACAGTGCGGTAACACGTCAAAGAAAACTATTTAACGTTTTAAAATGCTTATAAAAAATAAATTAATTACTGTTCTATACTTGGCATTTCTATCAATTCAAATTTTTAACGATAATTCTGAACATGGGGGAAAAAAAAACCAGAAAATTTATTTTTTAAAAGAAAAATCTTCGAATGTAAATATCATGATGTATACTTACATTCGGAGGGTTTTCATTTAGAGCGAAAACGTAGCAGTTCATGGCTTCCTTCTTTCTGTGGTTGATGTGGGCGTTTACTCTTTGCTGGTGCATGGCAAATAACTGATGTTTTTCCGCCGAACCTTCTTCTTCCAAGGACTGGACAGTCTGTTGGAATCGGAGTGTCATCCGCTGTTTAAACTCTTCCGCCATGTGCGGATCCTTGGAACGCATTTCTTGGTACCGTTCCTCCAGGTCGGACCAGTCTTTCATTACCTTAGTAACCTTCTCACGGTGCAGCTCCTCTAATCGGTTCAGTGCCTCCTTGTACAGCTTGTGCTCGTCTCTGGGGTCGAAGTGCGTGAAGTACGTGTCCGGGGTAGGCAAGTTCCGGATGGGACCGGACGGCGTGGTATGTGCTCCCTCGGACGTGGTCGGTGGCGGTGCGGTCATCGTTGTGGTTGTCGCTTTCTTGGTGGTCGTGGCCATCGTGGTGGTAGTGCTAGTGGTTGTACTGGTCGAAGTTGGAGTGGTTGCTGGCGACTCACGGGACGGCTGTATGTCGTCGTAGTTGTCATAATCGTCATCATCTTCTTCGTCGTCGTTCACATCGTCGTCCTCATCCTCGTCATCATCGTCGTCGTCGTCGATGTCTTCTTCTACGTCGAATTGATCCGAAGAGAGAAGACTATCGGCGGCCACCGGTACCGTTTTCTTCAATTGGATTTTATCTATAGGAAAATATAAATTTTGATATCGTCAACCGTCATAATAATCGATATATTGACCGATTGTGTATATCACGGTGAACTGTTATGCATATTGTTTTACATTTACCTTTGTACGGACAGCAGACGAACTCGACGCCGGAGAATAAGGATATGCCACAGGGCAACAACATGGCGAAACTCCTCAGGTTATGGTCGCGATCTTGGCAAGCTTGGGCCGCGGTTTGATTCCAGCGGTCGAATGGCCAGCATTTGCTTTGATTGTGCACGTGATCGAATATACAGTTTTCGGGCACTAGGAGAGCGTCGCTCTGGAATTGTCCTTCTGTAACACGGGTGACACGTACAATGTTAGCGTTTACTGTAATGAATTATTAATTGATTAAATAGTGTTTGTATAAACGAAGTATATTATAGCATAGGTCAAATGTCACAATAACTGAGACGCGTTATGCGTAGAAAAACGGAAAATTGAAAACCCGGAGTGTCCGAGATCCCGAGGAATGCCCAGCAAAATGCAGTTGGATATAGTTGAAAAGGATTTTGAAAGGCTAGCGGTGCACGATTAGAGAAATTTGCCCAATGAGAGAAGAATTGGAGGAAATTGATATAGGCACCGTCGACGGTGAAAATACTTCTTGAGATATACATGGTTTTTATATGTAGATGTATACCAAAGAAGGAGAAACCTCGGATAAGTAGTATATTAATTTGATTTTCCAGATCGACTTTCGAATACTATCGACGAGAGTCTTTCATACGTACATAAGTATTTTAATTAGGTTTCGATGCACTGTAAAAAGTGTCCGGAAAAAATGCATTTGTAGGAATATATTCATTGAATTTCATTATTTTTAGAGGAATGCAATCATGAATGTAATTTATTTTGTTTTTAAGGAATGTTGAATGCAAGTTCGTTCATTTTATGTCGGAATGTGAATTCGAATGATGAAATCACCCACAACAAATATAATTAAATTATAAATGCTGGCATTTAATGCTCGTATCTTTGCAATAGTGAGTGTACAAAATGTTTTTTTTTCTATTGTTCTATTTGCTAAACGTTAAAATATTAGTAGCCGATAAGCATAATACTTAAATGCCCTTTGTCCTAAAAAACCTATATAATCTATAGGTTTTTCATTTTATTTAAAGTATTATTTTACAATAAAATTTTGTTTCGGAGTACAATATTGCAATGCGTTTATTTTTTAAAAAGAATTTTCGAAACGAAAAATCGAACAATATATGTATAACAGACATTTTTATAACAATCCTCCCCGTTTCTCCCTTCGTACTTGACCAAAGAGGCGCCGTTTTAAAGATTAAATCGCCCGCGTCTGACAAACCGTTAACCTATCTCTATTAAAATGCGTAAAGTACTCGCACGGGCCCGCCGCAATAGTTACAATGGTAATGTATACAGCGCGCGTTTACAGGTGAATAGGTGGACGCCGACTTGGTGCGGACGTTTGGGGAATTCGATTAACCCCGACGTTTTGGTTTTGTGGAAACTATTACAATAGGCGAAGACGACGCCGACGATACGATCGCGTCAAAGCAATGGCGGCAATGTTATATCATTACCATTATTATTACCAAACATAATACCCGCCTAGGTAGAATATATACTACACTCCGGCTCGGTTTACCGGTCACGTTTTCGCAGAGTTACGACGTCGCCGTCGTTGTCGGGCGATTATCGTTTTAAAGAATGATAAATTATTATGAAATGAAAAACGGCCCGAGACCGCGCCGTTTCGGAATGAAACGCGAGCGGTGAAATTAAAAAAAAAAAAAAACCGATTCGATGTTGCGGAATTGACATAGGCAATTGCCGGTACCCGATGGAAATTTATCGCGCGTTTCCACATCCGATGTATTAATCCAATACGTTTCCAATTGTGATTTTTTATAATATTCACGCGTCTAAATTTTAGACTCCGAGCGGGGCGAGCAGTGTATTGGTTTTACAATCGAGTCTATTATTGTTATTACTATTATTTTTTCGTGGACAACTTTTGTACCAGCGATTTTGCTCCGATTTTCAATTATAGAACTTTTTGTTGGTAATTTTTTATATCGTTGAGCTTTCTTGTTTTTTTTTGTTTTAACCAAAAAATTGTCGTCCACACTGTCCTATACATTTTACCACATCTAATAAATGCTAATATAATTACTCTATACTTATTTTAACTATTTATGATTTAAAACAAAAAACCAAAATCGAAAATGACGAAATCATTAATTAATGTCGTAAACTTAACCGTATTTCCTATGTTTTTTCGGTTTTTAAAAATTATTATGAAAACTGATTGGAAAATCAAAACACGTTTTACTTATACTTATCAACTAAATTGAGAATTCAACAAAATGTATCTTGTAATTTTTTTTTTCGGGTTTTCCCAATTATTACGAAAACTCGTTGGAAAATCAAACAAATCCGACTAAAAAAGGTCTCTTGTTATTTTTTTTTTTTTTGGATACGAAAAAAAAAAAAAAATGCACATCACAGCAAAACCAATAGATCTCTCGCTAATTTCAGAATTTAAAAACACGATATATTAAACGCGGACGGACAGCGGTATTTTTTCATAAAAATAAACAACCGGTCAGCGTGTATTATGTTGTTTAAGACGCTACACTACTATTGCATTGCCGACAATTGTATAGCCTACGGGTTATTGTCCGGCGGTTTTGATTCTTGCGACCGTCGTGCACCGGCTGCAATATACCACGTAAGTGCACAATATCAGGGTCTCATAAAAACGTCTGTGATATATTTGAAATATTTTATGCGGTCTGCAGCTTCGGAATTGCGTGTACGTTACACTGAACGACTCATCCGCGAGCAGCAATACTTGCTGCATTATAGCTGGCAATAACGAACCGGCCAGTTCGTGTCGTAAACTCGTAAATAAGCGACAATGCACTTCAAACGGTTATTACAAGTATTTAAGTGCATACAATATTTTCAAACACGCATTCCGTTTATGTGCGAAATAAATCCTGCGTTTCGATGGAAACACGTCTGCGTTGTGTATAGGTAGGTGTCGGGCGGAGGCACCTAAGTCAGGGATGGCTCCAAAGACATTGATTGGGAGAGAGGGGGGACAGCTTAAATATCTTAAACGATACTATACAGGTTTTATGAAATTCTGCTTTCAAAAGTATACTATATTTTAAAAAAAAATACGGGCCTCCTGGGGCTAAGAAACTAGCTCCCTGGGGCCATAATTGACCTAAGTATTAGGGTAGGGATTTCGATGCACTTTATATTGTGTTCCAAAGCTTATTGTGCGATGTTCGTTTTGTTACCGACTCGTTCCATGTATTATCGAATAAGGATAAAATATTTTATTTAACATTTTTTGGCTATTGAAGATTTTATGTTCATTGTTTTTAATTTTTAGGTCGTAAAATTAATTTGTTTGATAGTTGGTGTCAGGGGAGAAGGGCTTAAGTAAATGTTTGGTATTTTTAGATTATAAGCGGAGCGAGGAATGTATTGGTTTTACAATGATGTTGATTTATTTATTTTTATCTGTTAACAACTTTTCTACCAACAATTTTGATCCGATTAAATTTATAGCGCTTTTTCTAAAAGTGAATCTGACTGGGGTGGTACTATAAGAAAGTCAATTTTTTATTTTTCCAGCTTTTTTCATAATAAATGGGAGAAATGTAGGACAAACGGGAAAATATGTACAATATTAATCAAGTATTATTAAAAAAAAAATATATGTTACATATGTAATTATTTTTCCATAATATGACATAAGCAACGCTACTAACCGAACTCTGGTCAGAATCGTTTTTTGTTAGCAATGGTTAATCGTTGTGTATAGATTTACATTAAATTTTCCTTTTATCTTCCCAAATTTTTACCAACAACAGTGTCCCATCCATCGTGCGAAGTATTTCCGTATCTTTTTTCTTTTAACTTTTTCTTGTGGAATTTTAGATTCTGAGTGGAGCGAAGAAGCTTATGGTTTTACAAAAGTGATAAGTTTTTTTTATTTTTTTTGGTGCACAATTTTTTTACCAGAGGACTTGCTCCGATTCTTACGTGTAGCAACTTTTCTGAAAGGAAATTAGTGTGGGAAGATATCTTAAAGAAGTCAATTTTCGATATTCGTAAGAATTTTTTAATCAAATGCGAAAAACCGAAAAAATCTACAAAATATAATAAATATAATATGATGCTTTTTTCTGTGGACAACTTTTTTACCAGCAATTTTGTTCTAATTTTTTATGATAGCAATACTTCTGAAAGGAAATTTCACTTGGGAGGTACTTTAGAGAGGTCGTTTTTCCATTTTCCCCCGACTTTTCTCAGCATATGTGAAAATTAGGAAAACCGGGAAAATCGGTATAACATTAAATAAATATTGTTAAAAATAATATATAGAGCCTGTTTAATTATTTTACTATAATATGGTATGTATATATATTGTTGACAAAGCCTCACTATCAACTGAAATCCGCTCAGAATCGTTTTTTCGTAAACAATGGTTTATGTTGTTGCTTACATGTATCCATTAAATTACTTATAACAGTGGCTGCACCCGTCCTCATTATTTTAGGACGTCTTTTTTTTTTTTGGTTTTTTTTTTTTATCTAAACAGCATTAGTGTATGTATATTCTAATTTCTAACACATGTTATAGGTACCTATTGACAATTATAATATCTTAATTCACTATAATGTAGTTTGTGTTTTTCAAGTCATATACTGATATAATTTAAGCCATTTAGAACACCAATTAGCAATCATATCATTATGTTATTTAGCAATTTTTAAAATTTAATTTGCTAGTATTGATAACTATGCAAAACCGACTTGAGACCTCCTTCTCTGAGACCAAATATATATTAAAATTTACCCGGAAAAATATATTTTGACGGGCCGGAAGTACCTACGGTAATATTTATGATGCTCATAATATACGGAGGCGCATCATTCGATATCGGAACGCGTTGCGGGTGGGTGGATGTTATTTTCCCGTAAAAACAATAAATAATAATAAACCTAATCCCGCATACGCACGTCATCGTAGCGTTTCGCAGCTAGTCATCCGGTGGGACGTAATGTTTTTTTTTTCCATAAAATATATTATTTTTATATGACGACGACGTATCCCGTTCCCCGAATGAGAGACACTCGATCCGAGCGGCGTTGACGTTTACACACCGCGATAACGGTTTTTGTTTTTCTCTTCCCGGGTCCAGGGGTTCTCGAGCACATCAATCAAGATTCACCGTCCCGTGGACCTCGAGCACGCGTAATCCGCCAAACTTAAGCTCTTGAGGGATGCGGAGGTTTTAATTTAAACTTTTAGCGTTTTAGCGTTAAATGTACCGATCTGCAGAGGAAAGTACAATAATAATATGAATTTGTTAGGTATTAAATACCGAACGGACTCTCGATAAAAAATATTCTAATTTTTTTTTCTCGAAAATTCATTTTTTCTAATAACTCTAATCAGTTGTTTTTTTTTTTTTTTATAAGAAACCAAAAGTCAGAAAGTGTTATACTCGTATTATTATTTTATATAGTCCAGGGACGTTTTCAAGAACTCTAGATAGAACTTTTTATGGATATTAACAAAACATACACAACGGAAAAAAGTTGAAATTGTTAATTTTTTTTCGTGAGATAATTTTACGATAATGATACTTTACGATTAGTGTTTCACCACGAAAATCATCATAATATTATCGTGCTCGAATTAGAAAAATCAAATAAAAGAGATAATTAAAAATAAAGTTTTCGCCTTTACAATTATTAAACTTAAGGTAACCTGTGGGAAGATTCGCTTCTCCCCTCTCGTATACCAATTTTTAAACATGACTCAACGATTAAAAATTTAAGAAAAACCCTACTTAATAACACTACTGCAAGCTAAGTTTTTGCTTGCATATACATTTATTTTAGATTCTACTACACTATTATAGATTTACTATAACGTATGTTTTTTTTATTCTGTATGTGGACAATTTTTCTACCAACAATTTTGCCCAGATTATCAACATTAGAGTTAATGGTTATTGGTAGGGAAATAGGTATTTTCTAAAATCATTTTTTTATTTTACTTGTTATACTTTTAATAATAAGAGAATATCGAGAAAAACTTCAGTTATATTCAATTTTTTGTTGTATTTCAGTGAAAAATAATTGTAGAGGCCTGAATTGTCACTTAATTATTATTATATATAGCTATTTCAAGACGCGGTATAATTTTCAAAATATTCTGTCAATTTTCGAGTTATATTTTATAACCATTTAAAATTGTCGCGATTTTTAAATTTTTATTGGTTTTATGTAGTTAATATTATGATAAATATCGTCTTGGTTCAGTGTAAATATTCGAAATTTAACATTAAGTTTATCATGAATTACAAATTAGTAGTGAAGAAAAATATTTATTTTTTTATATGCATTTAAAGTCCAAATTGAAATGAAAATGCAAAAATATGTGGCGTCTCATGCGTTCCACTTAAAAAAATTAGTAGAGGTGCTCTGAAGTTTCTGAAAAATTGGCTTGGGTACGGAGTCCCCCTGCGTTCTCCTAATTCGAGAAATACTTATTCACAAAACACGGACATTATTTGTTTAAACGAATGCTATTGTGTTTATATTTGAAATGTACAGATTTTTTTTACATTCTAAAATAAAATAATTTATTGTTACAGTTTTTCTTGTCTCCAAAAACTAGCGATTCTTTCAGTTTATTTTTCCCTTTTTATTATTGCCATTTTTTTTTGTCGACAAAAATACATAGTAAATATAAATGTATTAAAAATTTCCTTCCGATTAAAAAATGTACGTTGGCTTGGCATCACGCCGACCGATGCGCGACGCGGACGAGGGCCAAATCAGGGGTCGTTCCGTTGAAAAATCGATCGAGAGTCGTCTCATCGTTTTATATATATTATATATTATACAGGGTGTATATTTTATTATAGTTCTTTAACGAACTCCGGCGAATTTACAATACACAAGTCACATGACTACATAATATTTTATCTGTCCGTTTATTATATGTATAAAGTTACAATATCGAATCATCAGCTGATTGATCAAAGTTGAGAAGAGGTTACTATAAGGACTTAGTGTTTTCGGTATGAATAATGGGCCCCTTTGGAGTTAGGAATTTTAAACAAGACTCTGAACATCAAATATGGATGGCGTTGACTTCAACATATGTTATAATAGACTTTCTCACTGTGGGGGATATGAATGATGGATCCACAATGGCCTTTTTTTTGGGAGGGAGAGGGAGGTTGAGATGGATTTTGATGTTTAACTCAAATTTAGTGATAATCAAATAAATATCAATCTGATAAATAAATATTTATTTGACTGGTTATAATTGTCTATACGATGCATACAGATTACAGACCACGGTTACAGATTAATGCGTTTATCGCTAACTTTGTTTAATAATCAGCATTCAGCTGAGGTATACGTTGTTTACAAATTGTTTAATGCCAATATCGCCATTTTGGAAACAGGTGATTTTTCTGGTTTTTTCCCTGTGCCTTCGTATAATTAATGATAGTCTTGGTAAAATTATAATGATATATAATTGAATTACCGGATCGGTGGTCAAATAACTGCTTACATTATGTTGTTGAGCCGAATTACGAATGGGTTACGACACATTAATGAACAACTACATTATGGTTATATTATAGAAGTGTATTGGAAACGTTTATGCCACGGAAGAGAAGGGGCGCGAGGAAACAAATAATCACGATAGATATTTCGAATATAATATGCGATACCTATATTATGAGGATTTAAAGGAATCGAGTTATAATAACAGCTATGTTATTACGCCGTAATAAATACAAATCGGTATACCCATTGCGATAACTCCGGGAGTATTAATTTTTTTTCGGAATTCTTTTTTTAGAAAATTGAAAAAACAAGTGTCTGTAAAATGTTAAACTACCGTAATTTTCTGTCATCTCTGTTTTCAGGGCTGAAACGACTATCTACTTTCGATTTTAAAATGGAATCCTACGTATTAAAAATTTCCATAAATAGACGGACATTTCGGTGTTGACTGTATTTTTGATTTCCGTCAAATCGTTGACGAGATGTCTCAGTTTTAAGTATTTTACATTTAAAAATATGCGAGAACAAAAATAATCGCAATGTACCATTTTAGAGCTGCTTGTTTCTTAAAATCCGAAAAAAGTCAATACTTTTCGAGATATAGCGACCTAGGGTGGGTATATTTTCGTCAGACACGTTTTATTGGGATCTAAATTCTGTAGGTAGCGTTGAAATCGTTTATCATAAGTGCGTATCCTCATACTTATTAACATCATGTGCCGTGCGTTACATCATTTAAAGTGTTAACGTTCATTTGTGCGCCGTCGTCGCAAAGTGCACACACGCGTGTTACGCCACAATATATTTATTTACGGTCTGGCTATCACGGACACGTCACTTTCATTTTGGTATAATAAACCGGCACCGGAGTGCAGTGTGAACCCTTCGAATTTAGATTATGATAGATACTACTGCTGCTGTGGAAACCAATCGAATAACACGGTCGAAGACGTGGAGACCATGTGGAAATTATACCGCGACGCACGTGTTCTCGTATTATTCGACTGTCGCGGAAATATCGACGGCGTTAAAACAATAGGTTTCGCTGAAAAACTGATAAGGAAACCGGAAACCGTTGATGAGCGAGAGTATAGAGCGAGGGCGAGAGTGATGTTGATTACAACGTAATACATAATATATACGATATGCGTACATATTGAGTAAATATAAGGCGATTGACGAGCTTTTAAGCCCTGCAAAATAATCTCTCGAGAGTCTATTGTTTTTTAATTACAGTTTCACGGCGCGTGGCTGTAAAAAAAAAAAAAAAAAAAATGAGATAATATCCGCCACCACGATAATCTGCGGATATTTTGCCAACGAGTTTTTTTTTTTTTTTTTTTTTTTTTTTTTTTTTTTTTTATGCGAGTTGTTTTTAAGCTAAATTTTACTCTAGTGTATTTTTCCCTTAACATTTTTTTCTTTTTTTGCTGTTGTCATGATAACAGCAAAAAACCGCGCAGTGATTCGAGCACAGATTCAAACACTGCTACCAGGCGGAACGTGTCACCCGATCCTGAAACTCTCGTTTTTTTCTAAAAATTTAATTTAAAGATATAAAATATACGGCAGACAAATTAAACGAACGTTAATTTTATTTTTTGTTTAAGAATCGAACACAAATTCTAAAAATAAAATTTGTTAAAAAATAAAAAAATAACTACAATGGTTGTTTCTAGAAACGAATAGATAGTGTAAGTATAAATTAGGTTTAATCGATTGTATTTTGAGCAAGAAATATAAATTGCGTCAGCGTTTTAATTGAATTACCTTTTAAAATAGTTTAGAATTATCAGCTGAAATATCGTACCTACTACTGGCGCTACTATTGCAGTCATTTTAAACTATTCGGATCATTGAACGATAATCTTCAATATTATATCATCGCGAAAAATTGCTTTTTTCGGTTTGATAATAAAATCATATATAATATAACGCCAAAAATGGATTTTCCGTTCAATACCTAAACTTGCGTGCTATTATAGAATTGTGAGTGCAGAGTGGAAACGATAAAAAGAATAATTTTATTGTTTTCGGTTTGTGTGTAAAACTTCAATGTTCAAAACGTTAAAACGATAAAGGAAAACTATTGTACTGCGAGGGTGCCGTTTTATCGGTGTTACGTACAAGAAATAAGGCACGCAGTCAATCAGAAAACCCCTGTTCGGTTTCTGACGTAAATTCCATCGGTCGATTACAAATGATCTCTTTCACTCTCCGAACACCTATATGTACAAAAGGTGATTATTTTATCATGAATCAGTGGTTAATATTTGTACATAAAGAATTTATAATACACAATGTCTATCCGAATCGAGTAAATTTGATTTGGTTTCTCCCCCAGTTATATTGTACAGGGTATACCTCCAAGATATCCATTGCGATATTTCCTGAGATAATGAACAAAATCAAATTCTATTTATTTATTTTTATAAATAACGCAAATTTTTATTATCTTTATTATTACTATTAAAAAAAAAAAACTCGGTAAACTGCATAAAATGGTGGGGTTTTGGTAATACATTTGTTTGCATTATTGTAACTCGGACATCAACAAATGTAAAATCAACGTATACTGTCGTGTTTTGTCAGTTTTTCCGCATCTTTCAATCGTATCGTCTCCCCGTACATACGATCGAAATATTATAATACTTACACGTCGTCGTTGGCGCGAGGTTTTTCTGGCGACGACGGCGTTAGACGGAGGTCATGGCGACAGTGGCGACGACGGTCGATAACCGAGAAATATTATTATTGTGAACTCGCTATTCGGTGGCGACGGCGGAGTCCCGAAAAGCGGACATTTTACACGCGGCACACAAGTGCAACGTATATTAAGAACGTTCGGGTATTAGTATTTATTATAATGGCAGACGTTTATGTATAGGTATATAAGCGAGTACATATATAGTTGAACGGTTAACAATGTGGGCCGTAGAGTAAATAATGGATCGCCTCTCCCCGGTGGCGTTCACAAATCACTTCGGAAACCTGCACGGAATCGACTATATACCTAACCTATACATAATTCATCCGGATACTCGTTAAAAATCACAGCATCAGGCCGAATCGACGGTATCCACCGTGAAATCACGCTTTTCGCGAATATTATTGCCTATAACATGTTAGGTATTATTATCGTTATCGTTATTATCATATTGCCGCTAAAAAATACAAATATCTATATTGTTAATTGATTGTTTATAGGTTCGAAATAACCGGATTGATTATGGATTTATAAATACCGTTATATCAGCAACATCTAAACCAGCGTTTCTCAACCGGGGGGGGGGGACACGGACCCTTAGGGGTTCCCGAGATGTTATTAGGGGGTTCTGTGGAAAGAAAAATCGTAATGTGAAAATTGAATGGAAAAAGTAAAATTTGTTGTATTTGATTGAAATCACTTGTTATTTGTGAAATATTGTAAATATTGTAAATCGGTTTTTCATAATATATAAGTGTATAATATGTATATAATAAGAATATACTATATCATTATAAGCGGTGGCACGTGCACACTAGATTTTATTTTATTTGATAGCGTAGCATTGCACGAGATGGTTCGGGGATCCGTAAAATAGCGGTGAGAGGTCAAGGCAATGTACATGAATGAAAAAAAGTTGAGAAACGCTGAATTCTAAACAATAACTAGTTTAAAACGGCGAGCCTAACATAAAACATACAAACAACATTTGAATTTTCTTTTTCACGAAAAACCGACTGTCGAAATGTATGAAATTCGAATACAATCTTGTACACGGAGTTACTTAGATTAGGCAATTGCATTACATTTGTATCATATTGTGTCGATTGTGCTTAATGCCTTATTTTGTGTTTCAGTGCTTATTACGAGTAGTTCAATAGCTTTACTATTAAGTATGGCAATATGACGAACGTCTCACACGATCAAAATTTATCTATACCTATTGATTTGACACACCTTTATAATTATATGAACTGAAACGATCGCTTCAGTTTATCTATAATAGGTTGGGCGCCACTGCCTATTACAAAATTATAAACACCGTGGGAACTACTTTCAGTTCTCATAAAAGAATTTTGGAAAAGCGCGATCGGGTTATTTTCTATAATAATATTTTTGGTTATTTAATTTTTATAACGGGCCGTCGTCAGTTTATCAGGTCATAATTATTTTTTTTAACACCGGCGAATCGCGACGACGTTTTGAAATTCGCGTGCGTCTCCGGACGCAGCGATGGTGGGCTGCAGTTCAAAATTTATTCGTAAACATTTTTACTATAACCCGGTTCGGGATAGATAATAAAAGCAACGTATTAAAGCTGTGTAGATTCGTGCAGCTCGTGAAAATAATAATAACGATCCAACGATACTCATCATTGTAAACACTCCAAAATCTCAATAAATAATATTCACCTCGTCAGTCTATTTATTTTAGTGAAATTTTAATGAACAAAACCGTTGGTTTTATACATTAAAAAACACAAAAATTGTTGTAAAATATAATATCTTTTCGAGTAGGTACTTAGTATATAAGTATATATCATAGTTTTGAAACGAATGGGATCATTTTTTTTAATGTTGTTTTTTTTTTTTTTTTTAATTTGTTTTCGAGTTTCGTTTTACTAAAAACAATAAATTATACTTATAATAATATAAAATGTATATAGGTATCCGAGTGCAAGATTACATTAAAATTGCATACCTACCTAAGTAAAATCAAGAGTGGTAATAAGATACCATAATCGTCGTCCTGTAATTATCCCTGATAATTATTTTCGCTAATGTATATCAAACTACGTTGTGCACTATTCCTATATAGTATTATCATCGCGAAACGTGCAGTAGGTACTTTATTTTGTATTTTTTTTTTTTTATTTTTCAATTCAGTGGATTCCGGCGGAAAGGCTTTTGAAAAGGTTCTGCCAATCAGTATATAAGCCCTCTGAAATACTCTCGGTGTAATTGTAAGTCAAGACAAGAAACACGGTGCCCGGCGCCGCCGTCGCGAGAGAGCTAATCAATCACGAGAATAAGAAACGAGAGCCATAAAAGAGACTGTGTATAAATCGACGGACAAACGCGGTGAACGATAGAAGAAGTGAGACTATGGGAGGGGAAGAGATAGGGGAGGTTAGTATTAAGGGGAGATTTACAGACGAGGGAAACGATCGCGGCCAAACAAAAACGGCAGCAGTTTAATCTCGCGCCGGTCGAAGGGTTCACGATAAATAAAACCTTCGCGAACACTTACCGAGACATCTGTACGGTTTCACCCAGTCCGTGTGCTTGCATTTGTTGTATCCCATTTTACACCAGTTACCGATTTTTACGTAATGGCTGGACTCCACTATGTTGGTAATGTCGTTCTTCGGGTATACCTAAGGAAAAAAAAACACAATAAAAACTGCGCGGTTTTAGACCCACATTTATTTTTTATCTTTTTAAACACCGCGCGCACATGTTACACATAATAATAATATAATATAATATATTATATTGTGGTATTTCTTTTCGTCTCCCTTGAACTATACCGCGCTATAAATCCATCGCACACCCTTACACTCACGATCGATTTTACGATATCGCTTTAATCGGAGGCTGCGGTCTTTTTTTCGTTTTGACCTTATTCTCTCTCTCTCTCTCTCTCTCTCTCTCTCTCGCTCTCTATATATTTAACTTGCTCTGTTTATGTATAGCCCTGTATACCAAAGAACACGCAGTAACGCCCGTACACGATTCATATTCTATTCCACATCTCCTTACATCGATCTATCTATTTTCATTTCCTCAACTATTCCATACTCCTTTATGTATTTTCTTTACTAACCTCTGGCCAGTTTTTTTTTTTTTTTCTAAGGCCTTCTTCCAAAATTTTTCGCATCTATACATATCTCACCTATGTATTTATTACTTCCTACCTTATCGTATCACTCATCATTATCTATCTCAATCCATTCTCTCTCATTTTTCCTGCCATACCCATTACTTCTAGATTACATTCATTCCTAATCTTGTCTAATCTGTAGGTGGTTCAACATACCTACTTAAACCTTTTCGTTCGTTAGCTACTTTCGTTTGTAAGTTATCTATTTTTGTTTAATACCCTTTATCCAAAACGCAACAGTCCTGTCGCTTCTCTTCATTTTAGCGAATCGTTTATAGTGTACCATATCGCTGAACCTAGCCATACGCTTGAACTTCTCTACTATACTCTAACTCTGACCGTTACTCTATATTATAGCGACCGCCATTTAATTTCACCTCTCTTTCAAACCTATTAACAAAATATTCTTACCTTTTTGCAATAGTCCAGGATTTCCACTTTCTCCTTTAAACAGCTGACCTTGCGTTTCATGTCGGACGTCCACCGACCGTTTTCTGACATGTATTGGCTGTAGTACGGGTTATCTGATTTGGAATCGCATAACACGGCGACCTGAGGCTCAAAGTGCACCGGTGCCGGTCCATCCGTGCCAGTGCCCTAGAGTAAAAAAGAAAAAACACACCGCTGTTAGTTTACAGTTGGAAAAAAACGGATCGACCGTCGGACGTTATTATATATAAACATTGTTATAGCAAGTCGAATCGGGCGTTATTAAACGGTTTTACTCGTTTTATTTCGGATTGCAAATCCAAGGGGATAAAAACGCTGATCGTCGCCGTTATAAAATACGAAATAAAAAAAAAGGACGTATTTTTTTTTTCTAACTACTGCGCGAATGCCGACAATTATTATCGCCCTGGCGCGTTTTGCGCCGAATTTCTTCGTCTCTCCCTCGCCATCGCCTCTGTTCGGAAATCGTTATCGTCGTATTTCATCTCATCGCCGTTTATTGACGTGGACCGACGTAAAAGACGATTCGTAAAACGTCACCGGCGCAGCAGATAAAGACGCGCACACACGAACCCGGCGGGCTTATGTTGTCAGCACCGACCCAGACATGATCGCGTCGTGTAAAACGGCGGATGACGACGACGACGACGATAACTATGGCGATGAATAGGAGAGCGCCGCCGCCGTTCGATATGTCACGCGAAACAATATTACGAAATGGCAAACGACAAGCAAATGGCTACCGTCACTGCTGCCGATGCCGAGGGCGAAAAAAAATATTCAATAATATAATAAGGGACAAATGAGACGGTAAGTTCGTTTGTTTTTTTTTTTTTATTTTTATCACGATGGAACACGGTAGACAATGCAGGACGGATCGTCCAGTTAGCATCGTGTCCGATCGCTTCGTAAACGTTTTATAAAACACAATGGATACTGTTTATAAATTACATTGTTTTTCGGTCGTTTCAGTCTCACGATCGAAAAATGACAGGACGTCGAGAAAAAAATATCCACCGAGCATGTCAATTATTATCAAATAAGCGATGATACGAAAAAAAAAAAAAAAAAAAAAAAATGAAAAAAAATAAAATAGAACGTCTCGATAACGTCATCAACGTTTATTAAATTGTTCACGCCGATAAAATTCATGATGTACGACAGTAATAATAATAATACAAGGTGATCATGACGTAAGATAATTATTTTTTCGGAAAGCATTAACTTGTTTGGAAATTGGTAAAATCAAACCAGTCTAAAACGTTACCTACATTGCCGTTATTATTTGTTGTCACCTTATTTTTGACGGCAAAACCACTATCCGTATTTGATTTTCATATTGAAACTTATAGTGATAAAAATGCGAATAAGTTTAAATACGCTTTGGTGTTGACGTTTTTAATTTCCGTTTTGTTACTACAAGCAGTGGAGAGGGCAGTAAAGCTATACCGATGGAAAAAAAAAATATAACGGTAACGTAACATTTTAGAGTCGCACTTGTTTCTGACAATTTTTGAAAAAAAAAAAAAATAAAACCCGATTCCGAAACAAAAATTACGACTTTCCGTGACAATGAGTGTGATATTAGTTACGTTACGTTACGGTACCACGGCGTACCGGTATAAGACATACGACCTACGCGTTATGTCGATCGCCCTGTATACCGGGGAGAACGGCGAACGATAACCGTCGACAAATACGGTTTTTGCGTTTTAGAAATTATGTACATTATTAACGCGTAACAAATTACACGCCGCGCCGATGCGACGATGATGTCACTTAAAACGCCCGCGAGAGGTTTGTTATTTAGCGGCTGTGTAGTCGGGAAAACAAAAAAAAATTAACAACAACACCGCGTATGTTGTACATGATTAATGGTCCGATTTTGAAACGTAAAAATCGCGACGTCGTAAAGATTAATATTATTTTTCAGGCTCGATTCGCCGATTACCAATACACGAATTACTCATCGCGGATGATACGCAATATGTATTCGTTATTGCCAATACCGGTGTTATAGCTAAGTACATATCTACCGAGGACAAAAAAAAAAAAAAAAAAAATATAAATAATAATATTGTCGTTAAATTACGACGGCACCCACTATGTTCTATATTTGTATAATTTATACAAAATATCGCTCAAGAACGGATTGGTTGGACAAATTGTTATTATTCCGCTACGAAATTATGTTTCAAACAATGTGAAATTTTATCGAATCGCGTAACCGCGAGTCCGCAAACGAACGGTGTCTATACCCATAAAGTGCACGTGATCGATACATTTAATATTATTACCGCGAACACCCGAAACGTGACGATTGTTCCAAGTGGCGTTGGTTTTCGTGGCGAACACGGTAATATATTCGGCTAAATCGCATTGTGTCGAAATGCTCGCGTACAGAATATTAATAATGTTACAGAAACATTAGAATTAACGACGTATTTATTTTTTGTTCAGGGTGGATAGTATCTAGGTAATAGAAAAAAAAAAAACATCGGAATAAAAGTTAATGTTTAAAATAAACAAACTTGAAAAAAAAAAACCCGAACATACTTCGCATCACGCGCAATTCACTTTTGCCGGTTGGACGTGACGACAAATCGTTTAATCGAGAAAACCCGCTAGCAAAAAATCCAAAATTTAAGAATCCATAAGTACAAAAATTCGGTTTCGTGATGTTGTCAGACACCAATCCGTCCGCTGATATGTTGAAAATTTCAGTTTGAAATTATTGAATTAATCTATTATACGAAATAAATTTTCCTGATGGAAATAACCTATACAATTATAGGGGCGGGTCTCTCGTATTCACAGCGCCCTGTCCGAGTTCTGTTAAAACGTGTAACCTAGTGGGTTTTAAGCGTTTTAGAAGTTTTATAAAACATAACCTAGATACTTGGTCCAGACCCTGTGCCGGGGACGAAGGAAATTAGTGTTTTCTGAGGGGTTCAAAAGTTTGAATCTAAAACCAATATGTACTACCGAGTGGATGAAAACTCATCGCGGGTCTCAAGACAAAGCCGACGGAAAACGGAAGAACGTCACCCGTGTTGGTCCAGGCCCGACCCCGATACCAAGTGCCCAGGAAGTATTATATAGCGTCGCAAGCGTAAACCTAAAACCTAGGTACCTCCTAGTCGACGAAAAACCGCTCGGGCGGGTTTCGTATTTGTACAGGTACCCGCCGCTCGGGCGGGCCCCGGATAGGGGAGGGAGAGGTCTGTAAATACGCGGACGGGAGCGACGGTAAAAGAGGACGCAGGACGTAGGAGACGGCGGTGTCGACGGCCGCCCGGTTAAGGATAACGCAGTACACATAATAATAGTAATAATAATAATAATAATAATAATAATAGTCGTCGTTTCTCGTGTTTCCTCGCCGTTAAAATATAATAGAGACCGTTGTAGTTCTACACCGTTCCCTACATGTTATAGTCGGACCTGCAAACGATCGACGCGCACGCGAGCCCATAAACAGTCGTAGGTACCTCCTAATTTACCTACACCTTACAACCTGCAGTACTATTGCGCGTACGGCTACTGCACAAGACTCGGGGGAGGGGCGAGAGGGGGGGAGGCAGAGAGCGAAAACAATTATTTCTCTACGGGGCGGGCTAGCGGAGGAGAATAGGTGAACTAAATCGATTTTCGAATTACGACTTATGACCGCAGTGCGTGTACACACTTACCTACCTACGGAATATACAATATTATTATCATTATTATTTTTTTTTTTTCGCTGTGTGTGGCGTAAAACCGAGAATCCGTCGGTTGAATTGCCCGCTACAGAAACGAATACAGCTGAGAATACGAAGAGACGGTCTCGGCTCCGTGTCTGTATAGGATTAACGAACAACCCCTCCCCTCCCCTCTCCCCTCTTCGTGTTCCGCACTCATGGCCCGGAATTATTCTCGAGCGGATATTTTTTTTTCGATTTCGTTTTTTCTTTTTTTTTTCTTCTGTATTATATTTCCTATATACATATTATACAAGAAGAAGTATAGTCGCGTAACTATGTACACACAGCGGGAATGTATGGCCAACCCCCCCGCCCTTAAATATAATCCCGTATACGTGCCCGGGACTTTGTGTGATCCGCACCGCGCCGGATCGAGAAGACGTGACGTCCGGACCGGTCAGAAACGCAGAGGTATACGGAAAAATTTATTATTTCCATCGATTTTATCGTTCTATAATATACGAAAAAAAAAAATATATATTTATATATATTATTATATTTTAACCCGGAGCGACCGATTTCCGGTACACTGCAAACGAGTAAACGACACGTACCTATACAGTTTTTATCCGGCAATAATAAAATAAAAAATAATATTGATAATAATACGCGTACATAAAACGAATGGCGAAATTATATTTTATTGTGATGCGCGCCAACAAGGAATATTTGATATTTTCGTGTAAACGTGTAAATTATTACATTAGTGACGTTTGAAATACACGAGCGATTCACGGCCGCCGCGAATAAGGTTGTGAATTTGTAGCGAACGAGATTTGTTTATTTTAAAAAAAAAATTTCGAATTCGATCGCCGACATCGGTCTTTGACGGTTTCGGTATCGGATTTTGTTCGGTTTCAATTTCGATTTTGATATTCAATACCGGTTTCGAGCTCAGCTTAATACAAAATTCGAATTGCAATATTATATTAGGTATGCAATTCTGTTTGTCGAAACTTTTATTGACGTAGTTCTTTAGACCTTTCCATCCCATTTTTAATGTGTTTTACGTTTTTTTTTTTTTAACAATTATTCACCGTTGGCACGTAGTGTAATAATAAATGAGCATGTATATGGACTTACATGATATTATATTATAAAACCTATTCAAGTGGAATTTTTTTCTCGAAATCCTTATAGTAAGTCAAAACTCATATCGACGACAATTTAATTTCCCTTGAACACTGATTTGTCGACGTTCCGCTGCAGTAATAATTGCAGGGGTTTTCGGACGTTTCCGGGAGTATACCACTAAAAATCGAAAAATACGCGTTTTTGACATCGAAGAAATCAGAAAACTCAAGAGTGTAAATTGGTACAGTTAATACAGGCAATTAAGTTGCGGTAATGTCGACTAAAAGATGTCCGGGCGCCCTTTTAAAATATAATGAAATCAACACTGATTTGTTAAAAGGGCGTGTACCGCATTCAACGCATGTATACTCTGTGTACGAGTGATTCTATTGTTTTCTACGATAAACTGTTAAACGAAAACTGTTTTGTTGTTTTTTTTTTTTTTTTTTTTTTTTTTTAAAAAAACGGTTTTGTTTTTGTTTCCCCAAAAAAAGTGAAATCTGATAGACGCCCTTTTTTCAACGAAACACCGTCGATATCATTATAGACCTATACGCGCGGTGCAACGGTATATTATATACAAAACGACGCGATAAAATATAAAATATTTTATACCTGTGTCACGATGGCGTTTTTCGAAAACGAATCGCGTATTATAACATAAACGGTATTTATTCGATATAAAATGTGGCGATGTTACGGCGTAAAATTATTATTATTATTATTATTATTATTATATACGGGCCCGGGGAAACAAAAACGGGTGAATAACGGCCGCGTATACGATATTATTATAATATATTATATCGCGGAATGACGTGCAGAGGCAGGCGGCCGAGACGGTGAGGGGGACGGGGGGGAGGTGGGGACGGGGGGAAGGTGGGGAGGGGGGATTAAAAGCGTTTAAGCTTTTTGAGGCTCGCCCTCGAAACGCGGTCATGTGTGTTTTCGGAGAGTTGTGTGTATAAATATAGCCGTTACCCGGTTGGCTGACGGTAAAGCCAAAAGGGTTTGCGGTATAATATACGCACGTTTAGTGTATATATACACACATATATGTTTGGTACACAAAGGACACTACGACTACTCGTACATGTACGTATATATATATATATAGTTATCTACACACCTATATAAATTTCATAATAATACGTATACGCGTTTGAACAGGGTGTCTGGAAACTTGTCGTAAACTATACACGTGTACGCATATCTGGGGCTTGGGTCAAAAGTGGCCACGAGTTACACGTACGGCCAATCGTACTGTGCCAATTTTATACTGTGTTTTTTCCCGGCGGTAAAAGAGCGTAGTTCGATAATCGTTATTGCGAGATTTGATTAGACGGCTCTATATCCGAGCGAATTGGGTCCCGGAACCAAGCGGCTCTGATGGGTAGTACACTAGTTGGGTCCCAATTGACCGTGGATACTGCGCTAGTTGGGTTCCGGGTTTCGACAGGTTTATATACTCACTTAGTCGGGTCCAAACGTTTACTAGCAACAAAACAAATTTGCCTTCTCATTTTTACAGACTTAGGCGTTAGGGCTGTCAGTGATTTGTAGTTTAAAATAAAACACGGGTATATGATAAAAAAAAAAAATTGTTTGTCAGGTGAATTAATATTTTGGAAAACATTCAGAAGGCGGTCAATGAACACTAATTTAATATAATATAAAATACATTTTAAAAATGTGTTTTTTAATTTCATTTAATACTAATGTACTTAAGTAAAAATGTATAAGAGAGCGTTTTGACTTTGTAATCTACTTACTATTTACTCGAGGGCCAACCAGTGGCCTATACAGAATCTTTTTTTTTTTTTGAGGGGGGGAGGGGTCGAAAAAATATAACAAATGAAATTGTTTTGAATTTTGTGTGTATTATGATCATACATTATACATTTCATTATTATTTTACTGCGCTAATTATATAAAAGTTGATAAATTTATCTTTTTTAAAAATTATAAATGTATATTCATTTTTCGTTTTGATGTTTTAGCAAGTTCATCTGTAACATGGCTAAGCCATTTAAACGTATTTGTCCCGAAGAATTTCTCAAATATGTTTTCAAACGACGGAGTGTTGTAAACGATCGTTCTCCCGTGGCACTTGATACTGGAAGTGGACATCTGGACTAGTTTGGAAGTATACTTCAATAGTATTTTTGTTCTTGAGTTCGAAAGATGTTAAATTTGAATATTTAGTGTACCACAAATCTAATTTTCCGTTTTATATATAACCGTTTAAATTTGAATCGTTACATTCATCAATTATATCTTGATATGTTTCTACGAATTGTTTGATTTTTACCTTTAATATCTTCAAATATTTTCATTTCTATCTTAGGTAAAATACAATCAAAATTATTTTAAAAAAACCATGTGCGATATAAACTTATTGTTTAATTGGTTTAAACAATTATCTATAAAAGGTATGAATACTTCTGGATCATTTGATTTAGACGTGGCAAACTAACAGTAATATCAAATTTTTCACAGACAGTTATTACGGATAAAAATAACTGTTGAAACTCTACATTACAATTTCTCTAATATTCTGAATATTATTTTGAACACAAACAGCTTCTAATGCAGTTTTTAAATCAAGATTTACTGCTTAAAGATATCGGCTAAGTGGAAAACTTATGGAAAGTATTTTCACTAAGATAGATAAAGCTGTTTGAAATTTTAACTGTTTTTTCGCAGTAAGAAGATGACTTACAGAACTAAAAGTGTCAGGATCTGTCCAAAGTGTAATTTTATTTAGTGCATGTAAAATGGCTGGTAGAAGTTCTTCAAACAATATAACTGCATTATGGCAATCGGACCCATCGAGTTGCACATAGATTTTTTAGTTTAAAACGATTAGTGGATATATTTCTTCTAATGCAAAATACTTTGTCTTTTTGGATAACCGAAAGTTATAACCGATAACCATAGACTTACCTATTATTATAATATATACACTACACTGGACTGAACTTGTATACAATTAATTTATATTGTTTGTGTAAACTGTTAAGTGTAATAATATTTAATTATTTTTGAATATCCACTGCGTGTTCACACAGTCGTTCGCTACCGGCTAACTTAAAAATAAAGCTTCGCGTACCAGATAATATATCAAAATTTCTTCTTAACTTTTGAATGTTTTTGAGTTACCTCTCTCGCCACCAGCGAGAGTACCATATTTTCAGTACAAATTTAATAGTTTGTTCCGAAATCTAATTCAGTTATTAATTTCTTTTTTTTAGTGGATAAACACAGTAAGCAAACTGGACGTCCAATGAATTTTACTATATATCCATTTAAATACAGAAAACCTTCTTAAAAAAGTTCGAAGTATATAGCAAAAGAATAATTATGAATAAACTGTAGACAATTCTTCCACATCCAAACTTGAAAAATGGAAATTTAAAAATAAAAAAATAAAAAATAGTATTCAATAAATCCTAGTAGAACTTGACTAAGATATACATTTCAAGATTAAATTACTAAATAAATATTCATAGTTGTTGTATTTATAAGCCAAATAAGGGGAGAGAGATTTAATTTAATCCTTTCCCGTCGGTGTAAGCCACCGGTCACTATCATTAAAAATAATAATGAATTAAAATAACTGATAGCTCACATATAAGACCTATGGACAATTGTAATGCAATAATAAAAAAAATTATAATCTACCGACTCGAAAACGTTAAAATTCACTTTCGAATAAATTAACAAGTGGTCCCGAGTATGTCGTTATTATGAGTACCTATTTATTGACGTAATATATATTTTTTTTTTTCAAAAATACATGTTCCTGTAAAACAGTAGTGCATACTGAAGTACCCTTCAAATTGGTTTTTATAAACACCTATAATATACGAAACAGATGAGAGAGAACATTTTTTTTAAACCCTATTTGGTTTTAATAATAAATTTAAAAACTAATTTTAGACCTGTTTTAGAATATTGTTTTCTGCTCTTGATATTTATCTCTAAAATCTTTCTAAAAGGTTTGTAATTTTTTCTGTTTTGTATAAACAAACAATTTGATTGCGTTGAAATTACGATGTTGGAATTTATTTTTATATTGATCAAAACGACAATTCAAAGCTTCAAAGCTGGTCATCATAAATCGAAATAAAACGTGGGTGTAAATTTAGATTCTTACACCCATTAGTCGTGTAACAACACTGTCTGACGTTTTTTTTTTTTCTTTGACAGCGAATATTATTAATCTTCACAGCGGATTTTCCAACAGGGATTTCGATTTCGAGGCCAATATCTCGAAGCCGTTAATCCCCGTAGAGCTGGTAGTCATTAATCGTAATCGGGGTTGGCTGACAACTATTTTTTTTTCTGTATAAATATCAAATACCATACCAAAGTCCCAAAACCCATTCTACTTTTATTTAAAACCACTATTTCCCATAAATACTCGCTTCAGCCAGTGGTGATATTTAATTATTTTGAATTCATAGACAATGCCAATAATTATTTTGTAACAAAAAAAAAAACACCTGGCCTTTGTCGGAGTTTTCCACAGCTACCAGTAACGCATTTTTAGACAATACTCAATAATATAGAGAATTTACGATAATAGGTGAAGTGAAGGTGTATATGTATTTGAGCGAGGTGTGCGTATCAAAAAACCGTGATTACAGGTAACACTCATAATTTATTTTCCCATGATATCTGAGCCCAACATTTTTTTTTAAACATTTTTGTTTTATTAAAACGGGTTGACAGTAATCAAAAATGTTGAGGTTAATGACAAAACCGTTCAGAAAACATTATTATATGCCAGACTGTTATCGTATAAGCCGTCTAATCTTCCAAAGAATGGTCCAAATGGAGACAGTAGTTCGAGACACCCAATACGTCGAGGTAAATTTCGTTACTGTTAAGTTATACGTTCACGTATGTGGCTCATAGATGAGCTAAAAGAATCTTCGACATGTCTGTATGGCCACGATGATGAAATTATGGTCGTAAAAATTAATTTATTATATGACCCAATTGGGTGAAACCAAGGATGGGCAGTATTACCCTAAGTAAAACGTTTAGTTAATAATTTTTAAGTTTTATTTGGCAATTTACTATCCCAAAATCTATCTAGAAATTTGTTTGAAATTCATAATTGAATATAAAAATTTTGAAAAAATGTTTACTCAGGTTAATTATTTAGTATTCATTATTATGCATGTAATTATACAATTATAGTTTAATAATAAAACTCTTTCATTAATTCTAATTTCGATCATAAATCCGTCACTGGTGTCAACGGGTTGTTTGCGAAACGTTTTGTTAATATATGAACACCAACGCCGTTTTGGTTTTAACTGTCGCGATTTCACGAACCATAGAATTTCCTCTGCGAGAGAAAATAATTTTAGCAAATGTACAATTAGATTCTACAGTTTTATAGTAGGTAGTATTCACTAATGGCCGCATACGTCCACATCCCGTCACAAACACAATAATATGTATCTACTTGTATATGGTATACAGTGTAACACTTTTATACCGTGAACCAACGAATATCTATACGAAGATTTCGAGTAAATTTGATTTTGGTGTTTTTACTCGAGACATTACGTACATGATGAAGTCGTTTACAGTATTTACACAATTTGCAGTTTTATTCCGTATATTATACTGTAAGCACATATCTATACTATCAACTTTTGATTTTCGAATACTTAATTTAAAAACGTAATTGGCTGTGCTATATTTGAAAACCAAAGTTCGATATGACGCGTTTATCCGTGATGGGATACGGAATGAAATGTCGACGGTTCAAATATAATAACTCCCTTTATATTATACCGAAAATGGCCGGGAAAAAAAATCCCGAAAGAGCACTTACGCGAGCGACAATATACCTAATATATTATTATTATACCCGCGCAGTTCAATTACAGTGGTTAACGATCCGAAACAATTACAGTGCGTTTAATATCCGAATTTCGACGTAATTCCAGTCGGTAAATCGTTTTGCGAAAGCGGGTTTTTTTTCCCGAATTCCGGTTCTGCGTTACACTCCGTTTGGGTTTGAAATTATTATTATTCAATTAGGTTAGGTTAGGTTGGAATCGTTTCAATAGGCCGACAAGTGTGCGCGGGGGGGGGGAGGTGGGGTTAATTTTTTTGTAAATATTTTATTACCATCTGCCATACCATTAACCGCCGTCGTCGTAAACGTTCGATGTTTAGTCGCGTTAAAACAACAACGTCGTCGTAAAAAATTGAATTATTAACAAACCGCCGTGCGCGCCTTATTATTATTATTATTATTATTATTATTATTAGGTGCGTATTTTTATTATATTACAGTCGGATCTTCGGTCTTGAATACCCGATTAAGCAATTTAGTGTAACAGCGTGCGGTGTAATATTAAGTCATTAACGGGTCGTGAAAAATTAACGAACCGAAATAAACGACAGAACGTAATTACTAATTATTATTATTATTATCTTATACAACAACTTTGCGGAGGTTTATATAAAATATCATTGTTTATACACTCTGAGGTCATTGAGCCGGGAAAAATTTTCAGGGGCGTGGTTTGATTTTGCAAATTTCCCATTCACTCAAAAGAGAAAATCAATTTTCCGTGAATCAACACCCGAAAAGTAAACGTTGCAGACACATTCCGCGAAGATGGTGATAATAACATTTTGACGGTTCCCCCCGAATACTACACAGGTCTTGCCCCTTCAGACACTGATGTAAATCCAATAAAATGCCGTCTAAAAAGACGCGTCTATTATAATGGATACTTTTTAATTACTGTTCAGGACCCCTCCCAGAAAAATTTTGAAAATCCGCTACCGCCTTTTGTGTACACCTCGCAATCTCCCGTTCTTCTCCAACTCTCGATTCGGCTCCATCGCGCACTTTTTATTTGCTATAGTACCGACCCTTATATACTATATGCTGCATATTAGACAAACGTGTCAAGTGATAACAATCGATCTTCTTATACGCGGTTTGTGTATTCGCCTAAACAGTGGTACAAAATACGCGTGTATGTGTATTATTTTTGAAATAATGTATTTAGTTGTTTGGAAAACACGAAAATACGAAATTAAATTATAATAAAGTTATAAGCGAACCATCGTATAAACACAACCGCGCCGAGTATTATTACGATACTCACCGCCGCGTGGTGCGTGTCATCGTTGTCGTTCGTGCGCGTTTTCGCAAAGAATATCAATACCTGTAATGCGTATGTACGAGTATTATAATATTATTGTCAAACGCGAGTCGGTTTCAAAGAGGTTATACAAATAATATTATATAAAATGGTTATTCGAATCACGTGATACGCACAGCGAAATTCCGTACCCCGGGGATAGATATTTATCTTTAGATTGTGCGCACCCGCACTTCATGTATATATAGCGACATTAATATAAAACAACAAAAACTAACAAAAAAAAAAAAAATAAATAAATAAAAAAATATAGGTTAGGTCGAGCTGTTGTATTATTACTGACCATTGTGGTAATGGGGTAATATTATAAACTCGGGGGCTACCGAACGCGCGTGTCCAGACCATATCCGTTTATCAACGGTCGTTTCTGTAATTCCGTATGCTGTTTTTCGACCGTGCAGCGTGTGTACGATGAATTTTTTTTATAAAACGCATAGAAAAACACCAATACGTATAGCATCGGATTATTTTATACCCGCAACATTATATTATTGCGTTTGAATGTTATTCAAATCGATGTATATTGTTATAAAATTGTGTTTAATAATAAATAATAATAATATATCGAGTAAATAAATAGGTTTCTGCGAGCCGAATAATGAATTACTCTCTTATAATAAACACAATTCGTATAAATTGCAGTTGGTTAAAATTAAAAATTCTCTTTCTACCCGCGGCCAACCGAAATGATTATTAATGGATTTTGACGCAGGGGGGAGATGGCGCAGCCGTTTCGCGATCCGGCTTAAAAAGTTCCGGAAAATCAGCAGCAATTTTACAGCTAGCAAACAACAGTAAATATATTATGTTGATTTTCTTCTTGTAATTAGAAGCCAATATTCCGGATAGACGAGGGACTTAATGCATTTAATATGGGACTTTGACTTTCAAAAAGAAAAAAACATTCCCTTCACGAAAAATAGATTACACCTCTGCAGCGATATCTTTTTTATACAGTCATGGATTTTCACCACGCCACGAACAAATATTTTAAATATAATATTAATGAAAAACGCGACAACTGTTTCGCAGCTATTTGATATATTTATTTTAATTTTTAAATTCTCGTGAAACGACTTGACATCACTATAATACGTATACTACAGTTTATCGGAGAAGAAAAATGTTTCGTGTAGGCGTTTATCTTATGCTATAAAATAAAATATAAAGAAATAAAAAAAGGGTGGGTCCCTGCAGTAGCTGCTGAAAGGGGCGAGCGTAGAACACAATCGCGGCCGTATATGTATACCGGTCTAAGAGAAGGGATGTCAATAAAAAAAAAACGAAGGTACACCGGATTGATGGGATAAAACGAAACAGACGTATCTGTCACGCGAGTAAACCTGCTTTTTATATACTTACTACGGAACTTAACTTATTGGAGACAGACAACTCAGACGGGGTTGTCGTCCGTTTTTACGACACAGGACACAATAATGTTTTGTCATTTGGTACGTAATTATTAAGGTCCGGATTTCGGGTGCTCTAGGATCAATAAATGTATATATGCCTATTCTGAAAGTCTGAACATAGTGAAATTTTTATTTCGAATTCGTTTGAATTGTATGCGATGTTTTCCATTTTTAGTTTGTTTTTTTTTCACCATAGCCAATACAATAGCCCGGAAAAAATATTTAGTGGAGGCGGGGCCGCGGGGGCATTAATCATTTTTATATTACTTACCTAATATTTTTAGAACGATAAAATATGTCGAAAAGAACTGAAATGCCCAATGAAACAAATGATTTTAGGGGAGGGGGGGTGGATGAAGTAAGTGCTCCGGTACCACCTGGTTATGGCGCTCTTACTCTAGCACTTTAAAGCTATTTCATTACGATTTCTAGCTAAAAAGTAACGGATATGTATAAATATATACATAAAAAAAATCGGAGTCCCACGAGACCATTCCAAATATCTCAATATTTTTGTACCTCCATTCTTGTTCTTAAAAATTATAACTTTATAATTTAATAAAGGTTTAGGTATTATCATCTATTTAATATAAAGTAAAGGTGACTAATTAGCCTGTTTATGAATTGATTTTTGCGATGGATTGCTGTTTTTAATAATGCCATTAACTCAAATATGAAAATTGTGTGACTTGGTCCGTTATTGAACTGAAGACCTCATAGTATTTCCAAGAGAAATTTTGTGGTTTTTGCAACAATATTTGCCTCGGGTTTTATAGGCATAACTCTGCACACTTGTAATAATTTTTTTTAATCGTTCTACGATTTGTCCAACAGACGCGTAAGTGGAAAACGAAACTATTTTATAGTATTGTATTTTTCTTCGGTTTTTTTTTTTTCGAGTCGTTTAGAGATATTACAGCGGTTATGTGGTATTTGGACTGTTCCTTCTCTTAACGTTTGTTCGACGTTTTTTGTTAGTTTTTATTACAGGACGTTTAAATCCGGGCCCTAACAACAATTTTCAGGCTACAGGAGGGAACCATACTAACATTACTATACAGTATAGAGTTTTCAAATCACTATATATTCGTTTCCTCTTAATCAATTGACAAAACTTTTGGTTCGCCTATTCGTTAACCTTGTTGTACCTACATAAAAATATTCACCGAGGCCCCACGGATAGATTTTTCATCGCGAATATACGATTGCCATTATATTATTAATATTTTATTTCATCGGGGACCACGCAAAAAATAATACCTGCACGTAAAATATTATATTAATATATCAATCTAATTTTTAAACTGTCGATACGTGTACGCGCGTGCGGTATAAAAATACCACAGTCGTTATAATAAACGAGGGATTTTATTCTGTCTCTCTCTCTCGTTTATTATACTGCAATATTATTATATATATTATACTCGTATATGGCTAAATCGCATTTTTCTCTCGATATATTAAATTCTCCGTGCCGTATATAAATCGATATATTTTTTTCTCCCCCAATAAAGCGTTTAAAATGTTTCCAGAATTTAGATGACAGTATAATATACGAGAGTAAATAGGTACCTACGTATCTAAACCGTGTAGTATAGTTATAACACCTATTTTATCTCTGGCCGGTGTTTATAAAAAAATGTTAAAAAAATAAAAAAGGAAAATAGTACTTATATGCACTACTGCGTTTTTAAAACACGTTTCGTAAGGGAAAAATAAAAAAAAAAAAACAAATCGAAACCTACGTTGGTATAGGTGTATATTATGTAAATCATTTTAGATTCGGGATGTATCTGGGGATCAATTGGTTTTACTATGATGTGTGCTTTTTTTTTCCGCTTGCAGTAAACAACTTTTCGAAAAGAAATTTTGCTCCGATGTCTAGAGTATAGTACATACCTTTTCTGAAAGGAAATTTTCTCCAATTTGGTGCATTAGGGAGGTTATTTTTTGATTTTTCAAAGGGTTTTCGAAAGAATTGGGAACAACCTGAAAGAAAATTATAGGTAAAACGGCAAATATTTACGGCGCCTCGGCGTTACCGATTTCATTGTTATTATTAATTTTTGCTACTCATGTTTCTACCAGAATATTGCTCTTATCTTAAAATGACAAGAGGTCGATTTCGTTTCTTTTAACATAATATAGCCACTGACAAAGAAAGTCATTTTTTGATAGCCAAAGTAGTTTTCATAACGATTGGGACAATTATTTTATTATGGATATTAATAATAGCTGATATTTATTATGCATATTATCGCTTATATTTTGGATTTTGGGCAGAGTGATTAATTTTTATTTTCATCATTGTACAAGAAAACTCTTTTTCAATTTGTTTCGTTTTACAATAATATTGTGTTTTCTGAATATGTAAACTGTGTTTTTAGGCTATTTAATTTCAGATACAGAATCGACTATGTATACTTTCATTATTTCGGATGTATTAATAATGTTTGCAAATGTGTTAAGTTATAGTGGTAAAAAAATGTTCGGAGATATAGTTGAAACAGTAGGGCAAAGACAGGAAGACAAAAACTATGCACTTGAACGCCGACGGTGACGGGAAAAAATGTCTGTAAACGAATAATACAAAATTATAATATCCAAAAAATATAGTAAAAAGTATCAAAAAAAATTAAAATAAAATTATACACGAGACGTAATTATAATAATTTAACATGAAAACTTATTAGGTACTCACGGCTAGTGTTTTAACATTTATAATTTTTTTTAAGTAAAATTCGAGTTTATTACACTAATTACACTCTATGCGCATAAATATTCAGTGGCGCACATGTGTAATATAACATAATATTATAACAATGTGTGTAGAACACGTAGTATTTCCTTAATGTAAACTGTAATTAGGTATTAGAGGAGCCAAAAACGAAAAAAAAAAAAAAACCCGAAAATAACAAAAACAAAACGAATACGATCCATGTATACAATTAGTGTTGGAATTTCCATGTGTATAATTTTAATTCGTATGTTGATTTTTTTTTTTTTTTTTTTTAGATGTAAAATTATTTATTATGTAAATGCCATTGTTGGTAAATCTATCTAGATAACACGTGAAATACATAGGTGTTTGTGTAGTAAGTATATCATACGGTCAATGTCAGCGGCGTTTTGAACATTTTTTTTTTCGTGTTCGGTCCAGCATGTTTCTGAATTGAAAAACACCGCCACCTCTTTTATAAATACATCGGCAGTACAATGTTATTTTACTGTAGTTATATGACTTAAAACGGACTGTTCTACGGTTCTAATGTTGTACGTTTTCGACCGCCCACGGCCACCAATCCACCAATTTCGGTCCTAGTACATACTTAAAAAAAAAAAATATCGGTTTTCGCCACAGCACGTTGATTTAACGTTATCAATGATTGTCTGATCTCGACCTGCTACATTGTGATTTTATGCAAAACACAATGATAATAATATAATATTTACGAACAGGTTTTTTTTTTCTCGGCCACTATCCAAGGAGACACGCGGGACACGGTGCACACGGTTGGAATGGAAAACATATAAGAACGCGATTTTTTTTGTAATTATTATTATTATTATTATTATTATTATTATTTCTGTATGAAACTATAGTAAATGATATTATTATCAATAGAAGTCGAAACCGTAGCCCGAAACGTGTTCTAACGACATAATACGATATTTTTCAACAGTTGTAGTCGAGTGTTACATAATAGTGGAATAGTACAAATGGTGTAATATCTATAATTAAATCAAAAATGCGTTTTAATAAAAATTCATAAAAAAAAAAAAAAATACATCGTGTTAAAATATTGTATTACATATGTGTTGTGTATTTCAAAAAAAAATGTTGAAATAAAGTATCGTCGGAAGAATCGGCATCTTTTGGATTACGGGATAAAAAAAAAAAAACCGGAGCATTATTACTGACCGTAAATGTGTTTTCCAAGGAAATGAAAAACAAACATACATTTTATTTAAAACTACAATAGTTTCTTCGTTAAGTTCACTCAGAAACCAGAAAAAAAAAACCCTACTGTATTATTATAATTCCGTTATGTTTATATTCTCTGTATCGTTTCGCGGCAACAAGAAACGCGACGTATTTACATCATACCGCGATAAAATATACACGCGGGTTTTTTTATTTTTTATTTTTATCGATTGTTTTGCACCACCGCCAGTTATTGTAAATGTGACATTCATTCCGCGGCGGCGTATAATTTTACATTACTGTTTTTTTTTTTAATTTTTATTATTATTTTAATTCGCCCAAAACGTACACATAAAAAACCTCCTCCGCCTTCATCCTAAGTGTATTTCATGCAAATTACGCGATATCCGTGTCGTTTCTAGGTCATCGTCATGATTACTTCACGCGCGGATCGTGCGGCAGCCGAGTACGGAAATAAATGCGCGGTTCGCGATAACTCGAGGGTCCTACGGAGGAGGGACGTGTAGAACCTTATTAATTTCGTATTTTTCGCATTATTACTTTTGCAAAAATAACGGGTAATTACGCTTTACGCACACACTCTCTCATTCTCTCTCTCTCTCTCACTGTACACACATACGTTCATGTAGACCGCTGCCGTTGCTGTAAAAGACGTGCGAATCATATTATTTCGGACGACGGTAGCGGCCACGGCGACGTGTTGATGACAGGCCGTGACGGCCGGACGAGGCGTGGGCGGGGACCCAGCTTTAAAAACGAAAAACACAAATATCGGGCCGCGTGATTCAGCGCCGGATTCGTAGCGGTAGGACTGACCCTCGATGGGAAAAACGTGCTACGTTATTAATAAAATATCAATCACAAACACCGAGTTCAAAATATTACGCGTTCAAAGCGCGTGTTTTAGTTTACTGACTTACGACGGCGCGTTTCTCTCGTAACGTTTTCAATCCGCCCACAACGATTTTCACTCGCAAACGTACACGGGGACTCCGGGGATTTCGCCACCTTATTCGAAACGCAACACTTGTAATCTACATTGGCACTTAATGGAAAACGAATGAGCTGCGATCTCAGGCACGCATATGGAGTAATAGTGTAATGAAATGTGTTACTAAAATGCAAACAAGAAGATAAAACGCTACCACTGGGCAGACCGAAAAGCGAAGATTATACAGAAGTTCAGAGTAAATAATTTCGAAAGCCGTGGCAAGCGACCAGATAAAGATGAAATGGAAGTGATAAACGAATTGCGAGAGAGAGGCAAAGTCCTCTACTATGTTTCGTTTTTTAGCGTCCCCTTACTAATTATTTCTATGAGGGCGAAGGTCGGAGGGACAGCGCGTCTCTTTTTTCAAAGGATAATATTTTAAAAATCAAAAAAAAAAAGGCATCTCAACTAAGATAAATTTTATGACCGTACATAAACCATTATTTTGATTACCCATAATAAATCAACGAAAAATAATGTAGATACAATTTGTTACATTTGTTATCGGTTTTTATATTGCTTAGAAGAATTAAGACCTCCACGGGTTAGGTTGAGTTCGATAATTTCTTTCAAGTTTCATAATCCTTCTTCTTCTTCTTTAATTTTTCCAATTTGAGCACAGCTGAGGTGGACCCGCGATGATCGGTTTAAATGGTCTCGAGAATTGAAGTTAAATAGGTATTATAGATTAAAAAAACAAGCAATAATTACGACAGAGTCCGATTTTACATACGATTGCTGTTTGTTATAGATTCTGAGCGCAGCGAGGAATGTATTGGTTTTACTATGATGTTTTTTCATTTGTGAACAATTTTTCTCACAGAAATTCTGCTCCGAATTTCAAGTGTAGCACTATTACTGATAGGAAATCTGATTGGGATGGTACTTTGAGAAGGTCGCTTTACGATTTTCCCAAGAGTTTTCATAATAAATGAGAAAACGTACGAAATGTACTATGTTCAAATCGTAAATATTAACGGCCTTTCAAAACGTGTACAACGCCGAAATCCGCTCAGAATCGTTTGTTCCTTAGCGACGATTTAACGGGTCGCGTACAGTTATAAACATTAAATTTCTTTTCTACGTTTCCGACTTTTCACTGTCCGTTTGTTTTTTTTTTTTTTTGGATAAAATTACAGCTCTCGGGAACACAGGTACACCTACTGTTTATCAACGCATACGCGAATACGGAAAACTTTTCCCGTTCGGAATTTATTAAAACACGCTTATATTTCGCACGCATTTCTCCCCTCCCAACCCCCGCCCCCCCAGCCCTGCCCATCTTTCCCGCGGCGGCCCGCGAAAAACCGTTCCGGCGGCGCTGCCGACGTCCCGCGGTAAAACTCGGTCTTCTCGGACGGGCCGTCAGTCGCGCCGCGCCGCCGTTTATCTCGTCCGTTCCGCCGCGCGCCGCCCGACATCGTCGTCGTGTCGTACACGCGCGCACAATACGCATTATATACGCGATATATAATGACGGGCCACCGAGTAATTTCGCCGCCGCCGCCGCCCGCCGCCCGCCGCCGAGCAATTTCGCCACCACCGCCGTCCGCCGCCGTCCGTCGCCGCCCGCCGTCCGCCGCCGCAACCCGAGGGAAATCAATAGCGAGCGGCGCTTTGCACGGGCGGCGGCGGCGGCGGCGGCAGCGGCGACGGTTGCCCAGCGCCCAATAAGCGCACACACGCCCCGGGCCGCAGAACACGCGACACGCACGCGAATACCTATTCCCCTAAACCCCCGACCCCACCCCGCCCTCACCGCCTGCCGGTCGGATATGCTCGACGTGTACCTTATATCATTATACGGTAGTGTTGTTATCAGCTTTGTACTGGGGCATCATCAAGGGCGAGATTGTTTGTTTAGCCGAGGAAAACCCGCGGCGGGGCGCGATAGTATTTTCCCCCGGTCGCGCCGTAGGGTCCGGATTTCGACGCGAAGCGCGTTTTTTTTTTTATTTTCCCGGGGCGAGGGGTCGTCTATTGTAACAGGACAATACGCATATCGGCGAGTACACCCCGATATATTTATTTTTCGCTGTTTTGGCGTTTTTCATTTTTTTTAAATCGTTTTTTCGAACTTCTAAAACCGAGCCCTATACACATTGCGAATTATAGACCCGTGGATTTCACGAGTCTGGCGAATACCGCGGAGTTTTGTTTTTTTCGACCGACGTGACAAATTTCTCCGGCGGGTGTGAATATAGTGTGTTATGCTATCGTCGCAGTGTACCTGTGGCGCCAACATTACCTGGCTGATAAAAACCACGTGTTGATGCGATTATAACTGAAATTCGTGTACCGGTTTTAGGGGGACACGAACCCCTGTTTTTCCATACATTTCGGACCGAACTATATCATAGCGAGTAAATCGGTAAATATTGTTTTTTCCCCGGAATATTTTAATTTTCACTTTTAATTTCCTCTCTACTGCTATTGGAAGGTATGTACATGAAAAAAAAAAATTGTAATCCATTTAAATCAATTCATTCGACGTCCCCGAATCGCCAACGATTTTTTTTTTTTTTCGATAATCCAATTTTGAATAATAAATTAATTTTTACATTTAAACGTGTTGTTAATTAAAAATACGGGCGCTGTGCTGCAGGGTTTGCGAAATCGTTGCGAAATTGAATTATAACGGTTAATTAAAAGATAAAATTGGAAAACGATTTACAAAGTGAATTCCATTCGGTCCGTGAACGCGATTGTAGCTGTGTAATTGGTGTGCAAATAGTTTGCTTGTATTTATTTATTTATTTTTTTTTTTTCGTATACCTACGCCGTTTCTATTTATTCAATAAACGGTTTCTATATAATAATAATAATAATTTATGCGTGCGTATGGCATATAATACTATTGTAGAGGACACGGGGATCCGTGTTTTGCGACGAACGTCATCAAGAAAAATGTACAATAATAATAATAATAATAACGATAATATTATAATCTAACCGGACTCGACGGTCACCGCAGCAGCGTCGTTTACACAACGATGCCAACGGATGCCAAGTTATATTATTATCATTATCGTTTTATATTATTATTATAAATTATTGTGATAACGTTTTAACAGATTGTGCGGTTTCTCTGCGGGATTACTGCGCGAGCAGTCGAGGATTAATACGGGGCTAACCTATAAATCCGCTCACGGTGCACGCGTCCAATGCGCATATATATTTATTTATTATAGTATTATATGTCATTATATTCTGATGAATAGCGTCTTCGGGATCGTGACAAGGTTCGCCGTCGTTGCGGACATTACGCATAGTGGGTATACCAAATATACGTACTATAGTTTTGTAAGGATTTACGATTTGATTTTTTTTTTTTTTTTTTTTACTTCTACCGACTCCCGAGTATTATTATTATTGTTATTGGACGTTTGCCCCTCGTCCGTGTATCCGGTTGAACGGAGACATTCGATCCGTCTCTACTATATGCGAGTTCGAAATTATAATATTTTACTATCGGATTACGCGCCCGTAGCTGCGAGTAACGGCAATAATATCGTTTATTATAATATTGCTGTCGGGCGTACGGTAAAAAGCTGAAGTACAGCCGATTTCGCGAATTCGGGACGTCGCGATACTACGTCGCTGCTACTGTCCGTGATTTTGTTAGAAAACGATTTCTGCGACTACGATAAAAACACTTTTCCAGAAACCAAAATGTATAACAATATTGCAACGTCCGGCAGTCGGAAAAAGAAGGGAAAAATAATTTTGTATGATGTTCCCACGTCGGAGTTTTCGTTGTACAGCACGCACACGGATAAATAATTCCACGGTTGAATAACAAGGTACGATTGCGACTTTGGGTCTGGCGCGCAGGCGTCTTTTGACCATCATTGACAGAATTTTATCAGTTTTATACGTTACCTGTATATATCCAGCACAGATATCCGGCCACTGTCAGCTGAGAGCTCTGCAGTTTTCTTTCGACATTTCAATAATCACACGGGTGTCTGGTACATAGAAATACGCAGTTTTCGATCGCTCTGCGATTATATTGTTATCTAGTTATTTAGCCGCGTGTAAAACAATTATAGATAACTGACCTGACGAGTAAATCAGACATCTGAAGTTTATTAAGCTGTCATACCAAAAGGTCTAATCGTATCGTGAAATATGTTTTATTTATATGCCACGAACTAGTAATGTGTTAATATAGAAAATGTTTTAATTTTATCATAAATCGTTTCTACAATATACACGGTCAATGGTCTCAGAAAATTAATACCGGCGGGATCTCTTCTGTGTGAATTTTGCAGTCGTTTAAAGATGCGGTTATAGTTCACGTGTTTACCATTATTGTTCAAAGAACATCGCAAACCAAACGTTATTGAAATGTCTAAAAATATTTAAATATACGGTTTCTTTTAACTTTAATGATTTTTACATTCTATTTTGTAAATAAATAACGATGTAATCCATTTATTTTAAACAATTACAAATTATCAACCTAAACTTGATATGCACACAATGTGATACCCATCACACTATTCAAATAGCTGTAATAGCGGATTAAATAGGCATTAATATTGTCTCTTGATAGACAGGCTGCGGTTGATAGTCCTGCGTCCCGACCATATATTCTAAGACGGTGATTAAATTATCATTCATCATGTCGTATTATTATTTTATGATTCACGGTGTAAACAAATATTTCGTGGTGTAATCAATAAAATTGCATTTACCTTTTAATGATACTCTTCTATCTAGTGTTGTCGGTGAATATATCACAATTCGGGGGTGGTATTGAGTTATAAGTAATAACAGATATATAGTGGTGACAAAACCCCTAAGGTGGATTGTCTACAAATCGTCTCCTCTCCGATATCCACCACTTATATTTATACGCGTTTACCTTATTATCATCTCGTTAACCGTCCGGTTGATAAATTCACATCATACACAATATCGTGTGGTCGTGACTCAGCGAAGTTGCAGGCGAGCAGACGAAACGGGAGAATAAGGCATATCCCGTACATTGATACAGTTTAAGATATTTGTGCAATATTATTATTGCAATTTCGTACGGCTACCACGGTCGTTATAATAACGATGTCCGCGGACGCTCGTGATCGATTCGGACGGCGATAATAACGTCTCTATATTTATAGGTATTCGTATTATATTCCGCCACCTAACCCAATATTCCCTAGGTTCCTTTGGAAATGTCGCCCTCTAGTTAATTTTATCGGTAAGGTACTTTTTATTTCTAAAATCAACGGTAATTTCGTCCACGTTTTTGAACAAAATATTCGACGATTACATAGTAAAAACGTATTTATTTTCTTTTTTAGTTTTTTTTTTTTTTAGCTCATTTGCAGAACCTTTGCAACTTCCGCACAATTTCACGCCATATTTCCCTGTTCTCAATTTTTTTCTATCCTCATTCCTTGCGCACATTTATCAAAGTCATACCTTTGTCGGATGCGACCTGTATATAGCTGGTCTTCTACCATTGATTTACCCGTCACTGCTCGTTGTTTGCATATCTGATCATCTCTCGTCTCTCACCTTCAAGCCTGTCCGTTCCACTATTTTACTCCCGATAAATGCTTTAATATTTGGTTTTTGATATGACTGACATACTCTTCCTCGTTTGTTCTAGACTCAGTATTCTCCATTATCTACAACGGGACCATAAAACACGTCAGATTATTTTCCTTTCAAATATCCTCATCAAGTTCTCTCCGTCGCCTTTTGTTACCGACCATGTTTCGTTACCTAACCTAATACGATAGGACTGGTCCTCGTTAAGGTAGCTCGGGTTTAAGCTTTAGTACAAATGTATATATTTGAATTTATTTTGAATGTAAATTAGAAAATTCAAGATCAGAATAATTCGAGGCCATAGTGGGTATTATTTTTGTTAGACATTTCCGTTAAAATCGTCTGTATGAAAAACGAAAATTAAAAAAAGGAGTTTATAATAATATATTGTATTAGTACATTGCAACAACGGCAAGCCGATATTATTATAAGGATTATTTTGTACGACGTTGTCCCGCGTAAACTCCGTGTCTAACTATCTTCCAGATTTATTGCGACGGCCCGACGCCGAAACCCAATTAAAAGCCAAACAATGGCCGCCACCAGAAACGCGTGGTATATACCTGCAGCACGGTTTCCATTTATTATTCCCTCGCCACGTCCATCTATATAATGGAAAACCCTACGTCCCGCCATCATACCCCAAATAACCGCAGACTCCTTCTCCTCTTTCCTTTACTCCCTCCTCCCCCAACACCGCGATAAAGATAAGCTCATCGTTTTTGTTTCGGGTATATATAAACGCAGTTTTTATCGGTTCGCCGCCGTCCTGCGCCGCCTTCCCTTTTTATTTTTGATGAATTATCCCGCCGCCGCTGTGTTAAAGAAGACGGACAGGATATTTCCAAAGCCAAGGGATTACCGGAGAGATTCATAAATAAACGACCAATTTTTTCATTTTTATATTTATTTTTTAATTTAACCGAGTAATTCCGCTACACAGTCGTAAGGGAATTCCCTGCACTGAGCCGCAGCGCACGTATTAACCACCGCGCGCGTACACTGTGCTCGACTCAATTAAAAACAATCAATTATGTCTACTGAAATAGGTTATACCCCGAAAAAAAAAAAGCAAAACAAAATAAAAACGGTCCCGTGAGTTATACGACACACGAGGGCATTGTTAGTCCGCGGAGTGGGGGAGGTGGAGGGGAGGGATGAAAAAATGTACAGAAGAGTTATTTTATATTTGTTCATAATTTATCAGTCGCTTTCGCTCAATGAAAATTAATGTAAACGAGACACTTAATTATATTCATGCGGCCCATTGTACACCAGGAGGGGAGGAGGGTGCATAGCTATTACCTATAAATTATAGTTTATTATTATAAATAATTTGTACCACGATTGGTGGGATGGGTACAGTTCTTCTAAAATACAGATACGAGGGGAATTAACCTCAACATATGGATAATGCCAACTTGACATAATTATTAATTTTTTCCACGTAATTTCTTTGTAGGTCACAGAGACAAAAAAGACCAACACGTCTGACATTTATGCTAGTACTAATTCAAATTTATCTAAGGTGTTTTTATATTTCGCAGTTATCAATAATGTTTCTTGCCATTTAATTTAGAATTTAGGAGAATCCCGCCTTTGGGGGTAACGTAGGAGGAACCCACTTACGTCCGGAAGTTTTTATTGTGGACTTTCTCCTATCGTTACAGATTCTCGGTAAGTAGGTATATACCTTTACATATTTATTTTTTTATTCCCCGTAGGAGTTTATGTTTTACCCGCATAATATTATACAATATTGATCTTGAATGTGTTGATCGTGCAATACGTATTTACTTTGGAGAGAGAGAGAGAGAAAGAGAGAGAGAAAAAACACATTATTCCTTTGTGCCGAAAATAAATAAAAACTCAATATTGAAATAATATTTATTTTTTTTTTTTTAAATAATATATTTATAGAAGGGCGAACGTTTTCACGTAAATTTAAATAAACGTCAGCAGAGTTGTATAGTCTGAAACGGACGTTTTCAGAACACCGCTGCGTGACAAACACTGCAAAAAGTTCTCGTTAGGTAGTGTACGATAAAAAGTTAAAAGTGGCTTTTAAATTATTATGCATATTTATAAAGCAAAAACTCGCGAGGCAAAAAATTTATTAAATTTTCTCGATGTAGACTTATTATTCCGTTGAAAACTTATTTCTATAAAGTCCGCGCGTGACAATTAATGCATATTTCGATTGTGTTATATTTTTTGTAAGTTTTTTCCTTCCGGTAGAGTGCAAAGATTTTTAATTAATCGTTCGCAAACTACAAGAAAATGGCACATTTTAATAACTATAAACCGAATTCGCGGTGAAAAAATTATACTCCCGGAACATATTACGCATCTTGGGGAAACATATTTTGGATACCTCCCTAAGAAAAGTTATTTTTCAAAACGTATTCAATGGGTATAGCTCTATCGATAACAAATACGGTTTAGTACCCATGATCGTTTCTCAATTTTTACTTTTTAAGTATGGCATGGCGTTTAAGGACATTGAATCTTAAAATAATTGAAAAAATAGTTGTCATTTTAAGTTTAAAAGTTTCGCTTTAAAAACTTTACTCTAATCATCCTTAATTTATAAATGGCAAAACATATTGGATTTTTCCGGATATCACTATATAATATCGATTATCATTATCCAATAATTAATAATATATATATAAATGTACTGCTCCACTTAAATAGATGAAAATGGGCATACAAGGTACACTCGGGGCCCTCTCTCTCCACCGAATACGGGCCTGACTACATTGTCACCGAGCTAGAAATTTGATATACTCGTCCAAATTTGCCGAACAGTAAATTATCGTTTCAATAATTTTAATTATAAATATTAAATATAAGTGTTTGTAAAACGTTTTAACAGCAGCTAATTAGTGTCTCGTTTCACTGTTTATGGTTATTTTCTTTTTTCGAGAGAGATAATTTTAAAATGAAACCTTTATAGTGCATATAGTAAAAAACCAAAGTTATCCGAATATAAATAAGTTTTTTTTTTTAAATTTTAATGAGTTATAAAAAAAATATAGATATAAGAGGATGTAATAAATAAAAAAAAAATACTATATTATATTTTTTAACACTGCAGCAATATTATAAAACAGCGACTTAATAATAATAACATGATGTCGTGTTTGTTGTAACGAGATTGAGTGTCACAAGAGGTTTTTTTTTTTGAAAACGAGCGTATATATTAGAGTGCAGAAGCTTTAGTACTCAACTATTTAGTGTTTTCAATACAAATCCATAGGTTTTCTTATTTCCCCCCCTCTCCCACCAGCAATTCGTAGTTCGAAACCCGATAACGAATTTAAAAAATACCTACAAATTTAATGTTAATATCATTTTACCGTTTTATTTATTTTTGTTTTTTATTTTTTTTTTTTTTGTAAGTGAACAATGTGAATATTTTTTTTTAAAACCTTCAAAGTTATTGATCGAAAAAAACCTTAAGACTCCGGGCGCGGTGATAACAATGCAATAATTATATTATTTAATTAATGAAAACACGTTTCGCCACGCGGATTAATGAATCTCAACGACGTCGAAGAAACTTTAGTTAACGAGTTTTCCCTTGACCGTTGTTTTTGAATTCTATAATATTTTAAAACAAATATACAACATTAAAGGGAAACACCCTTAAAGCTTTTTAGACATATGTCATTTTATCGAAAACACGATTGAATATCGATCAAAATACCTAGTTTTGATAACCCAGAAAAACCTTTATTTTGTATAAAAGTAACACAGATAAATATGAAACAACTAAATAGCCACGGTTGTACATGAAAGAGTGAACTGCGTTGATTTAACTCACGAAATATATTTGTTTATGCCATGAATTACGATATTAAATATAAAATACAGTTTGTAATATTTATCATACAATTCATGGTACATAGACAAATATTTCATGGGTCAATGAATGTATAACATTGTTATCGCGTGTTTGTTATAACGATTAAAATAGTTTATTATTTGCTAACTATTTTCCGGAACAATAATCCATTGTTGTTTATCGCGGTTAAATTTTCTATAAAATCCTCTTTGTAATTAATAAAGATTTGAATTCGCTCGTTCGCCACAGTCTCGCCGAATTTACACTGGATCAAAATGATTAACAACGTTTTACTCTCACTCGCCTCCTTTACGGACAAAAACCAATGAATATTAATATCTATATCTACGTACGTGCATACATAAAAAAAAAAAAAAATTGATAACCAAACCTCGGAGCCGGTATACCGCCTTGGGTCGTTAAAATAATTTTAACGCAAAGGGAGGGGGTTCTTATTACAGCCTTTCGCGTTTCGTGTTCTCCGAATTTTCGGCTAATTTAAACGTTTTGATAAATAAATTAGTGTTTAATATTTCTATCAGAGTATTACATAAGATAATTTATCCATGTTAATATTGTTCATATCTAATACGGCTCTGAAAACGCTAAACGTTAAATAAGCTCTACGGTGATGCGAATCCCCATTAAAAGCTAATACAAATACTCATAAATCTCTGGGTGAGGGGAAGTGGAGGTTATCAGAGACAAATTAATATTTAAATCGTTAATTAATTAAATTGCAATCAATGTAATTGTAATTGAACCACAGGTAAGACTTATACAAGGCGATTCGATTAGCTACGAAGATTTTGAGTAAATTAGATTCGGTTTCTATTATATAGAAATTAAGATATCAAAATATCGTTTAATAATATTTTAGTATTTTGAAAACGTTAATTAAAATCTCGTGATTTAAGTATTATTCAAATTTGTTTAAAATACAATTTTTCTCTAAAGGCAAACTAAATTGTCTATTCTCTCGTAGTCAATGTATAAAAATCGTCTGATAGCACAATAATAATTTTTAAAAATATGGGTGTAACGATAAATACGGAAATTAGATAAAATTACGGGGGAAAAGTTCTTGGGAGAATTTCTATTATAAATATTAAGTACACCAATGGGTCTATGGAAATAATACGAATTGAATACTTTTACCTAGTCTACGAATTGAAAAAATGAAAAAAGATAAACTTGAGACCTAAAATAAAACTGGCGTCTTTTATAATTATTGAACGTAACTTAATCTTTGGACGGGGCTTCATTTCCCCTGACCCCTCCTTACATAACTTTTCAAACATAATTCTATGAATAGTTATTTACAAAAACAAAACCACAACCAATAATAATAATAATAACATAATATGTATATAAATTTAACTTATGTTTATTTTTTTTTTTAAAAATATCGCGGTTTTTAGGGTGTTTGGTTGAATTACATACTTCGTCATCGCATAGAATTATAGTGCAACACTGAAAATATAATACTGATACAAATTTAAAACTAAACGACAATGTTACTGAATGATATTAAATTGTAAAAAAAAAAAAAAAAAAAGTATTTGTTCACGGTATCCGAGTGAAAATCATTGTTTGCAAAAACAGTCGTAGCAATCAGTGCGGTCCCTCAGTAATATCAGAAAATATTGCGGAGTGACGAGCCCTGTCGCTCCGCGTCCCCCCCCCCTCCGGCCCAATTCGAGTGACGGTAACGGCTAACCGACGGGTACGGTGTCGGGGAAAAAAAAAAAACAAAAACAAAAACAAAACGTTCGAAACTTCGAAAAACCGCGCGCGCCGGCGGCGAGGAGACCGCGGGAAAACCGCCGAGGGTTCAACGGGCGTGCCGACGCCCGCGGCGGGTCTATTCGCCGGCCCAGGTTCTCGTCCGAAAACGGGGTCGGGTCGTCGGCACGGACGGACGCGATTCCGTATTATAATTGCGCGGTAGATGATATTTATCACCGTGGTCACGGTGGGAATACAATATAAACACACTCCGCTACTGTCCGGTCGATTAACTCGCGGGCGATCGCGCGCGCGCGCGCGCAGGTCGCCGAGAAACGGGACGGTTTTTCGTTTTCGCTCGCCCGGAGTTTGATCGCAACGTCCGCCCCGGTCTCGTTGAAACGATATGCCGTTCCCGGTCCGACGCCGCGGGACGCGGTACGGCGCGCGGGCCGTATCCGTTTCTCGAGTCGCGAAAACCCTGGCGCGATCGGCCCGGTGTCCGCGGACCCCGCCGTCTATGTCGTCATAACGATATTATAGTTGTCGTCGTCGTCGTCGTCGTCGTTGTTGTTGTTATTTTTTTACGAAACGACAAACAACGAACGCCCGCGACTCGGAAAACGACGCGCGAGTTCCCGGGAATCCGCGCGTCGGCGTTGCGGACGACGGTACGCTGCGAACTGCCGTTGTCAAACGTACCCCGTCTCGCCGTCGGCGGCCGTTACGAACGGGCCGCGCGTTCGGTGTGCAAAGCGGATTTTTTCGGACGGCCCGGGACGAAGAGTTATACGAAAAGGCGTACACCGTCATAAATGCCACGCAACACGATACATCGAACGCTTCGACCTTCCGCCTCGCATCGTTCGCCATAATATTCGTTCCACATTCGAGGGCGTCATTGGGAAATTTCGTTAATACGTCTTTTCGCGTGGAGATTTTCAACGTAAAACCAGCTGGTTTCGTTACCGTTACGCGCGACAGATATTCGCCGGCCGTACCTGCCGGTATTGCCAATTCGTTTTGTTTATCGATTTGCGTTCATATCGATTCGTCGATCACCGGAACAGACATACAGTAGGACGTGGGTACGTTAAAAGTGGAATTTTCGTTTTGCAATTTTCGCCACTTTTCTCCGTTGTTCGTTGTTTTGTTTTTTTTTTGTAAAGCAGATCTCTTATCGTACATTATTACATATTAAATCCAATTCAAATAAATAAAATAATAACGCTACACTTATACATTCGAATAACAAAACGGTTTCCGTTTTTAAATCGTTCTAAAAAAAAACGCGTTTACTAATATTTCGTGGCGTTCCTTTTTTTTTTTTTTTTTTTTTTTTTCAATCGTGACATTCGAATAGGCATATGCGACGGCTGTATTATGGTTAAAAACCTAATGTCGTCGTATTATTATCATTATTATCGTCATCATCATCATCAAATGACAATAAAATGTGTATATATTATACGTTTTTATAGTGGATATTATTCAGCACTAAGTTTATTAATTTCGAAACGTGTGCAGCGGTAGTGCATTAAACATTTTCTAATATACATATATTTTAATAACGTTAATAACAATATATTCCGTTCCGGTCGCTTTATGTTTTAATCTATAATATTTTATTACCCAACGCTATTATACCGCCGCGGTGTATTATTATAATACTTTTATCGCGGCAGTTGATTATATTCATATATTTATAGATTCACGTTTTTTTTTTTTTTGTCAAGATATTTAAATTTTAAGGTAGGTACAACGTTGTACCCTACGCAAATTATACACTATGCATTTTAATACACCCGATAATGACATAGTTCGTGCTGTAGATTCGCAGCTACGCTTTTTTAAACATATTTTCTCGATGGATACCTGTGAAACATAATTATAATATTATATTTTTCGAGTTTTTATGGATACTGACCCGCCATTGCTGGCGTGTGAGAGTTTCCCTCGCATAATTTATGAGCCGAGAACCACTTGCTTGCTCGTCGTTATATTTTCCCCGGATTCATGGTGCCCACCTCGTAACGAACTATTTGAAAATAAATGTACCGGTAAACGGGAACTCAATCGAAAAAAATATAGTATAGATAATACCTTCACAACATTATACCATATATAATGGGCGGGTCACGGCGTGTTAAAATACAATCTGAACGACATAACACCATCGAATGAAGTCAAAATATTAAGAGAATCCAATTCGGATCGGTTGAACGCGTCCAATACACTAGTTGTCTCCGTCTCGCTAACGTATCACAGGACGCAGACAATAGCCAAAAATAATCACACCTAATGTCGTGCTATTAGTTTGAATGTTAATGGAAAGAGTTGACTCGGTATTATTTTATTTCAATTTCAATTTTATTATTTGAGCATGTACGTCAATTTTTTTTTTTTTTTACTGATATTTTAGTTTTTAAATTGTGATATTTCACACACTCGATATATCTCGATTGAAAGTTTAAGTATCGACAAAAATCCAACGTTTAAATACAGATCTAGGTAATGTTCTGCCCTTCGACATTAAAGCTATTTGAAAAAAAAAATGCTAAAACTAACATAGTCGTAATTTTAAAATTAAGACACTTAGACAAAAGCTACCAACAGCACTCGGAAATATTATCTCCATTTTAAATTATGTTATTTGTGTATTGTGTTTGAACTCAAATTTCGACCCGAATGCCACAACTTTCGTTCTGAGTATAAGAGAAAATTGTTACAGACAGATAAACGGATTTGGCCTTTTATATGATATACGATTATTGCAATGAAAATAATATTTATTTTCGAGTTCTGTAAACGGCCGGGCCTCGAGGCTATTTCTGCATTTCGCAGGGTTACACACAACACGGCTAACACAATACGGCCGACTATACTATTACATACTCGAATAATGTATTAAATATAATTAACAGCGCGAATAGTTTCTAAAACTTTGTTGCACGACGAAATCGCAGACAATGAATCACAAAACAAATTGCACTCCATTTTCGGTTACAGCGGGCCGACGTGTCGTCGTAAATCTAACTAAAAAGGCTGTATTATTATACTTATAATACCATCACCCACTGCCGCACATTTGTTGGTCTCTTTTGAAAAGGTATTTCCAAGAGATAGACCGCCGCCGCCACCGCGGTACGAACCTCCGGTATTTACCCGCTCGTTTTAAATTAGAACAATTTGAAAATTTCCACATCGTCGTCGCGGTAGTCGTTGAGTACGACGAGCAGTATACTATGTCAATTAATTTGGACGTTTAAAATGATGTTTACACTAAAATGCCTAAACTTATATTTTCGTTATACGCATTCGCTTGAAACGTTCGCAACTGTTATTTTACAAGATATTTTAATCGCAGTCGTGCATGGCGTACAATATATTATAGACTTTTCTCGAAGAAATTGGGAATTATGTAAATACCATATGTTGTATTAATTATCATTCTGATTTGTGTAAGAAGTAAAATGTTTGGAATTGTACAGATTAATGAGACCAATGAGTGGAATATAAAAAGAAATTACCGAACTAGAAACTGCGGTGTACACATTATAGAAGCCATCTGAAATAAGATATTATAATATATAATAGACTGACTCGGAGAATCCGAAACCAATTTCTACTATTCGCAAAATTCAGGAAAGGAACCAGACAAGGAATATACCACTTTTAATAGAGGAAACGAGTTAGGAAGACGCGGCCAAGAAAGAAATGGACGAACAAAGGGACGGAGGCAAAAAGCACGAGCTTCAGACAAGGATTGCTGATAGAGATTTTGACATATGACGGAATATGATTCTATGGAAGTCACTCTTATACCCCAGCGAAGAACCAGATTATCATTAACTTTTTGGTCAACTGATGAGAAAGGAAAAAAAAACGCGTACATTATTTATTGTTATAATCGATTTGTTTACCAAAATGTTGCGTCGTTCGTTTAAAAAAAGACACCTTTCTAGAAAAAAAAAATCCTGTATAATACCTAAACTAATCTAATGATTTAAAATAACATGTTATTATATGTTATACGAATATTGCTTGTTGCTCTATATTTATTATCTTTGGCGAAGCAGAAACTTACACGATTATCCGCTAATACACGTACTTATAGCCGTTACGACGATACAATAATATTATACGCGTAAATAATTCCTTCTCCTGTATAATATACGTCGTCTAGCTACGTTCAACACTTTTCGTCCGCAGGAATATAACGTTTTATCGAATTTTTAATATTATTTAATATACGCCATGATGTCTCGGCGTTATAATGATTTCTTTTTTTTTTGTATTTTTAATAATATTATACAGGCATGGAATTTTCTCAAGAACGATATTACGATACATATAGATTTAAACTGGTGTTATTCTTTTGGCATTTTAAGAATAATTTTCGATTTTCTTTACCGAATTTGCGTGTTCTCCACTTATTTTTGAGTACAAAGATTAAACACCAGTCGAAATATAGCCGCAGTCTAAAAGTATCATTGTTTTCACTTCGATCCGGATAGTTGAACTGTAAATCCGCCAATTGCGCTCAAAAACTGTGACTGATAACTAATAAGAAACTACGTGATTTTCATACGTTTTCACTATCGAATATACGAGCATTACGAACATATCGTTGTTTATTCCGCGATTGCAGTTATTAAAACGGTCGTCGTCGATAAACGAGAGTTTTTTTTTACCGCTGGATATTATTTGATATATTGTGTATGATTCAAAATGTATAGAAAGGACATGGAATTTATAGGCTATAATGTAGAAAATCACTGTTTAAACGTAATCACGACTTTTAAATCGCATAACATGATACCGCAATGTAATATTATAATAAGGACACCACAGTGAAAGTATTATAATATAGACCAGCTGTTCTTAACCTTTGTGTGCATGAAATCCAAGCTATTCACTCTTTTTTGAATGTGATATAATTTTTTTTTAAATAAAGTTAAAATTAAACGGCGGAGGCTACGTTTACATATACCAATTATGATGGTTAAATTAAATTTAACTTTAAATTTCTTTTAATGTTATATATGCATTATAATTCGTATTGTCACGTTAACGGATAAAATTCGTGCCTTGAAGGCAGTGGCACCAAACTTAAATAAATTTGGGGAGGCAAAATTAGTTTGTTTACTCACCACCCACGAAATATCTAAGGGAGAGGGGCAAATTCCCCCCCTGCGATAATTTATTTAAGTTTTTTTCATAAAGGTATGCCCCGTGAATTTGAATAGTCGCCCTTTTTTTATGACCAACCGACCACCACTCACTGAAAAAATAGGGGGGGGGGGCTACTGCCTTCTTAGATTATAGGTTCGGTTCCACTGCTTGAAGGGTTAATGTTATACCTTGTTTGTAGACCTCTCATCGTTGTCTTATTTTAAAATGTCGGGACGGTTCAGTCCGAAATTATTGGGTGACTCAAAGGTCGAGAATCTTTGAAACAAACATTAAAATTATACGGGAATACTGAAATAATTATATTATCATCGATATCGATTACATTTTGAATATTATCGCGTGTGCATAATATACGATTCAAAAGTTTCGTATATACTCGTAGTCTCGAAAGTTTGGCCATAACGCAAGATCGTCTCGGAAACTATATAATAACTTGTATGTCTGGTTGCAGCAGTCTACGAGTAAAATAATACGATAATAATAATAGATTCAATCAAGGCGTTTTAATCGAGTTTGCCGATATTATATTATTCAAATTTACGTGGGTTTGTCGTTAATAACATTACTATCTACCACTACAACTACTACTATTACTACTACTACTACTACTGCTATTCACTATATTACAATAATAATTTACATCGCCGATGGCTGTCGACGACGGCGACGATCGTTACGCATTTTATTTGCATATATATCGCGCCGCGAGACGCGTAATTATTTTATTTGTTAGGAAAACATATACGAATCGCTCTCTTAACGAACATCGTCGGCGGAAAAAAAAGTTCTCCGCCTACCGCCCGCGAAAGAGACGTGAAAACACGGTAAGTTCAGGATGGGTTTCAGTTTAATTATCATTCGAGGCCGCCGTATAGAAATTGAAGAATCCGATGTTTTCGGACTCCAGAAGTCCGGTTAACGTATGTATAAAAAAATATTTCAGATTTTTGCGCTATCCGTGAATTATTTCGTTTATCCTGGTTTGATGAATTACAGTCGGGAATTTCGGGAAAATATTCGAAAATCCCGCGCGCGCGTGACAATGTTTTAGACGACTTTTGTCGACCGAAAAAGTGCGGGCCGCATATTTAGATGACTGTCGCTGCCGAACGCTTAATATTTTTTTATAGGTAATCTGTCGATATTTCTTTCAAAGCTTTCTCAATCATATCGGAATTAACCGATAAAAACGGGAAAAATTACTATAGTTATTAGTCTTATTTGGTTTTACGCTGATAAAAGCATTGCTCTGTAACGATTGTTGAGCGCGAGGTGCCATCGTAAGTCGATATTCAGCACAGTTTATTTTAAACGCGTTTCAACCGTTCAAATCGATGAATAAAACCCGTATAAAAACAACAGCGTTCCCAAAAATGTCTAACCGAACTCATTACCGCCGCGGCCGAATCGGTTTCTCCGTTCTCTCGTAAACGCGGCCGAATCGGTTTCTCCGTTCTCTCGTACTTTGTTTTCTTTTTTTTTCTTTTTTCTTTTTTTTTTTTTTTCTCTCAGAAAACTGGACGCGGAAATTATCCACACCGAAGCGTTAGCAAGTTAGGACGCGTGTGGTTTTTCCGCGCTCGCGCGATACGCACGTCGTCGTCGCGTCGACGGCATAACGTTGTCATAATGCGAATATATTATTGTATAAATAATGGAAGCTTTTACACCGGGACGACGGGACGCGGCGACGGAGAAATGAGCCGCCGTCGCCGTATTTTCCGCGCTCGTGCCGAGAGCATTATCTCTCGCACGCACACACTCGGTGTAAAGTACTGCCGCCACGGTTAAGTACGCATTCTCGAGCACGCGGTGTACGCCGCGGAGACGGCGGGAGAAAATACGGGAGACTTGTCACCCTCCGGCCTCGCGGGCCGTGCGCGGCAGCCGCCGTCGAACGGATGACGATTTCCGACGGTGTGCCTACGTAGCACGTATATAGTCGATTGCGGGGGAACGAACAGGGAAAAGAGAGAGAGAAAAAAAAATAGAAAATAAAACGAGAGAAACGAGAGCGAGAAAGAGCGAGGGAAAAAATTTCGTATTCGATTGTCGGCCTCACATTCGCCGCTCGCGCCGCGTCGAAACGTCGAACGACAAGCGCACATTATCGCACTCGAGAACTATACGATGGATGATTGCCAAAACCTTTCGTCGTCGCATTGTTCGATTCGCACGCATATTATATCGCCGACGCCGCCGCCGTTTATCCCCTCGTCCGTTCTTTTATTTTACACACGACTCGTGTGTGTGTATACATTTTTTTTTTTTTTCCATACACCCGCCGCGAAATCAATAATAAAATACGTAAAATATATACACGAGTGTGTGCGGCAGACGGGACGAGAGAACTTCAAAAAAAAAATAAAAAAAAACACCTGTCATCGTGTCATCGGTTTTTATTTGTTTTATGTAGAATTTTCCAACGTTGCGCGGGACACTTAATAAAATTTTCTTCTGGTGTTCAGCTAATATCGGGAAACGATAACCGTACACCCGGAGTGATGTAGGTACCCGCCGCCCGTTAAAGGGCCGTTTTTAATTTGGACCGCCGCGTTGTTTCGTCTCGGTTTTTAGAACGTCTTTTTTTTTTTTTTTTTTTTTTTTAGTTTTTATTCACGATATAAAACAAAATATGTAGGGACGCTGTAATCGGAACAGTAACCGGGCGTAGACGGACGATGAAAAATAGCCCATTGGATGTTGCAGATTATTACATTTGTATTGTTCACGTTTAGCCCCGTTACCGAGTTTCTCGAAGCCGCCACCGGACGTCAGATCGTTTGCATTCTATCGCGAATCATTTATGATATTACACCGGTCTACGGAAAATCGCCGTATTTTCGCTGCATATTAGACATTAAATTAATTTCATCCTGTTTATTATTATATTGCAGACATTCAATTCGGTAACCTAAAGCGTCATTCTTTTGTTGCTATGTAAACCCCCGTAAAGAGGATTATATGAGTAATCGTTTATTTGCATCTAATGTTCTGAGAAAATATATATTTTCGTTGACAGCGATCGCGGTCGGTATTTAAGACAAATTGTCCGATAGTGAAATTATGAATATTAAACTATATCGAACAGGTGTATTGAATTACAGTGATAATGGCGGGTTTCACGCGAAACGTCACAAAACCGTCGCGAATCGATGTAAACTTAATCTTTAACGTCCGGGGTGCTGACGAACGAATTTTCTATAGCGGTCCGGAAGACCGTTTCACGACAATATTGAAACGCAACGTAAAATCAAAAAAAAAAAAAAAAATAATAATAATAATAAATTTAAAAAAAAAAAAAATAATAAACGAACGCGACGAGCACATTTTTCCGGTCGTTTATGCGTTACGCGTTCGGATTTTCGTAAAACGCCGCGCCTACATGACCGGGTGCATTGTTATAACACAGCCACGTATACTATGATATTGCGTACGTACTTGTGGATGGGACCGATGCACACGTACGTTTCGTAATAATAATAATAAAAAAAAAAAAAACAACGTATTTCCTTATGCGTTATTCACAATGATAATATCGTAATGTTACACGCGACACGTGGATATACGCACGCACGACTAATATTATAATATTGTGATGCCTTCTTCTTTCCGAATTCGATTTCGATCCGCGCGCGCGGTGCGCCGCACAACGCGGGAAATTAGTGTTTCAGGCCGTATACACCTACGGAGGAAAAACGGATTGGATTTCGCTGTCCCCGGAGACGATTGTCGGGGGATATTTATAATCGCCCGTCGTGCAGGTACGTATACCCCCCCTCCCTGTATACCTAACGGTATTTTGTACAATATACCCGTGCTTGTGTTTAGACGGGTTTTCAAAAAGAAAAGAAAAAACCGCTTTTTCCCTCCCTTACGACGACGGGGGAGAGGGGCTTCGTAACAACATATACATAATATATATTATATTGTTATCGCTGTTGTCGGTCTCTTGAGAAATTTTCGTTTACCCGTGCAACGCCTCGTTTCCGTTTCATTAATTAAATCCCTATAATGTATAATAATCTTTTAGGCGAGCGTTTATTAAAATATTTATCTTCCGGCGTTGAAATATTATAATACATTACAACGTTTAATAACATCACGCGTTCGCATCACGGCCACGGGGGTCCGCAGACATTTTTCAATTTGGTTAGGGGGGGGGGCGAAAGGGACGGTCATAGGTAATTTTTTTTTCAAAAAAGTGTTTAAACCAACGTTTCGACAGTCCCGGTTTTACGTGCGTAAATCAACTACCGTTTGTCGATGAATTCTTCGCGGAGAGGGCGAATCGCCCGGTCTTCCCCCATTCCCGTCATTCGGGATTCCGTTTTTAATACAATTGTTACTTTTTGTATTAAGTATTTGTATTCGCGCGTGAATTATACTTAATAATATTATGAACATGAAATAGTTACCGGCAAAAATACGTATTATTAAAATAACAATTTCGCACGATCAGTTTCGAACTGCTTATTTTTTTGTATGACACATATACGATTGTATCGTCCCGCAGTGGGTAAATACGATAGTTCGGTATAATACGTTGAGGTATAATTGTTTATGCTTTTGGCATACCGATACGCGAGCACAAACGCCAGACAAAAAAACATCGATTTTAATTGAAATTAATGCACGTTTATTATTATTATTATTATTACTTTTTTTTTATCCGTTTCAACGTGTTTTTTTACAATAAATACATAAAATCCCGTTAACCCACGGTTATAAACCTTTGTTGTTTGAACTGTGCGCACGATAAACGTTTTTTTTTTTTTTTAATTTTCGAATCGATGGTTTTATTGTCGTCGTTGCAGCTTATATATGACGGAAACAGTAATACAAATAATAATTCTTCGCTAATAATAATAATAATAATAATACGGTATATTTGCTACGGAAATCGAAAATAGAACTGGCGAACGGGGGCCTAATCACGGAGAGAGGAGGGGAGGGAGTTGTAGGGGTAGATCCCCTCGTGGTAATTTTTTTTTTACAAATCATGTATTTTAATTCACTCTAAAAAGTATACAAGCGGAGCTCCTGTAGGTTTGTCTTTTTAAAATTTTAATTTTTCTTCTTATTTATAATATTTGTAATTACGTTTGTTTTTTGTGAAGTCTGAGCCTCAACCGAGGTCGTGGGTTGTGTAGGACGATCGCAGGAAGAGGCGTAAACTTACAGTAGAACTATGTGCATTAGAATTTTGAAATAACTTTTAATATTTTATTACTGATTTATTCATAAAAAGGGCGGTGTCAGTGTCGGCGTGGGTGAGTATATCATGTAAAATTTCCGAAGTTCACATAAAAACAAAAACAATTCTATATACCACGCATAAGCAGAGCGTCGAATTTGCAAATATATGACGACTAAAATTGGAAGCTATCTTATCGATGTGTTTTTTTTTTTTTTTTGGAAAAATGAAACTGCGAGCTAGGTATTTATTATTATTTATCTTATATAGTTAATGGTCAATTTCGAAATTGTGCGTACAACCAAACACTATACTGAAGTTAATCGCATAAAACAAACGGTTGTATTGTGTGCACGTATAAAAAAAATTCTAAAATGTAACGGGAGAGCGAAATACTCAAATTAAAAAAAAAAAACAAACAAAAACAAAAACATATATATATACACCGGGATGACGAACTTTTCGTATGTGTTGCACGAGTATTATATAACATGAAAACATACGTTGATTTTCGAATATTCGGATCAAATAAATTGAAAACTACAAAAACTCGTTTCGACTTTGCATTTTAATTAAATTCCGCTTTTCATAAGATGACGGAGCTTTCGAAAAACTTTTTTTTCGCGTCTCGCGCTACTGTGTATATACGTATGTAATATATATATATATATTTATATAGTTTCACCGTCAACGCGAAATACTCGAGATGGGATTTTTTTTTAAAAAAAAAAAAAAAAACGTATTTTAATTCGCTTAAAAATACATGCCGTATAGATTTTACACCGAACGGGCATTGCGCGTTATTTCAGTTTGACCCATATTCTCTCTGTTAAATTAATCTGCGGACCTCGTCCGCGCCGGGGCTTAACCCGGACGAACGTTTTTAAACAATATGGTCACCGTATACCAGAGGATTATGCATCGCGTTATCTGTATTGTAACGTATTACGTGTAACAGACAATGCACCGGAGATCCGTCTTTTATTCTCGGTTTTCGCTGCGGAAAAAAGATAACGCCGCCGCGGTCGAAATTCGATCATATTGCACGCGGAGAATCTCCTCGGTATCGGCGATCCGGACGGCCGCGCGAATCCCGTCGCCGGGACGCCGTCTGGCACGAATGCGCGGCGACGCGCTCGCCGCACAGCATCGAAACCCGTGCGTCGCGCCCGTGTCAACATTGCGATGTCGGGTTTAGATTTTCGAACCCGTCGCCACCGCAACGCGCAACAAACCCGGACGGACCGCGGCGACAGTTTAAAAATTCGCGATGCGGCATAATAGTGTCGACCGAGCGGACACAAGTTTCAGACAGAGAGACTGCCGTATTGTTATGCATAGTCCGCGTATATTATACAGGTATCGTCAACATCGCGTTTCGGGGACGAACGCGCCGTTCCCCGGAGCGCGAGAGTCCGCCCGGGAAAGTGACGTTTCCGGGTGTTTAACAAAATGAGAACAGGTACTCGCTGTCCGCGCGTATCTACACGTACGGGGGGGGCGGTGGGGGGCGGGGGTCAACGTCGCGCGGCCGAATTCGGACACGGGTTATTAAACTGCAGCGGTCGGCGCGCGGCCGATATTTCGGGGACGCGCGTAAACTTTTGCCGCCGTCCTTAAAACACGATTTCCCAGCGGGTACTCGGCCGCGGCGGAAATCCGAAACACCGCATTGTTGGTAATATCGCGAGCGCGCAAAATAAATGTACGGTCTTGATCGAGCAAATGGATTCTACTCGGCAGACGCCGTCCGTACGAGGGGCATCGCCGCGGTCCGCCGTGACGCCGTCGCCGCAAACAACAGGATTCCTCCGTTTACGCGCGCGCATAGTTTGAGTTTAACCCCGTTATCGTTTCGAAAACCTGGACTACGGCTGATTACGATATCGGATTTTCAAAAACGCATGCGTGCAACTTATTAAAGAATTGTCTATACATCGGCCGAGTGTTTTTCATCACGTGTGCGCGCGCGCAGAAGACGCGAACAAATTCGCGTGCAAACTTTTTTCCGATAACCCGACGTGTATTAAGGGGTTACTTATAGTTTTTTTTTTTTTTTTTTTTTTTTTTTTTTTTCATTTTGAAAATGTTTGTCACGTTATCGAGCCATCCTTTACGCAGCTCGTACAACGGGTGCGGGGGCGTGTGCAGGGAAGGGAAAAATAACGAGAAACTTTTCTCCCGAGACTTTGTTTTTAACTAAGTTTTAAAGTATAGAGGTTGTCGCCGAGTATAGTTCTGCATCTATATATACGATCGATTTCTAGAGAGTAGGTACACAATCAGAATAAAGCCAGTATAAGAAATATAACGCCGGTTCAATGGATTTTTTTTTTCTTTATGTGTTCGTAAAACGTTGTCTCAATACGGTCCCATTACTTTGGCGTTTTTTTTTTTTTTTTTTTTTTTTTGGCAACGGTATATCGAAATTGGCTACTTCCGTAATGTCGCCCTAGGAACCATCGCGTTAAATTATCACGTAATTTATCGTCGTTGAATCGAGAAAAATCTGCAGGATACGTACGTAAAATCCGATTTTCATATGAAGATTAATATTATGTTAAATACGAAAAAATCACGTCGTTAAATAAAAAAAAAAATCACATTTAAACAGCGTTGATACTATGGCTGCCAGCTGTTGTACGTACCGGCGAGTGAAAATGTACATAAAACGTTGATTTTATTTAAATCCTAAAATCATTAGGTCACGAGAGTAATTCATGATAGTAATATATCTCACTTTACTAAATCGCCCGCGCGTGTAACGAAATTATATATTGTCTTAATTAATATTATGTTCGGCTTGTGCTGCAGTATGGTACGAGTCTTATCAATATAATATTAGCTCCGAAAGAATTTCGATCTCGCGTAGTGTACAATTTAATTATAATGTCGCCGTCGAGGAGACACCACCCTGAATACGCCGGATAATTACATAAAATGCCGTTTGGTTCGAATGCCGCGTGCGACGGAATATCGAGGGAGTCGCCGTAGATCTAATTATAATATATTTTCCGAAACTCCGGTCGTTTCTGTGCTGCAGCAAACACACGGCGAGGGACATTGGAAATAATATGAAAATATATAGTTAATATTATGTACCTATAGTGAACTCCAACCCGAATCTCCTCTTATCCTAACCTAAACATCATGTTAAATGTTTTGAAAATCTGACCACGTAAAAAAAAGACGAATTTAAGATTTCTGTTCAAATATCAAATCCCTACGGATATTTTTAACTGGATTACAACAAAAAAAACAAGATTGAAAAAATAATAAAAGCATTATTTCCGTAAATTGCCCAACTGTTCCTACGTTTTTTCCCGATTATTATGAAAAAATGCTTGAAAATATCAAAAATTGACTTCTTTTGTGCACCGACTAGAGAACATTTTCTTTCATAAAAGGATAACATCTTTTCCATTTGAAAATCGGAGTGAGATTTCTGGTAAAAATAGTTTGTATACAGTAAAAAATAAAAATAAAATAAACGTCATTGTAAAACCAATACAATCCTCGCCTCGCTCAGAATCTCAGATTGAAACATTTTTCACGTGTGAAAAGTTATAATTTTCAACAGGATTCAATAAGAATTTATTAGATTTAAATCTGAAAACAATGTTTACTAATAGACATTTTTAATATCAGTTGGATTTGATTTTAGATTACATTTTAAACATTTTTATTTGTAGTAATTTTTAAAATTGTTTTTCATCGAATTCCAGGTATAATATGATTATGTCCGTGCTTGTGTGTTTGTTGAAATAACGAAAAAAACAAAACAAAAAAAAACTAGTATTTATCTATTTTTGTTTATTACGTATCTAATTCTATACGGAAAATCTATTGACAACAACGAAATACGTTCGCGGTAAAACACATTATTGTTGAGTTATATCATTTTCAAGTGTGAAACGGAAACTCGATACGATACATAATATACGAACACGATATTTACCCTTCGAAATTTATTTATTTCTCAATATCTTGTTATGTATAGGTAACCGTTGAACTTACGATGAAATATTGCTATTTCACGTACCTATTCAAAAACTAGTAATATTTAATATTTATATAGGAACTGACGATTTTTGTATTTTTTTTTTTTTTGAAAAAATAAATATTAGATGAACACTCGCGAAAAAAAAAAATACGAGCTAATAAATAACGATAAAAAAAAGCTGTTGCGAATGTATATTTTGTATTATACGTGCAGCCGTATTGGAGTCTTGTGTATACGCGAAGAGTTCGCAAATTCATAATCACTATTAAAACTCAATGTTACGGGTGGAAAAATTGCGAATAAAACTAACTGAAATAATGTGTATAGTTTAAAATATAAGCGCAGGGAAAAACACCGATCGGATATCAAAAATGCCGAGACGAACAGTGTAAAGGACCCGTGGAACTATTTTTTCCCACATCGAACATTCCATAACGATTATGATTTTCGAAACAATAACTTTTGCGTTCAACGCGTCCGCAAAAGTTTAATTTGTTATTTGACGTTTTATTAATTTTTTTTAGAGCGAAGCGGACAACGCGTTTTAAAATTCAACGTCCTAAGAGATCTCACGGGAGAATTTAACGGTGAAATTATCAATTGTTATTATTATTATGATAGTCGAAAGAGTTTTCCGAAACGTCAATAGGAAATGGTAAACTATTTGGACGCGTTCGAAATATTAAAACCGAGCGCCGTGGTTATTGCCCGCCGTGCAGCGGCGCCCGCACTATGATTTCACGGTGCGGCGGAATCCGAAACCGGTGCCCGCCCCCAAAAACGTTTGCCCGCATAAATATATGTGTACCACCGACCGAATGTTCGCACGCCCGTTTATACCCGAACATCCCGATCGCGACCATACCGGGAACGCCCGGCCGCCCCGGGTGCGAAACTGCTGCGCTCCAAGTTCAGTTCGGGCGCCGTCGACACCGCGACGCGCGCAGAGTGTAATTTTCGAACTATCGTCCGGCCGTGATAACAGATACCGTTGAACGCTTGCGGTACCCGCGTCGCGGTTCCCCCGACGGCGGTATTTTCGTCTCGCGCGTACGCGCGGGAGAAACGGGACAACAGACGAATGTCGCGCGCGTATTTTTACGCCGGTCGTCTCGTTGTCGCGCACGCCGAACGCACGGTTACGTCGGCCGTTCACAGCGGCGAATCGTCTCGCCCGGGAACGCCGCCGGCAATCGTTCACGTCGAATGTTCGGACGCGTTTCGCGCGCGCATAGCCGGCCGCCAGTGCGAATGTCGCCGGGTCGACGCTCGCCGGGCGCCGAACGTCCGCGTTGCTGTCGGGCCGGACGATAATGACGGCGGGGTCCGATATTTCGTTCGGCGGTCGCGCGCCGGGTCGTTGACGGAGCCCGTCGAAATCCGCGCGCCCGTTGGCAACACCGTCAGTACCGTAAGGCGCGCGTCCGGCGGTCCTCTCGATTTGCATGGTGTTCGCCGTGATTGCGTTATCGTCGCGCGCGATCGACCTCCCCTCGCCGCCGCGCTGGAAAAAGCGCCACGGCCGGACCCGTAAACAGCGTTGCGCGGCACGCGTTATGAACCCTATAATTACACACAATCGCGAATCGGAACGTTATCGAAGCCGCCGACACCCCGACTCGTCCTGACGTTACACTATTATTATTATGACTAATCGCGTTTGTGCGACGCGTTCACACGATTGATTTCCGCACGTTTCTCGACGGGCTTCGTCGTACGCAATGTCTGCAACACGCCCGCCCCCGCCGCGAACGGGCGATTCGTTTTCCCGTCAAAACCGCACCCGACCGCGTTTACCGCCGGTACACCGCAATAAAACGATTTGCGCATTTCGGTTTTCCGCCGCGACGATATTCGCGTTTTATTATTCGGTTACGGGCTGCGTGTCTTGACGCCGACGAAACGCGGCGAAAAACGAAACAGAAGAAAAAAAAAAAAAACGGCCGTCGGAACGTATTCGCAACACGAAATACACGGCTGTTCTATTACTGAACCGCGCCGAGTGCTTTTATTTGAAACGTTCGGGCGCCCCGGCGGCCCGACGGCGCCCGGCCCGTGTACACACCGCGCCGTTACAATCCGATCCGTGTAACGGACACGGTACCCTCGAAAACCGAGCATCGCCGTTGTTTCGCCGTTTTTTAACGGGACTTTTTTTTTTACCGTTTCGCAGTTTTAATAGGTGTAATAATACATCAGCCTACTGCCGCACTGCAATCGTTACAAACGCGATTGTTCGGTTGACATTATGTTAAAACATACCGTGGGGCGCCGAAAGGACAACGACGAGTCGCACCGTCGGTCTTGGGCCACTGGGTTAGCGGGTCGGGGCCGAAGAAAAAAACACTAAAGACTGTCTACACAGAGGATTGACACTGCAGCTATTATTATTGCGTTCCTAAATTAACATAATTTACCTTTTTTTTAAAAAAAACAGTTTTTAATCGAATGTCCAAATAATTGTATAGTAAATTTAACGTAAGTTACCTGCCTGTAGTATACGATTTCCTGTTTGAAAATGTGATTTATGTTTATTGGCCCCGAATCGATCGTTTATAATGGAAGGACGACGCAGTCGGACTGTTATAATAAATGTATTAGAAAATTGTACGGTTTTATGTTCTATATAAATTATTATTATTATTGTTTTTTTTTTCATAAAAGCTTATTATTGTAAAACTTTTTTAACACGTTGTTTTCACACGAGTACCTGTAATACCCAAATGTTAAGTGCCGATACATTTGAAAAAAATCAAATCGACCGTTATTTTATTTTTAAATTATATTCGAATTCGTCGGTTATGTGCAGTAATTGAGCGTAAGTATGGGTATAGCTGAACTATAACAATACTGTAAACAATATTCTTTGAAATATCCTTTCTTTAACTCCGACAAATGTCGGGGAGAATTGTGAATCATTAATGACGGCGTATACACACTGGTGTCCATTGTATTTTGAAAATCAAAATCTAAAACGTATAAAAAGACATAAATAAGGTAATAATATTTTTTCGAGGTTTTTTTTTTTGTGCATTCTTTTGTCGTTTTTGACGATTGAATAAGAAAATAATAACGTCCGACAGCATTCAAAGAAATTCGTATTGACGGTGAACTCTCGTGGACTTGTGAAAAAGTTCAACGATCTCGAACGTCGAACCACGAGCACTTCACTTTACATCTGACTTTGCTTTATAATACTTTGGACGGATTACTACGGAGTAACGGACGTGGAGATTGGACTTGAGTATCGCGTGATGGTATAAATGTCGAAAGTTCGGGCCATCACACGGATTCGTGAGGTGGTCGGTCGATAGATTAAAGACTTAACAAGTATCTTAGTAAAGATATTTAAAAAATAGTGGTGCAAACACACATCATTATCGAACCGAAAGTTATTTTTCTGACGTTTGTTTTTCTACGCGGACAACAGCTTTTTGGTTCGATTATTCCGATTAGTTTCATGACGAAAATATCACATTTTAGTAAACTCGGATATTCAACGGGTGAAAACAATACAAATATTGTACAAAGGATATTGTCATTTTAGTGATGTGAATAATCGCGGAGTTTAACCGGACAGTAAGCTTTGTACGATAAATCACTGCTGACGAAGTAAAATACTGAGCGCATTTCGGTTAAACGTGTTTTGAAATGCCGTAATTTTGATAAAAACGTTTACTTATTTCAAGTTTCTAGGAATATTTTAAACTGAATTACAACAAAAAAAAAAAAAAGCGTTATTTTTATACATTTTCCCGTTTTTCCCAATTATTATGAACTTCGCATATAAAATCTAAAAATAATGTTCTAGAGTGCCAAGTAGATAGAATTTCCTTTTAGAAAAAATACTACACTTGATACATCGAAGCAAGATTTCTGGTAGAAAACTTGCTCACTGAAAAGAAAATATACATATAGTAAAATCAATGGGTCTCTCGCTACGCTCCGAATCTAAAAATGAAATATTATAAATATTAAAATAACAACGATTCGAAAACAATATAATACGGTTGTTTTGAGGGCCGGATATTATATTAACACAATTATGATTATTAAAGCGCGAATATTGTAGTAGTAAAAAACTATTGAAATTAATTGCAGTTTGCTCTAAAAAAATACTGAAAATAGTACTAAAAACGAACAATTTTTTTTACAAAAATGGAAATAGTTGGCTTAATTTTCGGTATATTTACAAAACAATAACAGAACACGATCACTCAAAATTCACGGAATGACCGAAGAACAGATTGTAACAGTCCAACAATCACATTTCGCAAATTATTTCTGTGTTGTATTGAATACCAACCAACTTGGAATTGTCAAAATAAAAATATGATACCGTTATTAGATTTTATGGCTTGCATTATTATAGTATAATCTTATCTATACGATTGTCGAGTGTCGACTATAGCTAAAATAGTTGTGTAAATGAGTGAATTCAACAAAATTATAATAAAATTGAAAAAATTGCGAAACATTGCACTTAAAACTTCTAGTTTCAAATTCGTACTTGCATGAAACGTATTTAAAACTTACTTAGCAATAAATTAAAAAGGTAAAAAAAAAAGGTTCAAATGTAACAAAATTCGCGTCCTAGTGATTACAATACCATTTTTATTCGGATCCAAAAACAAATCAAATGGTATATAGGAAAATAATAATTATAGTACACGTCAAGGGGTGGCACGATCGATCGTCCGATTTTCGTTGCGTAGATTCGTTTTATTTTTTATATTTTCGTTTTTTTACTTTTTTTTGTTTGAAAGTCACGTGATGAAGTACTACACACTGCACGCGCATGCACTGACGTCGTCTAGCTGCATCGTGTCATCCGGTTCCGGTCGTTATTTTTTTTTTTATTAAAACGGAGGTTATAGACCGTAAATATATAATTGCATGTGTAATTTTCGAAAGAACAGTTTTTTTTTTTTTTTTTAAATAAAGACCACGACAAACTCGGAACTGTTATGTAAGGTGATCGATATAACGTCAGAAATTATCTCGGAAAGTATATTCTTTTTTCGGAATACTTACAAAAAAAAAACAAGTATGAAGCTCTAAAATGTTACGTTACCGTTATCCGCCCTTATTTTATTTGGGAGTGAAACAACTATTAGGTTTTTATTTTCAAACGGCAACCTGCACACTGTTAAATATTCCACAAACAGACGAAGGTTTAGTTTAAATAACTTCCGACGTTGACATTTTTAATTTCTGTCGATTTCCGTTGACGGGATTCCCGTCCGTTCCCCAAATTTCTCGCGTCGCACGTTTGTACGGCGGAGACAGCGCACGCGTGTAGCCTGATATTAAAAATACGTCTCGTCGCCGACCGTACGCGGCGATAAAACCGCGCGTCACGATATTATCTTTTAGCGGGTTTTAAAGGGCACGAAATAAAACGAAATTGAAAAATAAAATATATACCAAGGACGACAATTAGGAGGGTTTTTCGGTTTCGCATGCGTTGCGCCGCGGTTTCGAACGAATTTCGCAAAATAACGCTATTGGATTGTATTACGGTAGTTGTACGTTTTCGGTTTTATCCGTCAGAAATGTCCTGCGGATAAAAGTCGCCTACAGTCGGCCTCTCAAATACCGGACGGACGACGCGGACGAAGCAGCCTTTTTTTTTTTTTTTGATTAAATACGCTATTCTTCGGCCTATAAATCGTGCTCGAGTATCTATAGATAATAATAAAATTCCGCCTCAGAACGCAATAATGCGTGGAATTATAAATTGCAGCACAGAGGAGAAATCCGATGGTCTATTAGGATTTGTTCACGACTCTATTAACACACATCGTCGTATCCGTAGATATATTATTTATACGTACATACGTACGCAACGATGACCCCTCTTATAATAAAGGCGAACAAAAAGTTTCGTAATTTCACCCCCCCCCCCCAACTCCCGCTGGTCACCATATTATATATATATATATACATACAACAATAGTTAACTGGGACAGGTAGGTATAAGTAGATATACACGCGTATCTATATCCAGTGAAAATCATCCGCAGTTTTTTTTCTTCCATGAAATATGTCCGTTTCACCTCCCACGGCCTTTATTTATATATATATATATATATTTATACATTGTGTTTCCGTTTATATCCTACGATTCCATTGTTTTTAATAAAATTAAAACTTACTTACGGCCAAGCGCGCGCTAACACACCAGCGCGACGACAATGAACTGAGAGCTTACCTGGAAAAAAAAAACAAACAAAACTCGTAAGTCTTTTAATTAAACGAACGGACGAAAAAAACAAAAAGTACAACTAATGGCACGAAGTATATTATTATATTATATTTTTTTTAATAAGGTCTTTATATAATGACGACGGCGACGACGACGACGACGCAATGTAAATGGGAATTATATTTTTTGTTCCGTATATAAAAACGCGGGGCGGCGGTTCGTATTATCACCGAATATATACCTATACACTAAGGTTTCGAAAAAAAAAAAAAATAACAATAATAATAATGATAAAAAGAACCGTTCAGGGGTATTTTGATAACGAGTGGGGAGAGGGCGAGCGAGTGGTGATGTTGGGTTGTAGCTATAGGAACATAGATTGTTATTATAAAGTAACTTGGAAATATATATATGAGTATATATTTTTTCGGAGCGGTAAAAAAAAAAAAGGAAAAAAAAGCGTACATATTGTATTATATATCCGACCGGCCACCTCCCCTATATATATATATATATACCTCTCTGTGTAACCGACGCGGGGCGGTTTCCACAACGACCCGCGCGGTGGCACAACAAAAGCATTTTCGTTCCGTTTTTTTCCGCCCGATAAATTATTTACAGTCGCGTATAGTAATACACCTATAAGCCAAGTTACACCCCGTTCCTTCCCTCTCCCCCGCCGTCATATACACTGACTCGTGCTTTTGTTTTGGAGTGTACTCACTTATATACATAATATACTGCCGGACTCTATTATACGCATAACCCGGTGGTCCTGTTTTTGAGGCCCGGGGTAGAGGGAAAGGGGAAAGTAAAGGTCCGTTCGTCGCGAGACGAAATCGAATTTTCCCCCAAAACTTTCGTCGATCTTATCGACACGTGCAGTTTCGTCCCGACGTCCGAAAGTTTCGTCCACGCATATATAACTGTCATAGAATAAAAAGGAAAAGAAAGAGGGGTGGGGGTAGCGTTGGATTTTGTTTCTCGTCATCCGCTTTCGTATACTTTAGAGCACAAAGCACTGCCAGTGCATATACGAGTTGTCGAATCGATTCACGGATTTCGTGTGTAAGGCGTACCTATAGTCGGCAAAAGCCGAAACTACGTATTCGTATCTTGTTTAAAGCCGACTGTTTTGTTACAATATACTTTTATACACGCCTTATACTATTAGAGATAAATTTATACATGTATATAAAAAAAAAAAAAAATACGTCATACAATATTATTATCTACAACGAAAAACGAACATTATTTCCGTTCAACTCGCAATGGCATATTATATTATAAAGTATAATATACGTTATTAAAAATATATACTAGCACGATAGGAGTGGGGAAGGGGAAGAGAGGGTTAATCGCGTGTCGTTATACCAGTCGTGTTATAATTTTTTTAAAAAAACGTTTTTGTTTACGACCCCGCTGGTTGTCGTGTCGTTTTCCGTTTCTATAAACCCTCGGCGTAGTCGCGAAACGGGGTAAACACAAGGGCCTGTCTTGATCTCCCCTCCCCCTACCTAAACTTAATCGACGAATATTTTTTTAGTATTACAGACAATTGCCAGATAAATGTACAGATGTCGACTATCGAGAATAATTTTCTTCCGTATTATAATAAAATCGATCGGCCAAATGAACTTTCGCAGGCTGTCTCCGTTAAACAAACGACTCACAGCCATTCCCCTGAAATGTTTAGGAACTCGATTTCAACTACCTAGCATATATTTCGGTGTTACGACGTTCACGTACTCACACGGGATTGTCGATAATTCGGTAAGTTTTAAATTTCAGTAGATTTCCCCCAAGACGTATTTGCTAATTCATTTATTATTATTATTATTTTTTTTTTTTTTTTTTTTTTTTTTTTAACGTGCCCTTGTCTTATCGTATCGTACGCCATAGTAAAAACGAAAAGAAAATAAAAACCGTAAATAAATCGTCAGACGACGGCCTCGATCACTGCCGCGTTTGTTTTTTAGACATTTTACGATCCGACTTCGTATCGATCGCATAAAATTTAACAGACGCGAACTTTGTATTATTAAAATAATACCCATTGCAGCGTTTGGAAGTTTTAAGAGACGCTGTAGTTTTTTAGTTTCGTTACACGAAAAAAAAGCTGGCAAACGACCTTGCATAAAATTACACGAAAGGAAATTAAAGTAGAACGAAAAAAAGGTCATAAAAAATACCGATTCGAGTGTAAAAATATAAAAAAAAAAAAACGAAAACGTATTTTTATATTTTGATTAGTGTCTACCTACCAACCATCTTTACGTTACGAGAATTCTGTTTTTTTTTTTTTGGTTTCAACGGCGGTGATTTCAATAAATTTGCATAATTTTAATATTGTTACCGGAATGCTTTTCGAATTTTTACACGCCGGTAGTTTCAAAAAGTTCGTCATCGTATTATTGGCGCGTACTTTATTCAAACAGTGGCGTTTGTCGTTCAGTAGAGGATTTCGACGACGAAAACAAAAACCGTTCGTAAAAAAGTTGACAACATTTAATGAAAAAAAAGCCGAACGGGACATCGTATTTTCCGAGTTTTAGTAATAATTCAGAATTAAACCGGTCCCGGAAATGGACAAAAAAAAAAAAAAAATTTTATATGTGCGTATGAATTCTCCACCTCCTTCTCCGATTAAAAACTGGAATTTAATAATAATAATGCTTCTTAATGACGCCGACAGACTCTCTTCATAATAGAAAAACAGTTGGTGAACGTACAAAAATATTTCAAATAAAGGACCGCAGCAGCCACTGGGCGGACAATCTGCATATTTTAAGATACTCGTACGAAAGAGTATCGGAAGATTTTTATCAACCGCAAAAAAGTGATCAACGCAGACATGCCGGAAAAACCCTCGGTTTGTAAAAAAGCAATATCCGTACGGAATCTAAAAACTAAAGGACAAACGTCTTCAAATTATGCGTTATCGTTCGGTATAAAAATATAAAAAACGGTTCCTTTTTTCTTTTTTTCTTTTTTTCTATCGCATCGAAATACATATTATGTCTTTGGTTCCGAGGACCGAATGGTTTTTCGCTATTATTGTTTTTGAAACCGACGGGATACCGCACGCACGCATCTATGTACACATTCGCGAACGCAACACCGTTGTTACACGTCAAGGTTGGTAAACCATTTAAATGATCAAATCGCGATATGTTGGGATTAAAAAATAAAAATTTAATATGAAGTATTTTCGGTTTTACGCGCGCCATCAAATCGTCTTCGCCGCGCGTCATCCCGGGCGTACGCGTGCCGCGGATTCGCCGTCCCTGTCGTACACGTGCGTACAGAATATTATTCACTCTCGGTTTTTAATCAACCCGACGTTACGTTATGTAACACACTTACGCGCTTCCCGCAAATGCGAAACGGCCACCGTAATATTAATAAATATACGGATTTGTGTGCGTTTTTGTGTGTGTGTGTGTGTGTGTGTGTGTGTGTGCGCGCGCCCGTACTGTAAATTCTCGCGGATAAATAAAACCGATTTTTCCGCGTTCGGAGCGTACGAGCGAACACGCCGGAATACCGCCGCGTACGGTTTTTTGCGTAAACCAAAGTTCGCGAACAATTTCCTTTTGACGTGAACGCGTCGCGTGTCGTGCGGCGCCCGTACCCGCACTCGGTAACAGTGTTCGTACCCCGCGGTACGGCGAAAAACGAAATTTAAATAATATCGATCCACCCGTTTCGTATAAATATCCGCCGATTCCGACGGGCGCGGGTACATTCGCGTGTGTATAATCGAATTCGTTAATAATAAATTATGTTATTATTATTATTATTATTATTATTTCAACGCGCATACTATTTGCGCGGCGGTTTGCTTTGGATGCGCGCGGTAAGTTGGCGCGATCGCGAATATGCGAGAACTCGTTTTTTTACACCGTCTCACGATAACATTACGTACCGGGGAACGTCCGGGGCAAATTCG